ATGCCTCTCGATATTTTTTAAGTGGGGCTGGGGAATTTATTTCATAAAAATAAGCCTCTAAGCCGCATCTGATGCAAAACCTCCACTCTATTACTACTACATCTGTGAAAAACAAAACCATGGATAGTTCACTCTTAAAGAGCTATAGGCCGGTCTCAAATCTTAGTTTCTTGTCTAAAGTCATAGAGCGAGCAGTGTCTAAGAACTTAATGGATCACATTTCATCCAACAATATCCTTGACCCATTCCAGTCTGCATACAGTCCATTCCACTCTACTGAGACCATTCTCCTTCGTTTAGTGAATGATCTCAGAATGATCCTGGACAGTGGCAATATGGCGGCATTAGTCCTACTACTCGACCTAAGTGCCGCCTTTGACACGGTTGACCACAAGTGCCTGTTACACACATTGGAATATGAAGTTGGTGTCAAAGGACTAGCACTCAGCTAGTTCTCCTCATATTTGGACCAGCGAACACAGGTTGTGAAAGTTCAAAGTCATCTGACGCCCCAGCTACAAAGTTATCCCATGAGCCTAATTTGGTCAGGAAATGCCCCAGATTTTTGGTCAAATCGCCCCCCAAAAACGGTTTGGTCAGATTTTGGTCAAATCGCCCCAGGGGTAGTCAAAATGCCCCAGTGTATTTAAAATGATTAAATATATGCCATAAATGCATAGTTTTGTCAACTTCCATATTATATACTTCGTACAGTATTATATAGTAATATTTCTGATAGATTTTCTATTAGTAAACTGATAAGAGCAAAAGTAATATTCATGTATAAACAACACTATAATACCAATTATTTCCATGTTATTAATGCTTTTGTAAAGAATTACAAGAATATTATGAAATGGTTGTATAAAATGTTTATTGGCCATAAATGCATAGTTTTTGTCAGCAAGTATGGTATAATACTTATCAAAACAATCTAGAGCTTTTGTTAATTAATCTTGTCAAAAGGTGAGGCCATAAATGCATAGGTTTTCTCAACAAGTATGGTATAATGCTTATCAAAACAATCTAGAGCTTTTGTTAAATAATCTTGTCAAAAAGTGTGGATAAAAACAGGCTATGAAAACATGTTCACTAATTGACATTCAGTGCTGTGTTGAGGCTCGAATGTATGAGCATTTCAGGCTATAAAAATATATTCAATAATTGACCATCACCTATCGAGATTCAAAAATGTAATTTTGAACGATTCTAATATCTACAGTCATTTTGACTGAAATTTCGGTAGCAGATTTTGTCTAAATCATTATCGTCTCCAACTTGAATGTAGTGACCTTAATGCGCACAAACATGAAAGATTTATATCTCCGACATCATCTTGCTCTTGTGGCCACAACTATGAAGACTCTGCTCACTATTTCTTTTCATGTACTCTTTACAACGATATACATCAAATTATGTATTTTTATACTAAAGGATTTGACCTAAAATCAATTTTGTTTGGAAACCAACGCTGCTCTTCAATAGTAAACAAAGAACTTTTAATTTCAGTGCACTCTTTTATAAATTTAACAGGCAGATTTGATCCAAAATATTTTGTTTATATGACATATACCAATATAAACAATGATTGGCGTTATTTCTCGTTTTTGCAACATTTATATATCATTCACATTGTACATTCATCATGACGAGTTTATTCTTCCTTCCATTGTATCCCAGAGCGGTATTCATATAAGCTTATGCTTGTTTACCAATCCGGTTCCTTTCTTTGGAAATAAATATGTTGTCTTATCAGTTTACTAATAGAAAATTTATCAGAAATATCACTATATAATATTATATATAGAATATAATATGGAAGTTGACAAAACTATGCATTTGTGGCATATAGTTAACCAATTTAAATACATTGGGGCATTTTGACTACCCCCCTGGGGCAATTTGACTAAAACCTGGGGCGATTTGACCAAAATCTGGGGCATTTTGACCAAATTGGCTGGGGCGTTTTATAGCTCTTAATTTGACTCCAGGCACTGATCTACAGATCATAGACAGTTGCGTTTCCGATATACAGACCTGGATGAACACAAGGAAACACCAACTGAATGATGACAAAACGGAGTTGCTCGTCCTTGGAAATTCCAAACAGCTGCAGAAAACCTCCATCTGCAATGTGAAGATTTCAACATCTCACATTCAACCTTCCCCTGTCACTAAGGATCTTGGAGTATATCTTGATGCAAGTTTGTCTTTGGAACCGCAAAGTCAACCATGTTTATAAGAACTGTCACTATGATCTGCGAACCATCAGCTCCATTGGAAATCTCATCACAACAGAATGTGCTCATTCTTTGGTTCGATCCATTATACTCTCTCGACTCGACTATTGCAACAGTCTGCACTTTGGCATCAGTTCAACTCAACTTCAGAAACTTCACAAATTATAGAACTCAGCAGCTCGCATCGTCTGCCTCAAGTCCAAGAAAGATCATATCACACCTTCACTGATGTCTCTACACTGGTTGCCTGTCAAATTCCGGATTGACTTCAAAATTCTATGTATCACTTTCAAAGCTCTACATGGACAAATACCTGAATACCTCTCCAGTCTTCTGTGTCAGTACATCCCAACCCGACCATTACGATCCCAGAATCACCAGCTACTTGTCATTCCTAAAGATCGAATCTCATCCTATGGGAAAAAATCATTCCAACATGCAGCCGCCAGTCTCTGGAACAACTTGCCCACTCACATCAAGAATGCTGAATCTTTGGACACATTTAAATCGTCTCTAAAAACCTACTTTTTTCGTCTTGCCTATTACTAGACTTTCTATGTTCAATTGTCTCTCTGTAAATAGTTTTAACTATTTTCTTTTCTCCTATAGTATTGTAGCGCCATGAGCGGGTACTAGTACCTGGATGTAGCGCTATATAAATACCCACATTATTATTATTAAAAAAATAATATTTAATTTCCGTGGAAACAAGGGCTACTAGTCCTATATAAATAGCCTAATCAATTGCAAAGGTTCGCTAATAAATTACGTTATGTTTGAAATCAGAAATAAAACTTCTCTTTTGCCATGGAAATCCTAAGGACAAAAAGTCAGAACATTAAACGATGGCACTGGGCCATTACTTGTCTGAGGCGTGTATACAGTTGTATGCAGATGTTTAAAGGGCCATGCTCTGGAAACGAGTGAGTGAGTTAGATTAGTTTTACGCCGCTTGCTTTAAGCAATATTCCAGCAATATCACGGCGGGGGACCCCAGAATGGGCTTCACACATTGTACCCATGTGGGGAATCGAACGCGGGTCTTCTGCGTGACGAGCGAACGCTTTAACCACTACCCCACCCGCCCTCTGGAAACGAACCCCACCCTCATTTGAGCAAGTGCAGTTGTGGACAAATGTACTGCCAGTAGTTCGTCCTTCGTTTGACGTGGGTACAATGTGTGACGGTATACTTGGTGACCCCGTCTTTATTTTGCTGGACCGCCTCCGTGGTGTAGTGGTTAGAGCGTCCGTCCGGAGAGCGGAAGGTCGCGGGTTCGATCCCCGACCGCGTCATACCAAAAGACGTTAAAATATGGTACTTGTTGGTCCCTGCCTGGCGCTCGGCATTAATGGATACAACAAGGACTGGTCGGCTCGGAGTCAGTATAATGTGTCTGAGTGGGGCATTCATGCTTCACTGCGGCATGGTATCTCAGTGAGCTAGCACTATAAAACCAGCTTACGTCTGGGCTAGTACAAGCAGCCGCACATACACATACACACGCATGCACGTCGTCATATGAGCGAAATATTCTCAAGCACGACGTTAAACACAATTTCACCTCACCTTACCTTTATTTTGCTGAGATATTGATAAAAACGGCGTAGAACCATATTCAGTAACACATACATTTGAGCACGCTTCTCACAAAAATTAAAGAAACTAGAAAATAACAATTCTCAATGGAGGGTGAATTTGGGACTTTAAATTTCAGCAACAAAAAGAGAAGAAGAAAAGAAATACATATGGTCTGTTGAAAGAACATCCGGGTTGAACACGTCCTTTCCCTTTGTGAAACACCTTTGCTCACAATACGTACAGGATGTCTTCTTGCAGTTTTCAACACACTCTGATTTTGAAATTTTCTCCACACATAACTTTACAAGTAAATTCTTGTCACCTTAATAATATAATCGATCATAATAAATCGAGTGCAGCTAGGTGGCTAGTTTTACGTGACGCATGCCTGTCACCAGTGTGCGAAATAGTTTCCACATTTTGATAGCCAGTCGAGCTAGCTATGCCTGAAAGTTACTAGCCCACAAAATAATTCACTAGCCCGAAATTTGAACGTAGAAACGTAGCAAAAGATTTCAAAAATAGATGAGAATAAGATATTGTCGACATGACACAGGTTTCATCATTAATCTGCTAATATGATGAACATTTTCATCAGGCCATAATCTTGCATGATTTAAAAGTGTATTATAACTTAACAAGTCGGAGAGAGTGATAATTCTACAAAATGACCCCATGAAAATTCACTAGCCAGTTGGGCTAGTGACTGTGGAGATTTACTGGCCCGACTGGATTTTACTAGCCACGGGCTAGCGGGCCAGTGGCTATTTCGCACACTGCCTGTAACTATAGTCTAAGTAAACTTAGGCTCAGTATTATTCGTTACATAACTTTTCTGGAGTCTCAGTATAGCAGTGTACCGAATAATACTGCGCTTAAGTTTACTTAGACTGCCTGTAACTGCAAACTAATGTTACTGATTGTTTGACATTTTGAAACTGATAACTTCTCATCAGTGTGTTTTAGTTACGTCTAACTCATTTAGAATATGTTTTGTGTGTCATCTACTTTGATAATAAACTAATTACAATATTAACCGAGGTTCACTGCGATAAAACATACAACAATAAAACCAATATGAATTGTGGAAATATATCCGATTGAATCACAAAGAAAACTGTTTAAAGGGACGTAACTCTGTATGCTCTTTTGTAAAGAAAGCCGACATTTAAACTTCCGGTTGCGCTCGCGCGAGAAAGGGATTTTCCATGCAGTCTGACACCGTACACAATACAAATGTTCAGTTCAGTGTCCGATAAGATAAAGTCGTTTATTTTCCAACCATCACACGAGGAATCAAACCTCAGTGTTTCAAGAAAACGCAAAAGAATTACGGATGAAACGTAAGTGTCTGTTGTCTGCAGGTGTCAATAAGTGTAGAAAACACCATAATGAAAACAGCGCTGTTTTCCCCTAGTTTGTAAACATTACGCCGGTCATCACTAGTCTTCAAAAGCATTTCATACACTCTAGCTTGTTGTTTCCGATAGGTTTTCGATTACACACCACTTGGATTTCTTTTAAATAGAATTCTGTACACTGAACATATACCGCTGAAATGGGATACGCAATTTTTTTATTACCCACGTGAAATATTATCTTCTCTTTTATGTCGTGCATTCTTGAAATATTTAAAATCTCCATCGTCTGTAAGCACGACTTCGACTTCGTGAAAGTAATTGAGTAAATTTAACTGATCAGTGATATCAAGAGTTACATATGTAACACACGATGAATCAGAGTACGGATTTTTGATATTTTGGTTGTGTTGATATTCATATCCTATTAGCACCCTGATTAAAATGACAAATATTGTTCGAACTGCAGTTTTTCAGAACTCAGGTTACTACTTGAAAGTAAAGTAGGTAAAACTTTACTATGGATGCTTTACAAATAATTAGTCCAGTTTGAAGATTGGCACCTGACATTTTACACTTTTGAGCACTGTAGTCACCTTTATTCTCATGAATTGATTAAAATGTTACATTTTTCTCAAATGGTTTCATCAGAATTATTTGAACTAAGAATGACAGCAATCTCTAAAAGATCGAAACCACTAGGTTGTATTTCACTTTCATCACTTTGAAAATAATGTTCTGAATTATCAAAGGATCATGAGAAAACTTACCAATTGCTTAGCCTGATTATTTTTCCAAACTCAAATATTGGAAATATGTTTTAACATATGTACATTCAACTCTGACAGCTTGACTGAGCCATATGACTCATGTGCAACCTTTTATTAAAACTGCAAGCTAAGTATGGTATGTGTAATTGTCATGTTTTGGGTCTTCATCTGTGGGTACTTCAAGATTATTTGATAAATGTTTGATATCCAGGGTGCAACTTTGTTTTGCACCTGGTTCAAGTTAAATCAAGTTCCTTAACATACTCAGCATACTTAATCATAGGCGGATCCAGAGGAGGTGCAGGGGTGCGCACACCCTGTTTGTCTTGAAACTCTCTGGAAAACGGGTAGTATTGAACTCTGCACCCCACCCCCTTCTCAAAAAGCTGTATCTGCCCCTGGCCCTAATTGATGTCTTTATACAGTTAAACTTTGGTCTCTCTTGGCGTTCATATTTCATATCTCCACCTTCAAATCATGTTGATAGTCATTCTAAATTCATCAATTTACATATAACTTAATAAAATCAAAATATGAACTTACCCCTCTTCCGGCAGTATACTGTTTTTTTGTCACAAATTGACTCCTTGATATTTCAGAAGTCATAGGTTGTAATGAGTTGAAAAGCTTTTACTGTTGTTTTTTGTTTTCAGGCTGTTTTTTCATCAACTTTTGTTTTTCTTCATTGCTAAACATGTGTGCACTTCGTTTCAGTGATGGTCAGGACTCCGATATCGAGATTGTTGAAGTTAAGAGACCTAAAAAGGAATCCACAAGCTCATGTAAGTTTGAGAGTCACTTTTTGTGGTTCGTTGTAGGCTTATAATGATGGTTTTATACAGTCAAATTCAGTCTGTTAGTAGTGTTATTTTGTGATAGGCTGTAGTGGTGGTCTGATTAATTGAAATGATCAGATTGGTCGCCATGATTAACTGAACGACCAAGCAATGGATCATGTTTTCTCATAATAAAACGCAAACAATTTTGTAACACTGGTTTGCATTAACAACATTTTTCACAAGGTTGATTTAGTCTGTTACATTTCATAAGCACTACAAGCTTGTTCCTTGTCATGATTGAAGTTATCTTAAAGACTCCAGGAAATTTATGTTCCTAACATACTAGTCATCCTTTAAGATGTGAAATTTGTAAATGCATTTTGTGCAATTTGAAAAAAAAACCCAAAGAACTACACGCTTTTTTCTATGTTTTTTGTTCATTAGCAAACATAACCAGGAGAATTTGATAAATGACTCTAGCCAATTAGTTGCAATGAACCAATCATCAATTGTGAGATTTTAACCAATTCCCAACACTAATAGGCTGTAATGTAATGGTAAACCAATAAGTTGTTTCTGTATTCCAGGTTTTTGTATTGGTAAACATCAGAAAAGATCCGAGTTAGAATTGGTGTTCAGCAACCCATGCTTTTTTTAAGAGGCAACTAATGGGATCGGGTAGTCATGGCTCGCTGACTTGATTGACACATGTCATCATATTCCAATTGCAAAGAGTCATGCTCATGCTGTTGATCACTGGATTGTCTGGTCCATACCTGGGTTATTTACAGTCCGTCGCCATATCACTTGAATGTTGCCAAGTGCATCCTTAAACGACAATGAAACAAATACTGTAATTGTATATATTTTCACGGGGTGCCATTTTCTTGGAAAGTTCACAAAAGACCTGTTAGCACAGTTGTTTTTTCATGCATTTCAAACACCGAGTGATGGTATCCATCACAAAGTTTTCACAACTGATTGACATGCAGTGATCAAAGCTAGTCCCCATAACTAAATCGTGTTAACTAAAACAATCAGACAGAGGTGGGATTATACTTCAGCTATAGTCAGCTATCAATTAAGTGACAAACTGATAACAAACATTTGCTGATTGTGATGGCTATTTCTAGTAAACTCGTATATGCCTCTATTCCTTTATATATTGTTTTGATGTTATCTGATAGAATAAAAAAATTGCATGTTGTTCCTACTTGAGTATTTGTCATGACTGACCATGAATATTTCGCTTGGTATGATTATTGACGCACAATCATTTTGCGCTGAAAGTGTGAAAATTAATCCCAGGCGAAAATAACTACGATTACACTACAGTAAAACGTTTTGGAAACTGATACAGAATTAAATTATGAAGCAATACACGGAGAAGCATATTGTTTATCTTATTTCATCAGTGTGCAACTTTAGCCCCTAATCCAGTGCATTTCCTGTGAGTCTTGTAAGCTCTGCTGTGGAAAATCCATACACTATCAGATGAACATATATGGAAACTGATGTCAAGTATCAGGTTGATCAGTTACGGTTGAACACCATTATATCAAACTTTCGTATTTACATACCATATTTCCTCCAATATGCGCTTGGTCTCTAATAAGAGCTGGCCTCCAATAAGCGCCGGGGGTAAAGCAACTGTTCAAGAACTAAGCGCCAGGTCTCTAATAAGCGCCAGTTGTGCCACATGTTTACAATGGAGGTTTCAAATAAAATACAAATGGAGAAAATATTTATTTCCATTGAAACTTTACGTGTCGGGTCTTAAGTGCGCCAGGCCTCTAATAAGTGCCGGGTGTCTAATAAGCTCCGGGTCTCTAAATAAATTGAAAAAATAAGTGCCTGGGCACTTATCAAAGGAAATGTAGTAGGTCCTTTTATGTCAAACTTAAGGTTGTCTTGAAGTTAAGTGTTTGGTCTCTGTGTATTCCTGCTTTATTCATGATTTTTCATTGTTTCGAGCCTCAGTTAACTCCAGGTATTTATAGGTCCTTTTCACTTCAACACAAGGAAGTTTGACAACAGTTCTCATTTTTGGTGTGGAAAATATTGTCATTGTACCATGACACTCTAGTTCACCTGGACAAGTAGTTGACTCTAAATTGATTTTAAGTGTCTACAAAGTGATCTACTAACACGACTAACCAATAGTGGTGTAACGATTCATCGATAGTATCAATGTTTACATCGTCAACTACGCGATACGAGTGCATCGATACAAAACACATTTGGGCAATATATCAGGATATTTATATCGCGAGGGTCCATGATACATCGATGTATCGCCACAAGAGACGATATATCCCGATACAACTTAAATACTACTTAAGTTGTAAGGAGTATTGCATTAGGAATAGGAAAGGAGTCTCTTTGAAGTTCTTCTGAATTTTAAAAACAAATTGAACTTTAAAGGAATTTGTTTGTGTCTGTTATCTCTGTTACATGAACAAAGGAGTTGGTGTATAAGTCACAGAGTGTGAACATTTTACAAACTCTGTGAACTGAGAATAATTGTCTTCAAGTAATTGAAATATGCAGATATGTTTTAGTTGTTTGACAAATAACACTATTTATTTACAACTATGAACGATGTCTTAGCGTTGTTAAGAAAGAGAACAAAGAGAAGATAAAATGTAGAAAGCAGACTTAAGTGATTGTGAATGCTGATATAAATTACATTGAGTTGTTTGTGAAAGCATTGGTGTAGAAACACTTCAGATTTATATATATTAGATCAAGGTATACTGAATATGTTTGACTTTCTTAAGCATTAAATGCTGAAACTTTATTAGATGAACAGCTTTTTTAAGTGTGTGTGAATGGAACACAAGTTCTGCTGTATAACAAATACAGTTTCAGTCATTTTATCTATCATATCTGTTATCTGTTAATTGTAGAGTATCGGGATACGTATTATATCGCCACCATTGTATCATGATGATAATCGTCTCGCAGGTTCCTTGCCAATACTTTCATGATATATCGTCTCGCCTCATTTAACTGGTATCGGGATATATCGTCTCGCCACTTAGGCCACGATACACAGCTCTACTAACCAAAGATTGCTCTCAGCAGTCATGAATCCTATTTCACACCATCAGACTAATAATGGCTTGATTGTGAATAAAGAATAATATTTTCTTTGTTTATTTTTGGTACAGTCTGGTCTTACCTGAAGCTACCAGTCAACAAGATGGCCCAGTGGGTTCGGCAACGAGGATCGGGCAATTTCTCCACAGAGTTTGGTGTGCGTGAATTACCAGAAAACAGCCGATGGCGCCAGCGCTAACGACCACGTCACCAGGAGCAACATCCAGCAGTCAGGCCAACTGTCAAGGTGCCAACAACCAATGGAGGCTCTGTACATACTCAGGTATGTGTGCCATGAGAAGGTTACCATGGTTACCTACCATTCTTTATCAGAACAGGTCCTCCTTGGGGTACTTATAAGCATTTTTATGTCCATTAAAATTTTCTATGACAGTTGTAACTATAGTTTTGAATAAAATGTTTACAAAACAAAAACAACCACCCCTGCAGGTCACCACAGCCAAGAGAAGGTAACTCTAACCCACAACCTCGTAACTCACTTTCCATGCTGTCGTTCACATAGTGAAGATGTGCATACTGTCCTGTAAACTTTTTCAAGTTGAATTCCTAGTAAACAAAGATGAGTGAGAAAGAAACATATAATCGCATGGGTTGGGGTGGTGTTCAGGGCGACCTGTAGTCTCTGGATAACGAAGTCACAACCTACTGGAATTGACAGCAGTCAGGTTGGAGTTCGAGCCCGAACGCCAGGACTCGAATTACCTTTACGGCCAGACGTTCTCACTCTGAATGGGACACCACACCTGAATCCTCGGATTCACTGGGTGGCTTGGCCACTGTCGGGTCTAACCTCCAGACACGCGGAATTCCTGCAGCTGTTGCAGACACAATTCTGGCTTCGAGGTGGGATTCGACACCCATTCCGTGTGTTGATAGGTGGGGCTCGCTGATGTGCAGATAGGGGATTTCAGAATCCCTATTCTGCAGATTTAGTTCAGATATTGGAGTAACTTTAACCCCATTTTGGAAGAGAGCCTTGTGGCTTCCACCATTCGCAGGTTGCACCCGATGGTGCTCTGCCAAGGCAGTACCGTCTCGTACAGTGTTTCGTAGCTGGCATGAACAGGCAGGGCTCGATTTAGTGCTTTGTTACTTGCACGGGTGCAACCCAATATTACAAAGTGCAACCCGGTATTGGGACGGGTACCAAGGCCCAAGCCATTACCCACCCGTCCCGTGTATCCCGGTTACCCGTCCCAGCTCTAGTGTCATCACGTTCTATTTGTATCCCACTAACCCCCTTTTTAGTACATGTGCTCCAAATAAGGTAAACTTCGTTTTTACACATTTTTGACAGAAAAATCATTAAAATAAATAAATAAAAATAAATAAGAATAATGATAAATCAATCATATTAAATGTCAGGTATTCATGAATAAATATTCGTATTTGATACTATATATTCGTTAGACAAAATTTTACGTCATAGTGTATTCACTGCCACCCTATTAGACTGTATTATTATTTAAAAGCGATGTTTAACCCAACTCACTCACTGAAGCTGCTGCTTCTATATAAGAGATATCAGAAATATTACACTTTTTCAACATATATCCAGGGTTTTCTTGGATTCACTGAATTCCATATATTTCATGATATCAATTCTCACTTCAGTTTTTTTCGAAGATGCCTTCTAAGTTAAATCTTTGCATATCCTTTTCCTTCCAGATTCATGGTAGACCACCTATCCACACAGACATAGCTGCTTCGAGTGAGTACAATGATTGGTATCAACAGTTATCACTGTGTCATTATGAATGACAGGTCTTCTTTAGCCCCTGAAACTAACTTTTCATGCAGACTCAGTTTTTTTCAGAAAGTTTGTGTATGGCATTGAAGGATTACGTGTATATTCTTGCCAAAGACTGTTGGTCAAATGTTCAAGTTTCTGGCACATTCAAATCTGTATTAACCTTGATAGCTCCAATCAAAATTCATGTTTGATGGGGTCTTGAATAATATGTCCCACAGCCTTTTACATTCTCGTTGTATACATGGTAGAATTTATGGATAAAACTTGCTCTGGTTGTTCTGTTGAACTGTCACGCATTCATTGATCTGTTGCCATGGTTAGCCTTTCCATGACATGTCAAACTGCTTCAACAGTCACAAATCCCTTAAACTGTTATGCATTCATTGATCTGTTGCCATGGTTAGCCTTTCCATGACACATTCCTTCAGCAAAGACACATTCTTTCAAAGGACAAACATTCCTGAAACATGTTCACTAGTAGCACATTCCTTTAAAGTTTAACAGTCACATATTCCTTCAGATTCTTGCAACTGACACACTGTGCTTTAGCTGAGATATGTTTCTGGAACTAACATGCATACCCTCAACTATCCAAAATTCTGTCAACTTTCGAACATCTATTTAGACATCTTGAACTGACTCACATTCCTTCAACTCACATTCTTCGAAATTGTGACACATTCCTTCATCCAACATACATTCCTTCCACTGTCACACATCCCTTGAACTCTCATATGTCCCTTGAACAGTCCTGAAACATGTTTACCTACAGCACATTCCTTGAACATGTTGAACTGTCAGACATCCCTTGAACTGACACAGTCCTGAAACATGTTCACAAGTAACACATTCCTTGAACTGCAGACATCCCTTGAACTGACACAGTCCTGAAACATGTTAACAAATAACACATTCCTTGAACATGTTGAACTGTCAGACATCCCTTGAACTGACACATACCTGAAACATGTTAACAAATGACACATTCCTTGAACTGACACAGTCCTAAAACATGTTAACATATAACACATTCCTTGAACTGACACATACCTGAGACATGTTAACAAATAACACATTCCTTGAACTGACACATACCTGAAACATGTTAACCCACAACACATTCCTTGAACTGACACATACCTGAAACATGTTAACCTACATACAACACATTCCTTGAACTGACACATTCCTGAAACATGTTAACAAGTAACACATTCCTTGAACTGACACATTCCTGAAACATGTTAACCTACAACACATTCCTTGAACTGACACATTCCTGAAACATGTTAACAAGTAACACATTCCTTGAACATCTTGTCACACATCCCTTCAACTGTCGCACATTCCTTCATGATACAGCCTGCAGCACACCTGTGAATGAGACTCCACGTGTGAATGGGGAGCAGAGCGTCCACCACCAGGAGGTCCAGACTGACCAGCGGTTACCCCGCCGTCGCCAGGTCACTCCATCTGTTCGCAGTAGAGGCCTCTTCACAGCCCAAGAGGTAACAACAGTTGTTTACCATGTATTTGTTCATATCCTTTAACACCCAAAACAGAGGTCCAAGCAATTGAAACCAGTATAGAATACAAGGGTACCCTTGATAGTACATCCATTTGTAATTTACATGTGTCAGCACATGAAATGACAGAACTTATGAAACACCTCAATAAAATACCTCAGTTTCATATTTTTTGCTTTCAAAATTCTTCATTTATATTTGTGCAAACAGGTGCAAAAATAAGACATGATTTTCAGAATACTGATGTCACACGTATGGAGAAGTTAAGGGACAGTTCATAATTTATGACAAAGGGGAATGATGATGATTTTAAGGAGGGGGTGGGGTCACCCATTTTGTTCTGTGGAGGTAAAGGGGTATATCAATTTTCTACACAAGTAGTGGGGGTAAGTTTGTCAGAAATTTTGTACATTAAAATGTTGAAAAATTATTTGTAAAATTTATGGGGAGGGGAGTCATTGATTTTGTACATGACATGCAGGGAGGTCACTTACTTTGTACATAAATTTTAGGGGGAGAGGGGGTCATTCACATTGTACATGCTTCTCCATAAAATCATCATTGACACCCTACCCCCCCCACCCCACCCCACCACCCCCTAGCCATTAATTATGAATGGTCCCTAAGAACCGTAACTGTGGTCCTGTTGGTTGGCTGATTAATAGAGGAGTCGTTGATCTATATGTTACCAATTATATGGTGACATAATTATATGGTAGCACAATTATATGATGGCACAATTATATGATCGCACAATTATATGATCGCACAATTATATGATCGCACAATTATATGGTGGCATAATTATATGATGGCACAATTATATGATGGCACAATTATATGTTGGTAGCTGTAATTGAAAACTCAATTTGTTCAAACTTCAGAGTGTTCGTCTGGATGAAAAGAAACGATATCGTGAGCTGCTGCAGACGTTTGCCCCTTCTGTTCGGTTGAATGAAGAAAACCGAGATAAGACAGCAGACACTTCATCTATCAGGACGAAGATACCCTCTACCTTCGATTTTGGGTAAGCTGTATCATGTTTTTGGTTATGTGTTTTGAGACTGATGATTCAGGTCTCAAACATTGAAGGATTGACTGAAATAATACATGAAAAATAACAAATGAGAAATTTTATGGCAAACTGGTAACTGTTCCTCATGAATGCGTACAATCCTCTGCATACAATTTTTCACTGGGAGTCCAATGGTTGAAGCGTTCACTCGTCACACTGAAGACCCGGGTTCGATTTCCCACATGGGTACAATGTGTGAAGCCCATTTCTGGTGTCCCCTGCTGTGATATTGCTTGAATAGTGCTAAAAGCTGGGTAAAACCATGCTCACTCACTAACTCATTCAGGAGGTACATATATTCTGCATTTCTGGTTTTCATATCTTGTGTTCTTAAATTAAGCAGTATGGTGGCGCATTTGCAGTTCAGCCAAAAATGTGCATCTGCAAACACAGAAAAGTAATTATGCTCAATCTTCTTACCCTTTTTGGTGTCTTCTAATTTTGTATATTCTAAAATATTTCAGCATGTCCAGAACCTCTTTATCACATTCGTGTGTATGAGAGTTTAGTCCTCACTTTTACACACACATCATGAAGCCATACTAAACAGGGTACTTGAGGTTGACTTAAATTATGCGGAAAGTAAGACAATCTTTCCTGACTGAACATATTAAATATATTTGTTCAGAATAATCTTCTTATCAGTGGGAAAAGTAAAAGATGTTGAAACACAAAAATGTCATACATGATTAAAGCTTCAATAAATGTTGCTAGAGACTTGGAAAAATGTTTTAGTGTCTAATATATGTTAAACATATCAGGGAATTCATGTTCATTTTATTTGTGGGAACAGTGTTTCACTGATGCATTCAAATACAGTCCATGTCAATAATAAAGAAGTTCAAATCTATGAAATTTACTTTTTTATGTATTTCATGTCAAAATACCAAATAAAGACATCTTTTTGGGGTTGCTAGGGGAAACAACAGTATCCTTGGTCACAGTTACCTTGGCAACGACGGTGTGTTTGCCTCTGAGCTGAAGGTCAAGTCCCCTACCCCTCGTCCCACAATCTCCAGCACACTCCTGACCACGCGGAGGAAGAATGCCCTGGACGTGTTCCAGTCAACGCCATTGTCTCGGACAGGCAAGGAACAGAGAAACATGTCCAAGCTTCGAGTTCACCAACAAACAGGTAGATTGTTATTCATTATCATTAACAGACAGATGGACTGTTATTCATTATCATTAACAGACAGGTGGACTGTTATTCATTATCATTAACAGACAGACATGTAGACTGTTATTCATTGTCATTAATAAACAGGTTGACTGTTATCCATTATCATCAACAGTCAGTCAGTCAGTTATTCATTATCATTAACAGACAATTAAACTGTTATGATCATCAGCAGACGGATATACTGTTATTCATGACCACTAACAGACAGGTAGATCACTCTATGATCAACTGATTGACTGACTGACTGAGTTTGGTTTTACGCCGCTTTTAGCAATATTCCAGCAACATCACGGCGGGGGACACCAGAAATGGGCTTCACACATTGTACCCATGTGGGGATTCGAACACGGGTCTTCGGCGTGACGAGCCAACGCTTTAACCACTAGGCTACCCCACCGCCCTCTCTATGATCAACAGACTGATAGACATTTGTTCTTGATTATCAACTGACAGATCAGCCATTATTTATGATCAACAGATAAGTGGACCATTATTCATGATCAACGATCACTGGATTGTCTGGTCCAGACTCAATTATTTACAGACCTCTGCTATATAGCTTGAATATTGATGAGTGCAACGTAAAACTAAACTCACTCACTCACGACGGATTCTTATTTATATGTATATTTCCTTTATCAATACGTTTGCATCCTTCACAGTTGTGATTCCCGATGAGAAGGATGATGAGATCTCAGAAAGGATATCGCCCAGGTGAGTATACTGAAACTTATCACTAATGTTGACGTATAAACATCATAATCATAATAGGCCACTGTGTTGATAAAGCCAAGGCAACACAGGCTTGAAATGGCCTTGAAGTGGTAGATCTGGCCTTGGAAAGGCTATCATCTTGAATGTGCCCAGAAAAATGCTTTAAGTTGGGAGGTCCAGCCTTCAAAAGACTTTACATTTTAGTGTGCACAGAAAAAAAGCTTTTGTAATGATTATTTCTTGGTGATGATGTTGTATTGGAAAAGATTAGTCTGGAACTCAGTGGATGAATATCGTTTACAGTGATGTTTGGACTTTTGTTCGAATATTTTATCCATGTATTTGAATGTTAACAATGATTAATGAAGTTGTTCTGACAGTGAAATATTAACATAATCATGATAATGAATTTAGAAAGCAGATTTAGTCCTTAATTTTAGACTTGTAACACATGTTCGCTGACTTGAAAAGATCTTTAACAAGGGTTAATGAAGATATTCTGACAATGAAATACTATTAACTATTACGAATTTGAAAGCACATTTAGACATTAAATTTGGACTTTAAATGTATGCTTGCTGCCTTGAAAGATGTTTAAAATGTCTTGAAGTTGGTGCTGCAAGTTTTGTTTTCATGTTTTGTTGTCATACATAATGTCTCAATACCTGTGTCAGGATGTGTGTTAGGTACAACATTCCTCATTGTTTGCAAGAACATACTGTATGACAAGCCTTCGATGGTATGAGATAAGTTGAAGTATGTGTTGTGTTCACAGTTTGGAGAAGACATCCCATGAATTCAAGACGTCACCGTACGCCAGCGAGGGATGGATGGAGGACTTGTGAGTTGAGTTACATTGTTCATGTTCACCGATGGATGGGTGGGTGGGTGGATGGATAGATGGATGGATTGAAAGGTGGGTGGGTGAATGAATGGATGGGCGAGAGGAGAGAGGGAGGGAAAGATGGATGCGAGGGAGGGATGGTGGGTGGGAGGATTGAGGGAGGGATGGGGGAGGGTGGGTGGGATGGATGAATGGGTGGGTTGGAGGAGGTAGAGATGGGTTGGTGGAAGGGATGGGTGGGTGGGATTAGGAAGGGTGGATGGATGGGTGGGTGCGAAGAGGAAGGAAGGGGTGGGTGGGAGGATGGAGTGATGGATGGATGGGTGGGTGAGGGAGGGAGATAGAGATGGGTGGGAGGAGGGAGCGGTGGGTTGATGGGAGGAGGGAGGGAGGTAGATATGGGTGGATGGTTGGGTGGGAGGAGAGAGATAGAGATGGATGAGTGGGAAGAGGGAAGGAAAGATGGGTGGAGGGAGGAAGAGATGGGTAGCTGGGGGGGAGCAATGGATGGGTGGGTGGGTAACATACTCACTCACTCAAGACTCCATGCTTTCTTGTTGTAGAAAAAATCGCTATTCAGCAGAAGCAAGAGAGAGGAACCGGAAGATCACTGAAGCAGAAATAATAGCCAAAGTCCATGAGGAAAGGGTATGTTACTATTAGTTTCTGGCCAAACACCTTATGTGTTAACATATGTTACAAATTTGTCGTGGAAGGTCAAGTGATTTCAAGAAGACTGTAATACTGTGTCGTATATGCATAACAAATCCCCCAAAACATCACAAATTGCAAGGTCTGTTGCAGCTCTAGTTTAACCTTTTTTATTTGTTTACTGTTATATATTAAAGAAACTGAAAGGCTTTTATACCTTGTTAAAGGATATTTTTGTTTTATATATGTGGTATGTAAGTTGTATCTTTAGTGAATTTGTTTTCATAATCAGTTGCTGTTCAAACCAGTAAACAGTCATTAAATTTGAACCAGTTCTCTGTATTGATGATATTCTAAGGGACTCGGGAAGGGTTCAAAGGAAAATTAATAAATGATTGTTTAGCAGCCCATTTGTTGTGTCTCCAGTCATATTTCAGGAATGTTGCTAAAACCATACTCACTTGCTCATTTACTCTAAAATAATCTTTTCATTTATTTTTTTTTCAGAGAAAAGAACGAGAGGAGAATTTGGAGAAAATGGTAGGTCAGAAAATGTGGAACTTCTTTAATTCGTATTGAAACATTCTAAGTGTTTTTTACCAGAATGATCTGCTTGTGAAGTATATATTTCTTATCACATGAGAAGATAATGTGTAATGTCTGTAGACCTACTCAGATTTTGAAAACTTCTCTCCTCCTTGTGTTGTAGATTAAAGAGCGGATGAGGCTGGAGGATAAGGAACCTCCAGTATTAGAGGAACCACCGACCCTGGAACCAGAAAAGGAAGAGGAAGAACGGTTACCAGGTTAGTAAATAGTCATCCGATTATCGCCAAGGTCCCAATCCACACTGTGTATGTACCATTATGACACATTGTAACTCTTTACTTTATCATAGGCTTAAAGGGGCTTTGGAGTAGCCTCGTGGTTAAAGTGGTCTCTCGTCACACCAAAGCCCTCAAGTTCAACTCCCCACATGGGTACAATGTGTGAAGCCCATTTCTGGTGTCCCCGCGCCGTGGTATTGCTTTAATATTGCTAAATATTGCGTAAAACTACACTCACTTATCATAGGCTTACATTATCATTATGCTTTGTGCATATTGTCCAAGGGATAACATTTTAGTAAACTAAACTCAGGATCCATTCCCGTAATTTTTTGCAAACCAGCCTCAATGCTGGGTTGGCAGTGTCCATCAACATGGCACCCTGTCCTGTAGATCAGAATCGTGTTAGGGACAAATTCAGTTTTGAACCGACTGGCACGCAAAAGAAAGCCCGTAAGACACCCTTAAATATCTTTGATGGAAAGACTGTCTTCATGTTCATTAATAACTTGCGGTGGCTTTGGTTTCTAAATTATATGAGGTACCTCCCTTTCCCATGTGTTGATTGGTTACGTCAATGAAAATCAAGGGCAGGTAATTTTCGAGGAATGGTGGACATTATAGGTTTGCCGATATGCGAGCCCTTGAGAAATAGAGGAGATGATTATATAATGAGGAAATGAGGAGTTTGACTTTAGAGAAACTCTGCACCTTACTGCACTGGGATGTAGAAAATTTGTGTATCTAAAACTGATTGCAGATATTTCAAAAGTTGGTACTACTTAATAATAATTTAAGAAATGCAATACATTATTGATACAACAAATTCTAAATGAAGTCTCTTTGTTCAAGACATCACAAGCGATATGGAAAATATCATCTCCACTGCCATAAAAGGCTTTCCTCCGGACCAGGTGCTGGTGGAGGGCTACAGGCTACAGATCACACGGAAAGACATGGCAACCTTAGATGGCCTGAACTGGTTGAATGATGAAGTAAGATCATGAAGATGACTTGAAGCTTTGTTACTAGCTTACCTCACATTTCTACATCAGTTAGATGCAGCGGTGAGACTGGGATATTGCTGTAGTTTAGGCATTTGTTTCATCGCGGAAGGTCGCGGGTTCGATCCCCGACCGCGTCATACCAAAAGACGTTAAAATATGGTACTTCTTGGTCCCTGCCTGGTGCTCGGCATTAATGGGTACATCAAGGACTGATCGGCTTGGAGTCAGTATAATGTGTCGGAGTGGGGTATTCATGCTTCACTGCGGCATGGTATCTCAGTGGGCTAGCACTATAAAACAAGTCTGGGCTAGTACAAGCAGCCGCACATACACATACACACGCATGCACGTTGTCATATGAGCGCAATATTCTCCAGCACGACGTTAAACCTAATTTCACCTCACCCTTTTTGTAAGATAAAAGGATCATGTGTAGGAATTGTCATTCTTTTGAGAGTCTGGGGCAGAGGTGTATCTTAATGGTAAAGGATCTGCTCGTCACGCTGAAGACCCAGGTTTGATTACCTACAAGGGTATTATGTGTGAAGCATAGTGAGTGAGTTTAGTTTAGTTTTATGCCGCACTCAGCATTATTCCAGCTATATGGCGGCAGTCTGTAAATAATCGAGTCTGGACCAATCCAGTGATCAACAGCGTGAGCATGGATCTATGCAATTAGGATATGATGACATGTGTCAACCAAGTCAGCGAGTCTGACCACCCCATCCCGTTAGTCACCTCTTACGACAAGCATGAATTACTGAAGATCAATTCTAGCCGGGCTGAAATATTGCCGATGCGACTTAAAATCATAACTCACTCCCTCTAACCCGGATCTTCACAGGTTACATTGATTAGGGATGCGTTGCAAGTCGGGAATTGCTTAGAGTAAGCAAATGAATCACTTATCCTGGGCTTGCAACAGTTTGAAGCGTTTCTTACTCTTCCAAAATGGTGGAGTGATTACTGATTACTGAGCGATTACTCTTCACGGGTCCCATTGTATGGGACAGTGGGGTAGCCTAATGTTAAAGCATTCACTTGTCTTGCCAAAGGCAAAGGTTGTATTCCCCACATGTGTGAAGCCAATTTCTGGTGTTCCCTTCTGTGATATTGCAGTAATACTGCTGGAAGCAACATAATACTCACTCACTCACTCACTCACTCACTCACTCACTCACTACTCACTCACTCACTCACTCACTCACTCACTCACTCACTCACTCACTCACTCACTCACTCACTCACTCACTCACTCACTCACTCACTCACTCACTCACTCACTCACTCACTCACTTCATTGTACAAACCGCCTCCGTGGTGTAGTGGTTAGAGCATCCGCCCGGAGAGCGGAAGGTCGCGGGTTCGATCACCGACCGCGTCATACCAAAAGACGTTAAAATATGGTGCTTGTTGGTCCCTGCCTGGCGTTCGGCATTAATGGTTACAACAAGGACTGATCGGCTCGGAGTCAGTATAATGTGTCTGAGTGGGGTATTCATGCTTCACTGCGGCATGGTATCTCAGTGAGCTAGCACTATAAAACCAGCTTCAGTCTGGGCTAGTACAAGCAGATACACATACACACGCATGCACGTCGTCATATGAGCGAAATATTCTCAAGCACGACGATAAACCCAATTTCACCTCACCTCACTTCATTGTACACAATTCATTTTAGAAACTGATCAACAAATGTAATTGGTAATACAAGACACTTGATATGGATGTTCAACTTCTTTATTATCTACACACGTCGTTTGTTGAAGTTGCACATCCATATCAAGTGTCTTGTATTACCCTACCAACTTCTTAATGCCTATCGAACATCTGAAATGCATTTGGGATTACCATTTATCAGTAAAGGTCATATTCTTGTATTTTGGTGGGCGGTTTCCCATGATCTAACCCACACACCAGCACTACATGAGCAGCACACAAGAATTGGGGTAACCCTAACCAACACGGGTTCGAACTCACATGGGTACAATGTGTACATCAGAAGCGTGATACTGGAATATTCAGCGTAAAAACCTCAGTCAGTCAGTCATTCCCAGCCACCAAGTCTAACAACTTGTTATCTAGCCAAGTACTTTTTGTACACCTCTGATAAGTGCAAATTGACACAGCTCATATGGCTGCAAACTATGAATGCACAATGCCTTTTAGAACGAGATCAGTGTACTTATACAAAGAAAGCTTAATCCCTTGTACAACATTTGTTAGGTTTTACCAAAGATGCTGGGAGGTGGAGTAGCCTTGTCATGCCAATGACCTGGTTTCTATTCCTCATATGGGTACAATGTTACACCCATTTCTTGTGTCCTCCGCCATGATATTGATGGAATTTTGCTAAAAGTTGTGTAAAACTGAACTCCCTCACACACTCACCAAAGATGTAAATGTCAGAGACCTGGATCTAGCTTGAGGTATCAAGTCATCTTTCTCCCACAGATCATCAACTTCTACATGAACATGCTAACAGAGAGAGGAGAGCAGGAGGATCGACCCAAGGTGTACGCCTTCAACACATTCTTTTATTCCAAATTAATGAATGGCGGCCACTCAGCAGTGAGAAGATGGACAAGGAAGGTGGATGTCTTTTCACACGACTACGTCCTTGTTCCAGTTCATCTAGGTGTACATTGGTGTATGGCTGTAAGTAGTTGTTATGGAAACAGATGCACAGTTGCTGATGTTTTGTAATTGTTCCGGTTCATCTGGGGGTTCATTGGTGCATGGCTGTAAGTAGTTGTTAGGGAAACAGTTGCACAGTTGCTGATGAAATGTACTTGGTTTGAGAGTGGGGGTTCAACCATTGGTGTATGGTTGTAAATAGTTGTTAGGGAAACAGCTGCACAGTTGTTGATCTGGGTGTTCATTGGTGTATGGCTGTAAGTAGTTGTTAGGGAAACAGCTGCACAGTTGCTAATGAAATGTACTTGTTCCGGTTCATCTGGGGGTTCATTGGTGCATGGCTGTAAGTAGTTGTTAGGGAAACAGCTGCACAGTTGCTGATGAAATGTACTTGTTCTGGTTCATCTGGGGGTTCATTGGTGTATGACTGTAAGTAGTTGTTAGGGAAACAGCTGCACAATTGCTGATGAAATGTACTTGTTCTGGTTCATCTGGGGGTTCATTGGTGTATGGCTGTAAGTAGTTGTTAGGGAAACAGCTGCACAGTTGCTGATGCATTGTACTTGGTCTGCAACAGTGACAGTGTTTTTCGAGACGTTTTTTTAAATAAATTCCATAATTATTGTCCAAATTTACCAGCTGTCATAATGTAGTCATTACAACCACCAGTGGTGTAAACTGGTCATGTTTACTATGTTTGAGTGGGGATGAAGGAGGGGAAATGCTTCTAAAGTGGCTTTGCAGAGTTGCATCCCTTAGGAATGCCAGGAACCTAAAGACCTGGGTTCGATTCCTCACAGTCACATTGGTACAATGTGTGAAGCCCATTTCTGGTATCCCTCACCGTGAAGCGGTGTAAGACCATACTCACTCACTCACTCATGGGTGTCATTAAGTCACTTTGTGCTGACCTGTACTTGTAAGCTGTCACGCTGTATCGTAACTTAAATCCTGTTCAAAGCGTTGTCACTCACTGACTTGGTTTCATGGGCAGTCTAAGTAAATTTAGGCTCACTATTAATTGCTACACTGCTATACTGAGTCTAACAAAACCTAGTAGAAGGTCGCGTCAGCTAACCTTTGAGCGACCTATGACCGTCAAATCAAACGCGAGACGGCCGAACGGATTTAACCAATCAGACAACGACTACTTGTTAGGGTTTGGCGAGACTTACAAAACGGTTTTTTGGATTTTCTCTTCCCTGGTCGCTGACACTGATCTATGAACATACGAAAATCCGCATAAAACACAGATATTTGACCTGCAGTATATACGCTTATGGGTTTCTAATGACATGGTTACTATAATCTTTTATTTTTGCAAGATGACATCCTTGAATATTGACAAAACAGCTATTTTCAGCGACTGTTTACTCATTGCGTGTATCACTCGGGAGCGATCGTGCGGAAAATAGCATTTGGAATCGTTCGAGTTTTTTAGGTAAAGGTTCAAACGGTATGTGCGAATGTTAACTTTCGCGATTTGGTAAGCTGTGTTCTGATTGGTCAGTCCAAAAGGTTAGCTGACACAACCTTCTACTAGGTTTTGTTAGACTCAGTACAGCAGTGTAACGAATAATACTGAGCCTAAGTTTACTTAGACTGTTTCATGGGATATCTGGGGGCAGTGGGGTAGCCTAGTGGTTAAAGCGTTCGCTCGTCCCCCCCAAATGCCTGGGTTCGATTCCCCACATGGGTACAATGTGTGAAGCCCATTTCAGGTGTCCCCCGCCATGATATTGCTGAAATATTGCTAAAAGCGGCATAGAACTCAACTCAATCACTCACTCACTCATGGGATATCTGAAGTACCCCAATCTTAGAACATCTGAATTCAGAGCATTAGGGCCCTTATTCTCAAAACGTTCGTAACCCTAAGAATTCTTAACTTTGATTATATCCAATGTGTTAAGAATGGGCTAAAGAAATTTGTAGGGCTACAAACGTTTTGAGAATAACCAGCCAGATTATTTGTCTCTGCTGATAGACATTAAGAGAATCACCATCGATTATGACTTACATTTTGTTTTCAGAAACTATATATGTTTTAGTTAATACAAACAATCTTGAAAATATTTATCATGTTTTCTTTTATTATTGGATGATAATATTCATAACATTTGGATTCCAGTTGTGTGTCGCGTTAGAGATACCAAGTGTTTTAGTACTGTCATACCACCATTTCTGTTTTTAGGTGATTGATTTTAAAAAGAAGAAAGTCAGCTACTTCGACTCAATGGGAGGCAGAAATGTACAGTGTTTACAGGGATTGAAGTAAGTTTGTTCAGCATTGTGTCTGTGGAACAGAAAGGGGAAGTTAAGAGATAGCCATAGTGTGTATTCAGTATAGAGCAACCTGACCTGTTGTATAACAACTCGGAACAAATTTGGAACAGTGCTTGAATGGATGGAAGATGCCTAGTTATCAGTCACCTAAACATGTCCTATAAAATCAATATTGGGGGGTAGCCTTGTGATTAAAGAGTGCACTCGTCATGCCCATGACCTGTATTCCATTCCCCAATTCTGGTGTCCCCCGCCACGATATTGCTGGAATATTGCTAAAATCAGCGTAAAATCATACTCACTCACTCACTCACTCACTCACTCACTTAAAAAAAATGAAACAGTTCATAAACATTTGGGGCTTCTTGAATCGACTGTCTGGTGTGGCGAATTGTCACGTGGTAGGAGTACTCTTGCTGACTGCATTCAACTAACCATGAGAGAGTGGGATAAGTTATCTACTGATGACTTGTTTGTAAAGCTGTAGCTGTTGTTGACATGCAGAGATGCCAACCTCTACGATTTTATTGTAGTCGCTACGAATTTTAGGCTCAAACTACGCCAATACGATTGCATTATATATTCTACAAAATTTGAAGATCATTCATTAAAATTTGAATATACAGACAAAAAACTATATTTTCGTCGATGAAATACATTTTTGGACTTCACTTATCTTCCATTCATCAAATACAATGACATACTTGAACTGGAATCAGTAACAGTGCGATTTGACCCACTTATTGTGTATTGACGGAATTTGACCCACGGAAAATGACGATCCAATCGGAATGATTTAACCACGTGACCGTTCCTTTCGTTTGATTATACGAATCCGGTATGTGAAATTAAGCTTCACTCTTGATTAGTGTTGTATTATCTTTCTAAGAATCCATCGTGATTTTATGTATTTAGTTGACTACTAATTTTATGGTCAAACTACTAATTCTGATCCTTGAAACTACTATTTGCAACACTTTGGGGTTTGCATCTCTGGACATAGTTGGGCATGTACGAAACATGATCTGAGATGAGTTTGTGTTTCTTCTCAGAAAATACCTTGCCGATGAGTCAATGGACAAGAAGAAACAAGCCTTTGATTTCACGGGATGGGAATTACAAATTGAGTCTGTGAGTAGTTTTTTTTTATTTCTTGATTTCATGTTGATCCCCTGCAATGTCATGCCAACAAACTTTAAAAGTTGGTACTTATTGTTTCCCTGCCTGCTGCTGGGTGTTGAGGGGATAAAGCAAGGATTAATCAGCGTATCCTGAATGTTGGGTTACAATAATAACATGTCAGGACTTGATGTATTGTTCAGTATATTCAGTGAAAACATACCAAAGGAAATTATTATCCCCGCCCCGCAGTGAGGGATATAGGTTTGAACTCTGTCCGTCCGTCCGAACTGATGGGAACTGATTTTCTCAGAAACTGTTATAGATAGGGAAACCAAATTTGATGTTTTGGGGACATGAATGCTGTGATGGTGTTCGAAAACAGAAACCGTATTAAGATTTGTTACAGAGTTATGGCCCTTGTCATGCATTTCTTGACTTTGTGCACTGTATCCCCAATGGGGACAGATTTTCTCAGAAACCGTTATAGAGAGGGGAAACCAAATTTGATATATTTTTCCTTATCCTGACTCATGCTCTTTTGCTTGTCTTCTTCTTCTTGCGAACATAGTGGAACACTTGTATCTCCTTATTTGAAGCTCCCTTCAAAATAAAATCACTAATTGGTACTCACCAAGAGTTGCTCCCCTTTGTCTCCCCTGGCGGGAAAGGTGTCGCCACCCTCTGGCCATGTGCTTCACTCTCTCCTTCTTCGCCCAGTGAGCAGGATGTGAGAGCGCCTTGTGTCTCCTTACACACCATATCCTTTGATAATCTCTTAGTTTTTACCTCTCATAGGTTACTATAGAGGTATAGCTAGTATCCTTTACTATTTGTATTGATTAATTATCGTTATTTCTACTGTTTATTCAACGTGTATTCGTGATTGTTCAGCTAGCTTTTTACGTTGATGAAAATCTATACGATTTGTAGATTACGTTTTCTGCCTCCGATCCACATGTAATATGCCCTAGTTGTTCTACATGTATGCGCTTAATTCACGTTGCAGTTACTGCATTAATTTATCTCATTCTGCATTTAATAAATATCATCTTTGCGTCTTAAGACGTGCTGCAGATAGATCACGCAAACAAGGGCAAAACATGGCAGAGAGTCCAGATATTCCATCCAGTCAGCTGCTAGCGATCGACCCTCTCCCGTCTGGTGTTCTGCTAGAGACCCCTGCGGCAGAGGAACGTGGGACGCAGTCCGTTACCTCGAAGAAACGACCGCCTCCCCAGACATCCCGCCATTGCAGACCAAGTCTAAGAGGGCCTCATCGCCGCCTCAACGCAGGATTGAGGACACCCAGGGCAGCAGACTTCCAAAGGGAAATTCACGAAGACAGCAAGAACTTTCTCAGCCGAGATCGTTCCAGCAGCAGAATTGGGCCTCTACGATGATCAGCCGATAATCATCCCGACTTACGCAGAAGAAGCGACCCGGTGTCAGCGACTGTGACTTCTGCAGAGATCACCATGCAGCCTGATGCTTCTACACCGGCGCCAGGCGTCATTGATGTGAACCCATCGCAGAGAAAAGGCGCGCCGGCGACTTCGTCACAGATCATCCCAGAAGACATGATGCGGCAGTTTATGAACGAACATCATGGAGGACCACTACAAACTGCGCAAGCAGGGTCCGAAGCCAGCGAAGGCTCCAACGTGAACAGCACCCCAGAGGCACCCCGTCCAGCGTAGCAGCCAAGACGATGTCACCTTCGCGAAGGAAGTCCCGCACCACCTTGACGAAGGACCTAGATGTACAGCCAGCGCGGCGAAGGTCTTGGAGAGATCATCACCATCTACGATTTCATCTCTAGATATGGACTCAGACCATCAGACATCACGGAAGCCTTCGCGAAGGTCATATCATCGATCCCCCGGACCGGACGCAAATGAAGCATATGATTCCAGATCCTCATCATCTAGAAGAACATCGAGGGACTGCCGAAGAGCTTCGCGAAGCTATCAACACAAGTCTCCGAGAAGATCATCCCATAGACGATCTCCACTTCGTTCATCACCAGGCCGATCACCCGTCAGATCTCCACATAGAGCGGCGCACAAGTCAACTAGATCGCCACAAACCTCATCAGATATACAGACAGCTACGCGCCAGTCGAAGAGCATCTACAATTTGTTGATGATGATGGTTTTGAGGATGATGGAGGAATCATATTTTCTGATGCAGAATCACGGTATTGGATGGTCAATAACCTAGATCTCACATCACCATCTAAAAGTGGCAATACAGCGCAGGACGTATTTGATGAAGGAAGATGATCCAGATGCAATCACTCTACCCCGATCGAATCCGATTGCGGCAGTGCCACAGAACCTAGATGCAGCTTTCAGAAAGCTCACGAAAGTTCAGATACCACATCTGCCCAACTTTCAAGCCAAGAAGTTCTCCACGATAACATGGACTCCTTCTACAAGGCCCAGGACATCGATGAGAACTATAAGATCATCAGCGATGTAAAGAACAAGATTTACAAGATGGATGATCGCAAGTTGGCTCATATAGAAACCATGGACGAGGCGTATGTTCTTTGGGTTAAATAGATCTAGGGCCGATCAATGAGACTCTTATTACTAGATTCGGGATTCCACGACGCGGAAGATGATAGAATGATTTATTCTGCCTTACTTATGCAAAAGAAAGATCAGCAGTTTTTAACGGATCATCTTACATCTGTTTCAGCAGCACTGACCTTAGCTTCGTCGTCAAGGCCTCCTCAGCCTCCTGTAATTGGGGAGAACTTTACAGCCCCACTTTATACAGCCCGTGAATTGACAACATCCATCTTTGACGGAGAAACACAAAGTCGCCAAGGAAGTCTCTAAGGATTCCAGGGAAGTCCTTATGATTAGATCGATGGACACACTAGCCAGCGTCATTCGTCAGACTTCACAAAGATACTCAGGCAGATCTAAGTTCACGGGCCTACAAAGAGCAAGAGACAGGAAGATAGCCAGCTCTAGAGGTAAAGATTCTTTTAAAATTAAGCCCATATGGCAACCTATAGAGGAGGATCAGGAAGAGGCAGGACACCCAGAGGTTCCCGCAATTATAGGCGCTGAAACACAGGTTTGAACGACTGGAGTCTTCCACCCCCAGCCATTCCAGTACAGCCAGCTCAAGTGGGTGGACCCTCCAACTACACTGGGAAAACTGGGGAATATTGCAAGACCCTTATACGTCTCCAACATTCTTCAACACGGATTTTCAGTATCCCTCTACAGGCCAAGCCTCCGCTGACAATCAAACCCCCAAGTTCGATTTACAAAGCAACAACTACCAAAGATAAGAGAGGCTGTTTCATCACTCCTATCCAAACAGGCCATAGAAGTAATAGATCAAGCAAGCGTCGAACCAGGTTTCTACTCCCCAGTTTTCCTAGTTCCCAAGAGAAAACTCCACGGAGAAATACAGACTCATCTACAACATGAGCTTTTTCAACAAGAACTATCTACGCAAACCACGAAGTTTCGCATGATACATTTACCTCAGTTACGCCAGATGATTAGATCCTATGGACTACATGGGCAGCATAGATCTACAGGATGCCTACCTGCACATCCCCATTCATCCCGATTCCAGGAAATACCTACGGATTTACTCTAGAAGGGCTACATTACCAGTGGAAAGTACTCCCCATTGAATATCATCAGCCCCTGGCTATTCACGCGAGGATAACGAAACCGATTATCAAATTTCTACATCGTCAAAGGGCTCATGAGTCGTTTTACCTCGACGACGGGATACAAGTAGATCAAGATCCACTCGCGTCTCAAACTACAGTTAAATTACATCATAAAGCTACTAACACAACTAGGTTGGTTAGTAAACTTTACGCAAGTCGGACCTAGTACCATCGCCAAGACCTGCAGTTCCTAGGTATTCGATTCATCACAAATCGCATAACCGTATTATGGTACCAGAAGACCGTTGGCTCAAGATACAGCAGACCATTCCACCAGCTCTACTCTCTCCGTTACCACTCTGCGACAATGGCAGAGCCTACTAGGTCTTCTCACATCAGCCCAAGACATGACTGTCACAGGCAGATTACAGTTACGTCCCTACAGGTCCTCATCAACGCACATCTCAACTGATGTACAACCATTCAGTCTACACGAAACATCTCAGACCGCATCTACTATGGTGGACCAAGAAATCGAATGTCTGCGAAGGGATTTGTTTAGCAGAGCAGGAATACAAAACCCATCTGTATGTAGGCAGCGTCACTCCAAGGTTGGGGAGCTCATCTCACCAACCACACGATATCAGGGTTATGGAATCAGCAAGAATGCAAACTCCATATAAACAGTCTAGAAATGAAAGCTGTAATCAACGCCATTCTACATTGGAGCACATTTCTACAAAATCGCAGCCTAATGATCCATACAGACAATTGACAGTGGCGTTCTACATAAACAAGCAAGGCTCAAGCGAGATCGATGAACCTTTTGAACCTAAGCTTTCAACTGTTCGATTTAATACAAGATCTAAATCTACATGTCAGAGCAGTGCACATTTCGAGCCAGAAATATACTAGCAGGCGGCTCTCTCGGCCTCATCTACCATCACCGACAGAGTGGATGATCAACAGGAAATTTTGCACAGATAATCAAGCAATTAGGGCCGCTAATAGACCTATTCGCCACGCCGATTCAACAATCAGCTACCGACATTCGCGTGTCACCAGTCCCAGACCCCAAGCTTGGCAGCGGACGGCTCTAAGTCTATCATGGGAAGGCCTCAATGCGTCGCAGTTTCCGCCCGCCAGCAATAATACCTCAAGTATTACAGAAAATCAGACAAACACAGAGCCTACCATAACTCACTTTGGTGCCCTACTGGCGGCCAGAACGTGGTTTCCCATACTAATTCAAGAAATCGGTCAACCAACACTGGAGCTACCCAAAGCGGCGCAAACCTGTTAATTCATCCTCACACCAAACAAGTGCACGGAAACCCAGCAATGTTCCAACTACTGCGTATGGACTGTATACAAATGTGTTTAAACAAGAGAGGATATTCTGCCAGGGCGGCAAAAGCAGTCACGCTTTGCTTTACGTTACTCAACTCAGAACTTGTACTCTACGACAAGTGGCACAGTTTCAGAAAATTATGCAACAAAGAAAGGGTTTACAGCAAGAGAGGCTTCACAACCTCAAGTGGCAGACTATTTGTGTTACCTACGCCAAAACAAACATTTAAAAGGTTCAACGATATCAACATATCTTGCAGCTTTTAGTTCTGTAATCACCATGAGAGCGGTGTCAAATTGACAAGATCTCCAGAGTTACTGGCCTTACTAACGAGCTTTCGATTGGAGGACCAAAGCGAAGTTCCACGCCCAGCTTGGGATCTGAATGTAGTGTTACAACACCTCACGCAGTGAGGTCTATGAACCTTTGGAATCGACAAACTTTGAATTTCTCTCACAGAAAACACTGTTTCTGCTATCGCTAGCCACAGCAGCAAGAATGTCTGAAATTCACGCTCTGGATTACGAGAGGATACAGTTTGATGACAATCATAACACAGCGCACCTCGGATTAAGATGGGATTTCATCGCAAAAAATCAACTGCCAGGTCAACCAGACAGATTATTCCACATCCCGGCTATCCTCTATTCTCGGATCACAAGATACACAAGACCTATCACTGTGTCCGGTAAGAGCTCAAAGTTTATTTGACGATCCAAAACAAGGAGAAGATTTCTCAAACGTTTATTCATCCCCTTATCGCCTACTGAATCAAACAGAAGTGTCACGGACCACAATATCTATTTGGATAAGGACTGTCACAAGTGCCTACAAGGCAGCAGGCTTGGACCCACCAACAGCATCAAATCCACATGAGATCAGGGCACTGGCCTCTACCCTCGCCCTACACGGTAACTGTTCCTTGAACACGATTATGGAAGGATGCTATTGGAAATCTAACATGGTATTTGCTAATCACTACCTAAGAGACATCACTACAGAAGATGTCTCTGGCATTCACCATTTCGACCACTGGTCCTCGGCTCAGCAACTGACAGTCCCTCGTGAGGCGTTAAAATATTATCCTCACAAGATTAATATGTATTTTATACATACTCATCTAGCTTATAACTCTACGGAGTTTTAGGGCTATGTATATATGTTCAGCTTAAGTATTCAACCTTAAGCATATACTTTGGTATAGTCAATTTCAGTGCCTCTATCAGAGTCACCTATATATATATATATAATTTATATGTATTGTTCAATATATTCATAATGTAATTCCCTTTAATGGCTTTATATAACCTATGGTTTCTTTATACAGGAAACATCCTAAATCTAAGACTTCATGAAGTTCCGTAGGGATATTACAGTATATCTATACAAAATCACTAATTATAAATCCAAAGTATTCTGTTACCCACCTCCGTTCAGTAGGATGCTACAAACAAAAAGAGCATGAGTCAGGATAAGGAAAAGATGTAATTTTTAGAGTAAAATTGATATTTTATACTTATCCTGACTCATGAGGTTAGCTCCTCCCATCCTCCCCACATAACACTTTGGATTTCCCTGTAAATTCAAGTGTTGGGCTCGCTAAATCAGGAGAGAGTGGAGCACATGGCCAGAGGGTGGCGACACCTTTCCCGCCAGGGGAGACAAAGGGGAGCAACTCGTGGTGAGTACCAATTAGTGATTTTATTTTGAAGGGAGCTTCAAATAAGGAGATACAAGTGTTCCACTATGTTCGTAAGAAGAAGAAGACAAGCAAAAGAGCATGAGTCAGGATAAGTATAAAATATCAATTTTACTCTAAAAATTACATGTTTTTGGGACATGAATGCCGTGATGGTGTTCGAAAACAGAAACCGTATTAAGATTTGTTACAGAGTTATGGCCCTTGTCATGCATTTCTTGACTTTGTGCACTGTATCCCCAATGGGGACAGATTTTCTCAGAAACCGTTATAGAGAGGGGAAACCAAATTTGATATGTTTTGGGGACATGAATGCTGTGATGGTGTTCGAAAACAGAAACCGTATTAAGATTTGTTACAGAGTTATGGCCCTTGTCATGCATTTCTTGACTTTGTGCACTGTATCCCCAATGGGGACAGATTTTCTCAGAAACCGTTATAGAGAGGGGAAACCAAATTTGATATGTATTTTCAGGACACAAATGGGGCGGTGGGGTAGCCTAGTGGTTAAAGCGTTAGCTCGTCACGCCGAAGACCCTGGTTCGATTCCCCACATGGGTACAATGTGTGAAGCCTATTTCTGCTGCCCCCGCCGTGATATTGCTGGTATATTGCTGACAGCGGTGTAAAACTACTCTCACTCAGGACACAAATGCCTTAATGGAGTTTGAAAGTGTAAACTGTTATTTTTTTTTACAGAGTTATCGCCCTTGTTGTGCATTTCTTGACTTTGTGCATATTATCCCCAATGAACTGTTATAGATAGGGAAACCTTATTGGGTATGTTTTCAGTTCATGAATGTCATGGTGGAGTTAGAAAGCTGGAACCATGTGGCAAGGGATATTGATGTGTTTTTATGTTGAAAGTGTTGATTTATCATCCAAAACTGTGTTCCACAGGAGATATCACTTGTGTGAGATCAAATGATATCTCCTAGGAGATATCGTTTTGACAGTAGATTTTGTACAATGCCCTGACAATGCTATGACGTCATGTACTTGATGACGTCACAATGCTATGACATCGCTGCACTGCAAGTCTAATGGCAGTACCGTGTTCAGAGATGTACATTTTTCATTGAAAATTAATGAAGAGTGATTTTGGATGATAAATAGAATCTCACCCTCGTATCTTCTGATATCAAATATATCAACACTCGTTGATAAAAGTTAAAATATCCTCGGCAAGCCTCGGATATTTGTAACTTTATCAACTCGTGTTGATATAATTGATATCAGAAGACACTTGGGTGAGATTCTCTATTTATCACCTGACCAGTGACCCTATTACTGTCAAATTGATATGTGAGAGTGTCGGCTATTATCCTGCCTGACTTGGAATTGTTCTATTATGCCCATCTCATTTTGATAGGTAACTACCAAATTCAAGTAAAACACTTCTTTTTGAAAAATTAATGAATATTCAATTCTTGTGATCATGAATAACAAAATAAGTTAGTGAAGGCCTTCTGTTCGATTTACAGAATAGACGAGTGAATCATCACAGTCCCAGTATCCATGTTAAGCTTCACCATGGTATCTCTGTAGGCTAGCATTATAAAACCAGAATAGATCTGAACTTACACAAACAGCTGCACCCATATACAGTCGAGCACCGTTGTCTCGATATTCATGGGACCAAGAAAAAATATCGAGTTATCCGAACTTTGAGACATCCGACCAGCGGCATATCATCACACGTCACTATGAAAGAAAACAAAACAAAAAGTAGATTTTATGTATATCTATTTGTATATACATTTTTACTCACGGGGAACGCAATCTTGAAACAACTCAATAATCACATGCTAGTCACGTGATTACACAAAACTGTCATTGGATATTCTCAGTATGTTTTGAAACTATAATTCGTTATCAGTAGTGTTAGGTCGTAACAGTGAGTACTTCCTAATTAATTCCTTCTTCATTAATCGTAATTAAATAACGAATAAGTGATACCTTCAACTCAATTAGCCCTAATTAGTTTACACTACCACACCCCCTTTGATGCATGCCGTACATGTGGAAACAACCTCAGTTTAGAGGGATACTTGCCCATGAAAAGTAGGTGAATATTGAGTTTCTTTGCAAATATCGAGTTAATGGGGTATTTTGCTTGTTGTGATCATGACATTATATCGAGATATCCGAAATATCGAGACATTCGTATCAAGTTATAAGATCTTGAATAATGATAAATTATGAAGGATTTTGCCGGGACCGAGATGTTATATCGAGACAACCGAGATATCGAGTTATCAGAGTTCGACACAATGGTGCTCGACTGTATGCACATAATATACTCACATTGCTGTTCAAGTGCAGTAGGGCGGTGGGGTAGCTTAGTGGTTAAAGCGTTGGCTCGTCACGCCGAAGACCTGGGTTCGATTCCCCACATGGGCACAATGTGTTAAGCCCATTTCTGGTGTCCCCCGCCGTGATATTGCTGGAATATTGCTAAAAGCGGCGTAAAACTAAACTCAGTCAGTCAGTCAAGTGCAGTAATGTTACAGTTGAGTGTTGAACCCCGGTTTTACCTCACTCACCCTTGGTCAAGGAAAGCAGAAATGAAAACTTGGGACTGATTAGTGTGACCTGAAGATTTGTCCAGGAAGGATAATTACATATGGATGAACAACCTCTTTATTACTATATTAGAACTGGAGCGACGTTTTGTTGGAGCTTCTATCACCATTATCAAGCAAATGAGAGTTAGACCGTACACTGAAACTTCGCCCCTAAAGAAGTTGTTGGTCCTTTTATTATCCGTCCTGAGTGCTCCACTTTCTAACTGCCTCTCAAATTTGTTGTTAAATTTAATTGTAAAATGTTTTAAATGTATTCCAGGACATCCCACAGCAGATGAATGGTAGTGACTGTGGAATGTTTGCCTGCAAGTTTGCTGAATACATCACACGAGAAGCCCCTATCAGTTTTACACAGGTTAGTGAGACATTTAGGGCTGCCATGATCAGCATCCGAATATCTGTTAAAATATTAATACCCAAATTGGCATAAAAAATGTCATTGTTCATATTTTATAGGACAGAAATGAATAAGTGGCTTTAATGATAGCTTTACATTTGGTATTGTATGCTATGCTATCATGCCTAGGAAAGTATCTCTGAATTCAAGAAAATACTGTCAAAAATCTAAATCACAACACAATATTTTTTCCCAAGTTTTCGGCCACTTGTGCCAAGTTGTGAATCTGATATAAATCCAGTCCTGACGCAATAGCCGACTGAAATGATTCCAAGAGATGCCAGGTGGTGGGGTAGCCTAGTGGTCAAAGCGTTCACTTCCCCGGGTTTGAATCCCTACATGGGTTCAATGTGTGAAGCCCATTTCTGCCCTGATGTTGCTGGAATATTGCTAAAAATCGTACTCACTCCCCCCAAAATATGACTGCTAACCTTCCAGCATCTCACTAGCAGCTCGTTTGTATCCTCCCAAAGGAGCTGAGAATGAAAAACAAGTGCACATTAAATGGTGTAATAATGTAGTGCTTTGAGCTTGCTTTAGAGTGTGGAATAGGCACATTACAAACATTCACATCATCATAATCATACTCATGCTCATCATCGACCGCCTCCGTGGTGCCACCCGGATAGCGGAAGGTCGCGGGTTCGATCCCCGACCGCGTCATGCCAAAAGACGTTTAAATATGGTACTTGTTGGTCCCTGCCTGGCGCTCGGCATTAATGGGTACAACAAGGACTGGTCGGCTCGGAGTCAGTATAATGTGTCTGAGTGGGGTATTCATGCTTCACTGCGGCATGGTATCTCAGTGGGCTAGCACTACAAAACCAGCTTAAGTCTGGGCTAGTACAAGCAGCCGTACATACACACGCATGCATGTTGTCATATGAGCGAAATATTCTCCAGCACGACGTTAAACCCAATTTCACCTCACATCATGCTTATCATCAAACATGCACATCATCATTATAATCATCAAACACATTATACTCGCCATCAAACATACACATCGTCATCGTACACATACTCGTTATCAAACATACACATCGTCATCGTACGTACACATACTCGTTATCAAACATACACATCGTCATGCGCCATCGTGTTACACATACTGCGTTATCAAACATACACATCATCGCCATCGCCCACATACTCGTTATCAAACATACACATCGTCATCGTACACATACTCGTTATCAAACATACACATCGTCATCGTCCACATACTCGTTATCAAACATACACATCGTCATCGTCCACATACTCGTTATCAAACATACACATCGTCATCGTCCACATACTCGTTATCAAACATACACATCGTCATCGTCCACATACTCGTTATCAAACATACACATCGTCATTATCAAACATACACATCGTCATCGCCCACATACATTATCACATACATCGCCATTCGTTATCAAACATACACATCGTCATCGTCCACATACTCGTTATCAAACATACACATCGTCATCGTCCACATACTCGTTATCAAACATACACATCGTCATCGTCCACATACTCGTTATCAAACATACACATCGTCATCGTCCACATACTCGTTATCAAACATACACATCGTCATCGCGTCCACATACTTTCGTTATCAAACATACACATCGTCATCGCCCACACATTTCGTTATCAAACATACACATCGTCATCGTCCACATACTTTCGTTATCAAACATACACATCGTCATCGCCATCCACATACTTCGTTATCAAACATACACATCGTCATCGTCCACATACTCGTTATCAAACATACACATCGTCATCGTCCACATACATTCGTTATCAAACATACACATCGTCATCGTACACATACTCGTTATCAAACATACACATCGTCATCGTACACATACTCGTTATCAAACATACACATCGTCATCGTCCACATACTCGTTATCAAACATACACATCGTCATCGTCCACATACTCGTTATCAAACATACACATCGTCATCGTAACTGCGTTATCACATACTCGTTATCAAACATACATCGTCATCGTTCCACATACTTTCGTTATCAAACATACCAAACATCATCATCGTACACATACTTTTCGTTATCAAACATACACATCGTCATCGTACACATACTCGTTATCAAACATACACATCGTCATCGTTACACATACTGCGTTATCAAACATATACACATCATACGTTATCAACACATCATCATACACATCCTCGTTATCAAACATACACATCGTCATCGTTACACATACTCGTTATCAAACATACATCATCATCGCATACACATCCTCGTTACAAACATACACGTTATCAAACATACACATCAAACATACACATGCACATCGTACACATACTCGTTATCAAACATACACATCCTCGTTATCAAACATACACATCGTCATCATCATCGTCATCAAGTAATTATACCCTTTCTCCTTGCAGGAACACATGCCATACTTCAGGAAAAGGATGGTTTACGAAATATTAAAGAAGAAACTGCTACAGTGACAATGACCCCCAGCTGTAGTAGTCATTATCATATCTTACCTCATTCTATACAGACAGCTGACAGTTACCGTGGTTACGTGAATCCTGAATTTATCCTTGTTTACACACATTATATTTATAGAACGTCCAGTTTTGTTGAACTAAGTCAAATAATGTTTCATGTTGAAGAGTGAATGTGATCAAGCTCAGCTTGAATGGCATCAGCTTTTTCTGCCAGATTCGCGTGACCTTTGTGACATTTTTGTGGCACATGTTGTCGAAGACAGGAGATCTTAGCCTACAAATAATCAGGGAAGGAATGACGTTTTTACCGTACTTATTTTCATCCAAACAATTTTGAAACTTACATGCTGTGGAAGGAATTTTCAATCATTAGTCGAGAATATTTTATGCCTTACGGTTGTTGATGTGATAGAGATGTTGGTTGTTAGCTGCCATTGTTTTTACATAGTGTTGGTAAGTCGATGAGTTGCTAGTAAGCTTCTTTGCATTCTATTGTGCTAAACGTGTTACATTCAATTCACAATATACTATAGAAGCAGATAGAGAAAACACTGGAGTGTTCATGAAAGTAAATATCCTAACATTTATTGTGCAAATTCAGTATAGCAATAATAACGGTTTTGTTTATTCTTAGATGTTAAACTGGGTGTTTGATAGCTCACATCCTAATCTTTCTGGGCTTATGTTGTGGAGCTTTGTCATGAAAATTCATCTCCTTCAAGACAGTTATCTGTGTTAAAATAGTATGGATTCTGTATCTTCAAGGCTTGACTTTAATGATGATAACTTCAAGATGAATGTCACAATTAAAAGGATGTTTAAGAGATTACAGAGTGTCAATGGCTCAGTAAAATATATTCCCAGTACTTAAAGGGCACACTTAGAAATCATATTGTTTCAATGTTTATTAAATGATTCAGCAATTTCTGTATATTAGTAGATGTGAACTGGATAGGTGCATGGTAAAGGAACATATTAATATGTAAGATTAACCAAATACACATGAGGTTTAGAAACTGATGGTATCATCTCGATTAGAGGCGAAACTGTTTCTTTTAATATCCATAGTGATTGAAATTAGCATCACTGAGATCAAAAATGGATAGTATTATTCTTGGCCCAGTTTCACAAAGTTATTGTAGCGTTACGACTGTTGCAAGTCTATGATGCAGTATAGGAGGTTTGACGGTCATAGAGCTACAATAGCTTCGCCAAACAGGGCCCAGGTTGACACTTCTGTAAGCCAAAGGGCGTACTGAACATCTTTATGAGTACTCTGTGGTACACATGGATAATATTATATTTCTTTCCCAGCAGTGTCGCATGCTTGGATAAAACAAGTTTTGTTTTCTTTCCTTGGTGCAATCATGGTGAGTTTGGTTCTGACAATACAGCTGATGTTTATCACAGCCTCATCAAAATTTTGTTGTCTAATGAAGGTGAGCTCCAGGACCTATTGTACTCTGGACACACCATCTCAAGCTAGACTTGGGCACTTGCATCCCTCTGTGAAAACACAATGTGCATCTGTAGACAGTTCGAGGGTTCACGAGGACACGTGATCTGTGCTCTTATGGCCATAAATCATATAATTTATTTCTCCATCATAACATTGTGCGAGGACTATTCTTATGAAATATATCATTGGTGCAGACCTTATCTCTGTATATATCTGTATATATCATCAATTGTATTTTTTTTGTACGTCCAGAATATTTAAGTTCAGCAACGATTCATCATCAGCCATCTTTCGTTAATGAGTTCATCTTGGTGTCATGACGAGGAGAATCAGATGATGAAGGCAGAGGGGGTTAGCACAGTGGTGGAGGTGTTTCCTTGTGGAGGTGAACTGGTTCAGTTCTCCACGGATGAAGACACCATGTGTTGATTCCATACCTTCATTTGAGAGGGGTGGTGGGATAGCCAAGTGGTTAACATGTTCGCTCGTCACGCCAAAGACCTGGGTTCGATTCCTCACATGGGTACATTGTGTGAAGCCCATTTCTGGTGTCCCCCGGCGTGATATTGCTAGAATATGCTAAAAGTGGTGTAAAACTAAGCTGTGTTACTAAATTTCCCGAAAAAGATAGATGTCAGATATCAGACTTTCCCTGTTATGCCTGTTATTCAACAGTAGATTTCTCATGTATTTTCATCCCAGTCCTAACATTTCAAAATAAAAAATTATTGTTTCTACTGCACTACAGGCTCAAAGAATTGTGAATTCTGTTTGTCAACAGAAGCATAAAATGTTGTGTTTTTCTTTGTTATCAGTAAAACTGACATATTTTGTAAATTGTCACTGCCAAAGATATTTGTACTTTGTTTCCAGAGAAAATCATAGATATGCTCAACTGTAATTGTTTAGTTTGAACTCCTTGAGGAACTATTCCATTGTTAAGGGGGCTGGTGTCCTTGGTTCCAAGACTGAACGAAATTTTACAAATACCCTTCCATTACAATTTCATGTAACATTTTTCATGGACTCAGAGATAAATTATTCCATGATTATTCATCCCTTAGCTCACCTGTAACACCCCACCCCACCCCCACCCCCACTGTCTCTCCCCTTCCCTAATCTCCTACCCACCCTCTGTCTCCCCTCATAAACAACCAGTCCCTAAGCATGTGTTACATAATGACAGATTTCAATTCTTTTAAATTTATTGAAAACAAATGACAGATTTCAGAAGGCTTTTTTCTGAAATCGAGTATCATCTCATCTCATGAAACATAACGAATAATCCAGCTTTGTTATATATTGTGTAAATACACTTTGTACAAATTCAATAATCACATAACCTGTTGTACATGACTGAACATTCAACATGGTTACAAAAAAACACATGTATTTGTTACAGTGAGGGGATATATGTATGCTTGTATGTATGGTGTTTGAATATGCGAAAGTTTACTGTACATATTATGAACGACATCTTAGTGCTCGGTGTGTATGCTTTTGATGTTCGCAGGAAAATGTCTTATGTGATCCGATTGTGTTATTTGTGATGAAATTACTTTCAGAAAATGATAACTCCTAAAATATATTGTTCAAGACAATTTGGATGAAACAGCATGCACATATTGTCAATAAGAAGTTGCAGGTTTGGTTTACAAGGGAGATAACTTAGGATAAAGGGAGACAATCAGTTCCATTTTGCTTTCATGTTCAGCCATCTTGAGATACATGTATCAACGTGTGAGGTATCTTCAAGATTTATTAATCTAAAACAGTATTAATTATTCTTAATTAATTAATCAAAATTACATTGAATATATTGGTGTGACAGTGGTGTGAAAATTGTTAAAACTTTGATTACAGAAGATATAAATATGATGATATCAATGTTGTGACATTCAGTTGCAAACAAGGACATGTCAGTATATGTTATATTGTTTGTGGGTGCAGGAATCACTATGATCACTACAATGAATAGCTGCAGAGTAACCTGCAGTATCTCAAATGCTTATTTACTTAAATTGTCAAAGAGTGCATTTTCTAGATACTTGTAAAGTTTATGCACAAACCTCTAAACGCATTATGAGAATAAGGTTCACAAATATGTTATTTTAAAGGTTAGACAGTACATGGATTCCACTGACAATAAATGTATTACAGATTTAACTACCAAAGATGTGAACCTGTAACGTGATAAGAAATTGATGCGTATATGATTTTCAGGATGATTGTGTTGATTTGAAAAATTAAATATTTTCTCACTGTAGTCTGTTTGTCATTTCTTCACTCCTAGTAGAGCTTCAAGCAATATTGTCTGAAAAATGGTTTTGACTTTGTTCATGGTTGTTTTAATGGTGACATCACTGTTTGTGTTGCTGCATCCAACAGTGTGTTCAAGGGTGTGTTGCAAACAAACAATCGCTTGCAATCGATGTACAGCGATTCCCCTGATGAGGGGTGCTAACTTTCAGCCGCTTGCAATTGCACCAATCACTGGATGAGGTAGCTTCGTTCTCGAACCAAAATGGTGGCTTAGGGAAATATGAATTTGACAGCTGAACAAGAATTGTTTAACTTGACCAGCTGGGAAATTGGCAAAGGCGGCTTACATCCCAGCATCCTCAGTTTGTTTCACAACATCAATGTAGTCATCAGTAGTCATAAATTCATCAGTTCGTCATCGAGACTCTTCTTATACGTATTTCATTAGGGCCAGGCGAGCAAATAGTAATCGCTCCGCCATTTTGGAAGAGTGAGAAACACTTCAAGCTGTTGCAAGCCCCGGGATAAGTGATTCATTTGCTTACTCTAAGTGATTCCCGGCTTGCAACACATCCCTAGTCAATGTAATCTGTGAAGATCTGGGTTAGAGGGAGTGAGTTACGATTATAAGTTGCATCGGCAATATTTCAGCCTGGGTTAGAATTGTCTTCAGTAACCCATGCTTGTCATCAGAGGTGACTACGAGATCGAGTGGTCAGGCTCGCTGACTTGGTTGACACATATAATCTATCCCAATTGCGTAGAACAATGCTCACGCTGTTGATCACTGGATTGTCTGGTCCAGACTCAGTTATTTAGACACTGCCTCCATATAGCTGGAGGAATATTGCTGAGTGCAGCAATAAACAACATACCAACCAACAAATCAAATCAATGTGTTGAAGACACACAAGGGGGAGACTGTTACAGTACGCACTAGCCATGACGGATTAAACACAAGGTGTTATTTATCTTCCTCGGGTCCTGAAAACAACCTAATTCAGAAACTGTTAAACCAGGAAGTTCAGACATATATGTCAGCTGGTATACATAACTGTTGAGTAAGTGAATGTACTCTATGCCCCAGTCATCAATGTTGTTTTTGTTTGTTATTTTGCTAACAATGAAATCCAATATTCAGGTTTGTTGTGATTGCCCATATTTTGCTTCATGTGTATTCTCACACAGATGTCTACAAGATCCCGGGTCAGCTGCAAGAACTAGTCTAGACAAACTACAGGGGTGGAAATAACCCATTGCCCGACGCCCGAGTCCAGTGTTTTTTTCTGTTGGGCAAGCAAATTTGTATATCACACTGTACCGGTGTCCAGTTGACTTTCCAATATTAATTATGTTGTTTATTTAAAAAATTAACAAGAAAACGGCCGGTATAGTGGAAAAATTATCAGGGCAAGTGATTTTACATGTGCCACTGTACCGGAGTATACTAGCAATTTTAAAGTTATTTCCACCCCTGAACTAGTGATTGAAGTTATGAGTAACATCCTGTTAAACAAAGAAGAAAATCTGCAAAAACCAGTATGTTTGTTGTTTAGGCCAAATAAAAAAAATGTGGTTCTGATTACACGTCTATAAAATTTAGGGTAGGTAGGAAGGATTTTTATTTTATTTTTACATTTCAGGATTTTTTAAAAGGTGGTGTTCACGCGTTCACAGGAAGTCATTTGACAGATCCAGCAGTTAATATGAAAAGTGTCTGAAAAAAGGTGCCATGGGCAGCCCTTATCTCTCCCAAAGGATTTTCAGCTTGTTTTCGAAAAATTGTTTATTCAATCAAAGGGCTGTCTGACTGCTCTGCTATCTGACTGCTTGAGAGAGACCACAAGGGCTGTCTAACTGATTGAGGGTGGAGTCCACAAGGGCTATCTGACTGCTTGAGACTGGAGACCACAAGGCAAGGTAACTGCAACATAGTCATGGCATCACAATAACTGCAAAATCAGAGGTTACCTTTATTCTGTTTCCACCGAGTCAAGAGCAAACACTTCTCCATTGGATGTCCCAACTAACAGCGAGGATCTATTGAAATTGAGACAAAGAGCTGTGGGTTCTTTGACAACAATGTCATTAAATGGCTGTTTCAGCAAGCCCAGGAACTCGCCCTGCTCAGACACAATATGTATGCCATGATTCCAGTCTGCAACATAAAGCACGCCAACGTCTGCCGTAAAGATGTCCCAGAACTCGGGCCGAGCAAACGGAGACTTGTACGTCCATTTCAACTGGAAATTACCGTCGAACATTTTCAAAAACTTTCCTCCATCTGAAATGAAGACATAGTCATTCTGGTTGATGGTTATGAACCTTGGCGCCTCAAACAGAAGCTTTCCATCCCAGGTATACTTGATAATATGAACAATTCTTCCTTCCGGAGTCATCACGTAGATACATCGATCATTTTCATCACAGACATAGATACGACCATGACTGTCCACGGCAACCCCACGAGGAAGCGAGAGACCATTTGCGATCACTTTGGCCAATTTGCCTTCCAAGTCAAGAATATTGACAGACCCTCCACCAAGACTCTTCCCACAGTCTGTCAGGATCAGCTCACTGCTTGGAGCTTTGACAACACCCCAAGGTTTTACAACATGGTACATCTCTACTTCACAAATACCTTTCTTGATTTTCTTCAGAGAATTGCAGTTGGAAGCAACAAAGATACTCCCATCATATGCTGAGGCCATTCCTGTTATGTAGAACCCATATGCAAGACGATGGACCAGTTCTCCCACCATGACAGCGTTGTTTGGGTACACAGGGGAATCATCCACTACAGATTTTCCACACAGGATGTGACCTAGCGATGAGCTGCTTATCGCATTAGAGAGCGTTTCTACGGCATGGAACTCTATTTGACATTTCTCAAAATCATCCTCAGGCCAAGCGAATCATTCGACACACTCTGTCTCACTGTTTCTACGTGTCCGAACATGTTTGTGATGAGATGAGCGTCTGAACTCTTTCTTACATCTTTCACAAAACTCAAACCTTCCTTAATCCGCTGTGCATGTTCTTGCAACAGGTTGATCTTCTGTTGTTGTTTAGCATCAATCTGAGACACGCTCATAGCTATGTCTTGCATTAGTGCGACTTTCTTTTCTGTGATTATGTCAACTGTCTTCCGCCACGAGGCCTCAATCTGTGATGCAACTTTACTTGCTTGCTCCGACAGAAATTCCTGATTCATGAGGACCTTCTGATGCTGTTCCTCTATCGCCTCCTGCAAACCTTGCATTTCTTTTTCAACGACCTTCAACTTGTCCTTTGCTTTTGTGACAATATCAGCAACTGCCATGGTTCGATGTGACTTCGTAGCCGGGAGCCTGTTGTGCGGCACAGAACACGACTTACACAACCACATTTTACAATCGTCGCAAAAAATGTCAGTTTTCCTTTCCTCTTGACAAAGTTGGCAATATTTCGCAACTGTCTGACCGGACCACTCAAGGTCACTGTGTCCAGCCATGCTTGAACACTGGGCCATGACGGTCAGCAAGTTTTCCACGATGTAATTTGTTTTCAACGCCTCTAAGTTTCCATTTGGCACAATGCTTTGTTCTCGACACAGTGGGCATATGATGACCATACCAGGAAAGGAAGCTTCCATGAGCCTCTGTAAACATGGCAGACAAAACGTATGCTGGCACTGTAACACTTTGGGTTGTTTGTAACACTCAAGACACAAGGAGCAAGACAGTTCATCTGTTAGTTTCTCCTTGCTAACATGAGATGGGGAGGCAGTTGCCATGGTGATTCTGAAACACAATTAAACAACAGATTTACTCAAAGTTGCCCCAAAATCAAGAAGTAGGCCTGTGATTTCTAGGAGAATTCATATTCAGTTATCATAAAGCAAAACGTATTATATATATGTGCAGATGATCAACAATTAATTCATTGGGTTTCATTTATTGTTGAACATAGAGCAAGACACGGCATGAACACTTATAGGATAAACATGGATACAATGAACATGGACAGAGAGAACAAATGGATATGACAAACTCTTACAAAATCTGAAATTAATTCCCCTTTTGGCTTAGGTTAGGCCATATTGCAGTACTCAGCAATATTCCAGCTATATGGCAGCGGTCTGTAAATAATCGAGTTTGGACCAGACAATCCAGTGATTAACAGCATGAGCATTGATCTATACAATATGGGATATGATGGCATGTGTCAACCAAGTCAGCGCCCTGACCACCCGTCTGTCACTTCTTACAACAAGCATGGGTTACTGAAGATCAGTTCTCCGGATAATCACAGGTCTCTCTTTCTCAGGTAACATCACTGATTACAGGTAGGTTCCAATAAGTGAATGTAAAGTTAACAGTGCATGCAGAAGAATACCATATGTCTGCAATCAATGTGGGCTTGTAACAAGTTGTGGAAGAAGAGCCGTTCATTGCACAATTTTGCAGCTATCCATATGACTCATTCCTTCACTGGATTTCACGTAGGATATTAAGTTTCAAAGTCGTGTACACTAGTACAAATTTGACCTATATTATATCGACACTATGATCATCTAGACCAGAAAAGCTTACCTGACTTCACACTGTCGTTATCAAGATCGTTGAGTTATATATGCAGCCGGTAGCTTGCATATATAACAAAATGTCATTGTGTCAAATTGATGTGAATGAAAATCACAACGTATGTAATTTGTAAACCAGACCTGCACAAAACACTTGAGATGTCACTTGTAACCACACCGACTTCATGTTCAACATTACACGTGGACAACATTTTTTAAAAGAATTACCTACCATTCGTGTAAGAAACTGTCGATGATTGATATCGGTGACAGCGATTTTAACGGGACATTTGTCAATCAATGACTGCCCTCACAAATCAACTTAGATTGTATCGCGGAAGTAAAACGAAAATAGAGTTACTTGCCCTTGAATCCGTTCAAAGCGCCAGTCAGACTGGGATCCTGTCTACGGTAAAGGGTAAAATACTAAGATCGCAACCAAATTATTAGACTAATGCTAAGTCCCTGAACATATATAATATTAATAGTAACAAATAAACCCATTTAAATTGAAAAGGAGCCCCAGTGATATGGGAGGAAATCTAGACTTGCTTCAGACAAGGGATTTAGCATTGCAGGGAAGGCTTGGCAGTAGGGAAAATAATAATGTGGTTCAGTGACCGTGAAAAAGTCTACCGAAATAACAGAGGACTGTTTAATTGCAACAACCAAGATATGCTTCCATTTTTCATATTTAAAATTTATTCATCGCACCAAATGTCAAAATGAATATCTTGGTATTTAATCATACCATGTAATAATGTCAGTTGACCCATTATATTAAAATACACATTTAACTGATTTGAAAACATAAAACACGGAGACTATATAACTTGTAGATTATCCCTGCATACACTAACCATGGTGACGTGAAGTATATAACAAACGCCCAAAGAACAATCTAACTAATGGTGCCATGTATTCTTGAATAAAATTTAAATAATTTTACTACATATAGGCTAGCAAATTCAAATTGTACACACACACACACACACACAGAGTATGTCCCACTGTCCCTGAACCACATTATTTTCCCTTCTGCGTCGCCCTCCCTGCAATGCTCAAGTTTAATGAAGCAAGTCTAGATTTCCTCTGAATCGCCCGTCTCACTAGGGCTCCTTTTCAGTTTAAATGAGATTATTTGTTGCTATCAAAGTTACTGACTGACTGACTTGGAGTAAGACTTGGACAAAATTGGACTACTTCAAGTTCACAAATAAGCCCATCATAGTGTCACTCGGGTAAAGTCTAGAGATATTATTGTTCAAATATTTACCTGTCCATCTGTTTCCGAATATTTTAACGCCCAACTCAATGTTAACAGACAGACAGATGAAAATGTGCCACACTATTCGAGACTATGTCCTTACATAAAAATAATATAAAACTCAAATTGCAAAGGTTTTTGTTGTTGTTGTTGTTGTTGTTGTTCTTCTTGTTCTTGTTTAACGCCACACTCACTAGTATCCCAGCTGTATGACGGTGGACTGATAAATAATCGAGTCTCAATCAGATCATCCAGTGGCTGGGATCACTCGCATCGATCTAAGCAGATGGTATACGACTGACTGAGTTTGGTTTTACGCCGCTTTTAGCAATATTCCAGGACATCACGGCGGGGGACACCAGAAATGGGCTTCACACATTGTACCCATGTCGGGATTCGAACCCGGGTCTTCGGCGTGACGAGCCAACGCTTTAACCACTAGGCTGCCCCATCGGCCCCTGCTATCAAAGTTATATTTAGAGACTAAATGTTAGTCTAACACACATGCACGCACACACCAAAGATATATATATTGGCGCTTGCAGAGTGTGGATGGAGATAACAATTGTTAATAACGGCTCTTTTGTTGTCATGTTTATCTAAGTGAGTGGCTTGACAATATTGATATCTTCATGACCTACTGACCTGTACGAGTGTACATATATAGGTCAGGTCTCGACATAAGGTGAATATGTGATCGAGGGAGTGAGTGAATGTTTGACACCCATTTTAGCAGTGTTCCAGCAATATCACGGCAGGGGACACCAGAAATTGGCTTCGCACATTGTACCCATGTGGGAAACATATTATTAAAAAGAAGAGACATTGCATTAAGTTTATTAGGTATTTATCTTACGGATCCTAATCTTGCTGATGCAAAGATTTAAAGTGCTTTATAAGTGCATATCATCGTATACCACCTGCGTAGATCGATGCGAGTGATCCCAGCCACTGGATGATCTGATCGAGACTCGATTATTTATCAGTCCACCGTCATACAGCTGGGATACTAGTGAGTGTGGCGTTAAACAACAACAACAACAACAACAACATCAACAACAACAAGAACAACAAAAACCTTTGCAATTTGAGTTTTATATTATTTTAATGTAAGGACATAGTCTCGAATAGTGTGGCACATTTTCATCTGTCTATCTGTTAACATTGAGTTGGGCGTGAAAATATTAGTTCGGAAACAGACGGACAGGTAAATATTTGAACAATAATATATCTAGACTTTATCCTAGTGACACTATGATGGGCTTATTTGTGAACCTGAAGTTGGTCCAATATTGCAAAGGTTATCAGACTGAACTCAAAATGTCTCCCTCCATTGACTCATTTAAAAGTTCCCTGAAAACCCATCTTTTCAGAAAATATTACAATCTATAACTTAACTTTCCAAAAATTTAACCCTCGTTCTAGCATAACCTTTGCTTTGTAAATATTTGTAAATATGTAGCGCTTTGAGCATGACTTAGGTGTGGAATTCAGCGCATTATAAATACACATATTATTTATTTATTATTATTTATGTAAGTGTAGTGCATATAGGTAATATAGGTAATCAAACATACCTTATATATATATATACGCAGGTACCATAACAGACCCTGTGTTCAACCTGTTCCGTACTTGCTTGACAGCGATACAAGAATCTGTATCGAAACGTCGCATCATCCGATTGAAGAAGTTGTCCATCCATAAAGTTGGTCTGATCCAACATACCTTTCCTTCTGTTTTATTTAATTATAGAACACTTTTAGAAAATGTTGATAACACTGACTGGTTTTCAGTAAGGCTGGTTTGTATTAAAAGATATCGGTGCTGTAGTCTGGTACAAAATACTGAGTTTTATACATTGATTAGATATGATAAAAAAATAGTGTCTGTGTATGACCAGAGACCATATACCGGTATATGGTCTCTGGTATAACCATTACTTCCCTTCCAAGAACGGGGCGGTGGGGTAGCCTCGTGGTTAAAGCGTTCGCTCGTCACGCCGAAGACCCGGGTTCGATTCCCCACATGGGCACAATGTGTGAAGCCCATTCCTGGTGTCCCCGCTGGAATTTGCTAGAAAGCGGCGTAAGACTAAACTCGCTCACACTCTTCCAAGGACACGATCCGTGAAGATCCGGGGTAGAATAGGTCTTCAGCAACCCATGCGTGCCACAAAAGGCGACTATGCTTGTCGTAAGAGGCGACTAACGGGATCGGGTGGTCAGGCTCGCTGACTTGGTTGACACATGGCATCTGTTCCCAATTGCGCAGATCGATGCTCATGCTGTTGATCACTGGATTGTCTGGTCCAGACTCGATCATTTACAGACAGCCGCCATATAGCTGGAATATTGCTGAGTGCGGCGTAAAGCTAAACTCACTCACCCACTCTTCCAAGGACACTGCAGTCCGTCATTGGACGAAAACGATACTGTATCGTAAAACTGTATTCAGAGGTACAGATCTAGATAAGATGCGAATATCTGGATAAAGTATGCAAAGATGTATGTGAAAACTCAAATCCTATCAGTCATTGCGGACAAGTACGTTTGAATTTTTGTAGATACTCAATAAATTTGATCTTACATGCGTACACACACAAATGTCAAATTTTAGCTTGCGTACCTGTGGATAGATAAAATAACGGAGGTGTATTGAGAGGTTCTATTTCAGTACATGAACTTGGCAACTTGCAGTGTTTCTTATCGTTTGTCATATTACAGATCAAATATACATAACAAATACGTAAACCAACATTTTAACTTTAGAATTTTTTACAATTAATGGAAAATGGCAAAACACCTAATTGAGTTTGAATGAGGAGGGTACAATTTATTAGGTTACACAAAGGAAAATTTGAATACATGTACCCCATTAAACGTACATAACACAATGACCCCAAAGTTATCTGTAGCTCTTCTGTATGGATGTGATTTTGTTTTCATTTAGCAATAGAACGCGGACTAGGTATGTGATTATGTTCAATATCAGCTTTCAACAGACAATGGATACTTTTGTCTGTCTGTTTTACCTATGTGTTTTGTGAAATTATGGTAGGAAAGTTCGATGGATTGTGAAATATATTTATCCTGTACATATCTATTTGAAATATGTTTTAATGCTGTGTATCTGTGAGGAATAATTACACTGTTACTTTAAAAATATGTTTCCCTCCCCGATATATGATACAACAGTGAACTTGTTCCACTATGAGCTGAGTCGGCATATGCGACTTTGCCTGGAGCCCTCGTTCACGTATTGCGCAACAAACCATTAAACCCAGTTTAAATGTTACCGGAAGAACTTATTTACTTCCGGTGACCAAAACAGACGCTAATTTTGAGATCTGATTTATGAAATGCACCTCTCTTATTCATTTGTGTTTCTGTGTCAATATGCATTGAAACCATGACAGTAGAAACTTTGCTTTTAAACGCAAAATGAAAATATTGTTTTTGCAAGATGGACCATGCATGAAGTAAAGGTTTCATTTTATGCTTGTTTACTTGCAAAGTGAATTGCACTATAATATTTTCATTTACAGTGCCGAATTGAATGCTGTCGAACATTCATAAAAATTAATAACATTCGAGTTGGTGAACATGAGTGGCTATGAAAATCAAGCCGTTGACATGGCACGAAACAGGCTTGAAAGCCTGAAACGAAGGGGTCTTTTGGACAATGAACCCACATATCCGCCGCCATCCCGACCACCGCGACGCGTTTATGGTCGACCACCGCGAGGTGGTGTTGGTGGACCACCGCGAGGATATGGATATCATGATCCATATGGTCCTGTGAGAGAGCAAGAACAGTACGGTACAGATTATGATTACCACTATGAACCACCTCCAAAAAGAGCATTACTTCATGATCCTCAACGCTTTGAACCTGAGTGGAAAGAATATGGTCCTGCTCAGGGGGGCTACGGTCGAGGTGGGCCAGGGGCTGGTCACTTTGGTAGGGGTGCTGAACGTATTCGAGGAGCCAGTGTATATGGAGGTGGAGGCGGAGGCGATCGTGGACGTAGAGGTGATCGTGGACGTGGGGGTGATCGTGGACGTGGATGCGATCGTGGACGTGGAGGTGATTATGGCCGAGGGTCTACTTTGCGCGGAAGAGGTGGGCCAGATCATGGCAGAGGATCTGTTTTACTTGGTCGAGGGAGAGGAAATGCATTTGTTCATGAGAGTAGTCATGGTCGTGGGACTATTAATCAGGGAAAGGTGGCTGTAAATCGAGGTAGAGGACAGACCAACACAAGAGGCAGTCCAAGAGTTGGTAGTTCAAGTGGAAAACCTACACCAGACACCATCAAAAGTGAAAGTGACTCTGTTGATCAGAAAAGTTCTCTATCCACTTCTTTAAATACAGACTCAACTAAAAACAAAGACTTAACTATCAAAGGTGAAGGTGAGGAAACAAAAGTCAAAGAAACACCTGATAAAAATTCCAAATTAACACCATCTATAAAGGAATCACCAAGTAAAATGGCATCAGCATCTACCAAGTCAACAGCTCTGAAAGAATCTCCAGGTACAGTACCACCAAGTGGCCTTGGAGGTGGTTTGCCATCATGTATGTTAATTCCAATGCTTTTTGTAATATATTAATTGGATCTCGTTTATGGTCCCCGCCCTTATCATGCTCATAATCATGATAATCACGATTGTTTGTTTTTTTATCTTTATACAATAATTATACCTCTTTAAATGTCACATATGTTATATTTGGGATTACACTTTCTTAGTAAAGTACAAATTCTAGTACTTTTTGAGTTGAGCCCCATCCGGGATTCGAACTCACACCCTCAGAGTCAGGCACCTAATCGCCAGCACACAAAGTCAGCCGCCTAACCCATTCAGCTACCGCGACTTCCACAAAAATGGAAGTCGGACAACTGGTAGTCTTTAAATGTCTTCATGCCTTAATCCTGTTAAATGAACTGACATGTCATCGATTTCAAAACATGTAATTTGCAACATAATCATTGGCAAATTATATTAAGGTAAGCTGTGGATATATTACAGATAGAATGAGGGATGTGACAAGATGCCCAATCGTCTTTGACGACATTAGAATCTATGTCACAACATTGCCTTTCACAGAATAAAGAAGTTATATATCCATAAAATTATCATCATTCTTCAAGATGCCCAATGTTTCTGTGACTGGTGATCATGGATAAATAAATAAAAAGTTACTTTTCAATCCCAGCTGAACACAACAGTGTCATGAAAAATTGGTTTACAGGTATGGTCAAACGTAAAATGGGAAAAATAAAATCTGGACAGCTGTGCATGTAACATTGTATTGGTCCTGTGTCAGTCTTGTAGAGTTCCTTCCTTTCAGTAATCAGAATTCTATTGAAAATCAGGGAACGGTGCTCCCGATACTTTTTTAACTGTACAAGTACAGTAGTTGTCATTATCAGAACTAACAAGTACCCAAGATATTTTGTCCAGAAAGTACTGCTAGTTTCTAGTATTAAGTAGTGCAGGTGTAATATTATGCAATACGGCAATCTATTCTGATCACAGGGGTAATGTATCATGGTTTGTGTGAAATAATCTCTCCCACTGTCAGTAAGTCTGCCCAAACAGTCCCACCTATAGATAATGAGTCTGGAGAATGAATGACTTTGATGAATTGGATGTATGTTCCAGCTGGAAAGACATCATCTACAGCAATTAAGACAGCAACTGTGTCTTCATCACCAATATCTACTGCAACTGAGTCTCCAGCAACATCTAGAGCAACTATGTCCTCAGCAACATCTACAGCAACTACGTCCCCAGCAACATCTACATCCAAGGTCTCCAAGCCATGCCAGTCACCAGCATCCGATGGGAAGGAGAGTGACGAAGAGAGCACCTATTGTAAACCGTGCAATACCTTCTTTGCCAATCATGTGGTATGGGCCAAATTTTCTGTTAGTTATTATACCACACAAACCAGTAGAATTGGTCTTCAGAAATCTATGCTTGTTGTAAAGGCGACTAATGGGATTGGGTTGTCAAACTTCCTGACTTGATTGACACGTCATTGTATCCCACTTGCGTAAATCAATGCTCATGCTGTTGATCACTGGAATGTCTATTTCATATTGCCGCCATGTTGCTGGAATACTACTAAGTGCAGTGTTAAAGAGAAAAAACAAGAAAAAAACAACATAAATACCAGTACCACATGTTAATGATAGCAACTGTCAACCAAGCCTGTACATTTGTAAACTCTTGCCACGATAAGAAGAGAATACCTATTTGGGTTGTCCACAGTAAAGATGAACAATAAAGATGAATCCATTCAGTACAGGGTTCTATGTGAAGCAGAAATTTGCATGCAGTACCAACAAACATACAAACTGGACACAGAAAAATACAAATTTTTAAACTCATCCTATCTCACGATTTGCACTTCTCTCGCTTGCTTTGACGCTGAGGTCCCTGGTCCCATGCTGAGCATGCAGCATGCTCCCCTATCTACCCACGTGACTACCTCAGAGTGATCATTCTTCTTCTTGTCGCATGACAGAGTGGACACGTTACAGCTCTTGTCATAGAGTTTTGAGTTGCTTTTTGTATTATGGGAGGAGGAGGGGTGGTGGTGGGGGTAACCTAGTGGTTAAAGCGTTGGCTCGTCACGCCGAAGACCCAGGTTCGAATCCCCACATGGGTACAATGTGTGAAGCCCATTTCTGGTGTTCCTCGCCTTGATGTTGCTGGAATATTGCTAAAAGCGGCGTAAAACCAAACTCAGTCAGTCAGTCAGTGTATTATGGGGAAATCAGATCCTCCAAATAAAAAGCGTAAGTTTTGCGCTCAGTGTAAAACAATATTTTCGACTTGGGACCCACAAATTTCGTGTGTTGATTGTGTGGGTCAATGTTCATAGGAGAAACGGTGTGAGAAATGTGCAGGGTTATCTACTGAGGATTTCAAGGCTTATAAACAGGTCTGTGCTCGTAGAATTGCAGATAGGGCTAGGAATACCTCTGTTGACCAAGGCCCCTCCCCGACCAAGAAACCACGCCTGGAGCGTCCCACCCTCACGGCTTGTCGTTTGAAATCCCCACCCTCCGAGCGGAGGATTTTTTGGATGCTTCTTCAGATTCATATCTCTTGGAAGAGGTACGAAAGCTTTTTGGGATGCTTCCTTTCTCTGGTTCAACATCTCAGGCCGGTTCTAGTAGGGTAGGGGGCGGTGGGGTAGCCTAGTGGCTAAAACGTTGGCTCGTCACGCCGAATACCCGGGTTCGAATCCCCACATGGGTACAATGTGTGAAGCCCAATTCTGGTGTCCCCCGCCGTCATGTTGCTGGAATATTGCTAAAAGCGGCGTAAAACCAAACTCAGTCAGTCAGTCTAGTAGGGTAGTTGTGGTTGATAAACCTCTAGTGTCTACAGCCTCCCCTGAACTGCGGTCTACACTCTTGGTTTCTAGGGCCTCTGGTTCGTCTCAGACCGTGACCACAGTCGCTTCGGTTCATCGATCTGCATCACCTGCGTTACAGAATGAGTCTGTTTCTCCAAGTCATTCTAGACGATCCCGTTCGATTCATTGATCTATCTCGTTGGAACGTTCCAGTTCTGCTAGTCATTCGAGATCACCTCACGGATTTGTCTCGAATCCATCTCGTAGATCGATTGAGCGGTCATGTTCACCCCAGCAGAGTGGTACTTGTCGTCGATCTGTTTCTATTGATCGAACCGAATCACATATTGATTCGCATAGTGGTTTCGGCGCTCCCTCCCATTTGGATTCACACCAGCGAACTGATTTACCAGGCCGAATCAATTCACCACGTCGAATCAATTAACCATGCTGTAGAGATTCGCGTGAACGGATAGGTTCACCTTTTCGTGATGGCTCACGTCGCCGAACCAGTTCAGTTCACCATCCGGTTTCACCTAGTCATTCTGAGGCGTTTTCTTGAAAACCACGACTTCTCGGCGAATTGATTCACGGGTTCGTTTCATCTCACCGATTTGGTTCGTCTAGTCATTCCGGTTCACTCCACTTAACTACTTCATCAGATCGAAGTGGTTCACATATTCGTTCTGGGAGTTCTCCCTGGACTGGATCACTTCGGCGTTCAGGTTCACCTGTTCTCTCTAGGTCATCCCATCGGGATGGTTCTCCCTGGACTGGATCACTTCGGCATTCAGGTCCACCTGTTCGCTGTAGGTCATCCCATCGGGATGGTTCTCCCTGGACTGGATCACTTCGGCATTCAGGTCCACCTGTTCGCTCTAGGTCATCCCATTGGGATGGTTCTCCCTGGACTGGATCACTTCGGCGTTCAGGTTCACCTGTTCTCTCTAGGTCATCCCATCGGGATGGTTCTCCCTGGACTGGATCACTTCGGCGTTCAGGTCCACCTGTTTGCTCTAGGTCATCCCATCTGGATGGTTCTCCCTGGACTGGATCACTTCAACGTTCAGGTCCACCTGTTCACTCTAGGTCATCCCATCGGGATGGTTCTCCCCGGACTGGATCACTTCGGCGTTCAGGCTCACCTGTTCGCTCTAGGTCATCCAATCGGGATGGTGTGGAACCCTACCCAGGATTCCTCTCAGGGGCCAGACTTGAATACAATGCTTCGGGCTATTACAGTAGCATGGAATCAATGCCAACCTTTGACTACTTCGAATTCAGTTCCCGTTGCATCTACTGGTAACCAGTCTTGGTGTGTCTCATCAGCCTTAGTCCTGCTCTCCAAATAACTCGAATATTTCTACCCCGGAGGGTAGTTTCGATTTGGTAGAGCCTTCACATGTACTTGCCTGGATTGTTGAAAAGCTTCCAACTACTGGTGAGCAGAGCCCCGGATGACCTTAATGTCTCTTATGCTCTTAAGAATAGAGACTTATCAACTATTACCTTGCCACCACGATCGTGCATTCTACAATTGACCAGTTCACTGGATGATGCGTTTAAGAAATTGAAACACGTTAGGGATGGTTTGTCTTCACCCAAGTTTATACCATCCGTCGCTCACGGGCATGGGTTTTCTGTATTGGCTTCGTGCGGTTGACGAAGATATTTCTACCTTGTGTGGCAAGCGTGCTGCTTCACCTTTCTTTGTGGAAGACAGGGAATTGGCACATATGGATTTGACTGTTCGTCGTACACTACCCTTTATCAATTGTGCTATTTCGGCAGTGGACGCCGTTGCTGTTGCTGTTGACTATGCCTATACTGACCAAGATGCTTATACTAGGGGATGCATGGCGTTGGTTCTAGACCAGTTTCAGGTCGTTCTAGACCAACTATCCCATTTTATGGTTACATACTTGCGGTTCGTCTTGGGATGACCGATTCAAAGCTGAATTGTTTAGGCAGCCTTGGTCGTCAGATATGCTTTTTGGTGGCAATATTGGAGAGGTTTCTAACACGGTGCATCAGGAGACTCATTTTCAGGTTTCTGTTGAATTACTAAAAATGCAGAAATCTCAGCTGCAGAGTTCCATTAAACAACGCAGAACACCACGGTTTTCGCCAACCAACCCGGAGTTGAAGGATTGTTTTCGTGACTGACCCTTCACCCAATCGCGAAACAGGGGTAGGAAACCTTCCCGTGGTGGCGTCTCCTGTCACCCCCCCAAGGCCGGTCCCGATACAGGAAGTGGCTCCTCCAAGCAGTGACTCAAAGAGATTGCTGCCCGACTTGGTCCTACCACCCCCAGTCGTCCCAATCGTCCCAATCTTCGACTCACCGGTGGGCGGGAGATTAGGAAAGTTTGCTCCCAATTGGGACATTCTCGGAGACCCGTACGTTTCGACCATCCTCACTCATGGTTATCAGATGCCACTTGTCGGGAATCCACCTCTCACAGTCACTCCTCTTCAACGCAATTATCCTCCAGATCAAAACTTGTTTCTTCAGGCCACCATAGACACACTTCAGGACAAGCATGCTGTAGGACAGCTCGACCAGCTCATCGCTACTCCGGGGTTCTACTCATTCAAACAATTCTACTAATTCAAACAAACTTCGTTTGAAATTCAACATGAAACAGTTCAATGCCCGGTTTCTATCTCCACCGACCCACTTTTGGATGGTGTCAGTCAACCTTCTATGCACCATCTTAACGAAAGGGGACTATCTCATTTCCCTCGACCTGCAAGACGCCTATCTTCACATACTAATACATCCGGACCAGCAAAGTATCTTTGGTTCATGTTCCAAGGGCGTCATTACCAGTGGAGGGTACTGCCGTTTGGAATATCTACAGCCCAGTGGCTTTTTACTCGGGTAACCAAACCGATAACAAGCTACCTGCATTGACGGGGAATCACTTTCGAAAGCTATATCGACGACTGTGTTCAAGCTCAGCAGGATCCAGTCGTCCTTCATCTCAACAGGCAGTTCACCATCAAGCTGCTAACACAATTAGGGTGGCTCCTGAACTATGTGAAGTTGGAGTTAATACCGACTCAGAGATTACAATTCATAGGGGCGGTATTCGACACAGAACAGGCCATGTTGTTTGCACCCCAGGACAGATGGGACAAAACTCGGCGCATTCTACCTTCAGCATTGAACTCACCCAGAACTCTGCGCCAGTGGAAGGAGTTACTAGGGTTATTGACATCGGCACAAGCACTGACTTACAGGGGCCAAATGCAACTTCGCCCTCTTCAGATGTTTTTGTGCCCCTACATCCGGAACGACAACCCCAGGGAGTTGATTCGTCTTCCCGTGCAACTACGACCAGTTCTTCGTTGGTGGCTCGACGAGCAGAATGTTTGTGCTGGAGTCTCTATGGTGCCCTTCACACCGATTCATCACCTGTTCGTGAACGCATCCCTCGAGGGCTGAGGAGCCCACTTTCTTTATCATCAAGTGGCCGGGCAGTGGTCATCTGCAGAAAAGGCCCTTCACATCAACGAGTTGGAATTCAGTGCTGTCATTCTTGCCATTCAGAATTGGGCGGCAAAACTCCGGTCGTGTCATCTACTGATTCAATCAGACAACTCGACAGTAGTATGGTACATCAATCATCAAGGCTCGACAGGTTCGGCAGCTTTGCTCCAGTGGACGTTTCGATTTTACTATCTAATCAACTCTCTCAACATTATGGCCAGAGCCCGACACATTCCCAGGGCGAGGAATGTCATAGCCGATGCCCTGTCACGCCCCAAACGACCATCACCGATAGAGTGGAAGTTACTGCCCCTGATATTCTAGTCAATGATCTACCCGGTATCACGACCAGACGTAGATCTATTCGCCACTCGGTACAACCATCAGCTCCCACGGTTCGTGTCCCCAATTCCGGATCCTCAGGCGTGGGACCACGATGCGTTTTGCTCACATTATCTGATGGACTTATCGGTCACTGACGTCCAGGCTCTGCACCAGTTTGTACCCCTTGTGTTGGCCTAGCAGCTGTCTGACGTCAGCCCATCAACGCAGATGAGTACAGTGCACATCTATACATTCGCTCTCGTGTACATACTGAATAAAATTCTGAATTTCATTTCTGATTTTTGTTCTCGATTCTTCTGGCATTAGAACTCTCCACTCGATTTTATTGGCTTATTGCAATTAGTGTCTATACGGATCTACAGTGCTTAGTTCTCGTATTTGCGATGTAGAAGTGTTCGACAATCTCGCTTGCTGACCTCTACTCTACGGAGCAATCACGTCAGTGTAGTGAGTCCTTCCCGATTTCCTTTGTGGATTTCATAGCGTTCTAGCTCCTAGTACCTTAGCACACCGTTGTGGTCTAACTGTGGTAAGTAGTGGAAGTCATGTGGTGGTGTTCTAGTACTGAACGTTAAACTTGTGAGCTTTCCCAATTCAGTTTCCTTTTCCCCTCTTCGCGATGGGGTCTGGGGGGCTGTCTCGAAGCAGGTGCGGGGGGTACTCTGATAAAGTGAGGTGACTCACCCAGTTGCGTCCCCTTGCGGCCGAACACCACATCGCTCGGGAGCACCCACTCCTTGGGAGCGATGGTGCCTAGTAAGCTAAGGGGTTCAGGAGAACCCATCACTAGTAAAGGTACTATACTAGTCAAATCCTGCGGCCGAACACCACATCGCTCAGGAGCACCCACTCCATGGGAGCGATTGTGCCTAGTAAGCCAAGGGTTTCAAGAGAACACATCACTAGTATAGGTACTATGCTAGTCAGATCTGGCCTCCCTTGTTCATTGCTTTCTACGGTTGTCATTAGCCTATACAGTGTACACTGTCAGTGCTTTTTGACTTAGGGTAATCTGCGACCTGCCGTCCAACCGTGGGATAAGTGTAAATCGTGAGATAGGATAAGTTTAAAAAATTTGGAAATATTAACTATAAATTGTATATTCATATACTTATCCTATCTCACGTGATGTATGGCCGCCCAACCTCCCTGCTACTCAGTTTACGGCGGTTACAGTTAACTGTCATTGTCTCCAAGAAGAGAATGATCACTCAGAGGTAGTCATGGGGGTAGATAGGGGAGCGTGCTGCTTGCTCAGCATGGGACTAGGGACCTGTCCTATAAGGAGAGCAGCCTGGGGAACACGGGCGTATGGACCAGAGAGGCCTACAGGGACAGTTCTAATTCGTTCCACTCAGCATCGGAGCAAGAGAGAGAAGTGTAAATCGTGAGATAGGATAGTATATAAATATACAATTTATAGTTAAAATTTCCAAATTGCTTCCCAAGTCCCGAGATAATATTCTTCATACCAACTTGTTACCAGGGACTATAACATTCCTGCCATCAAAATAAATACTAAATCTTACACCAGTACACTGCACCATTTAATTACTTTAGAGGATCATGTATTTCATGTAAGGACCTTTTATATTAGTAATTGCGGTCCTCTTCCATGAAATTCCAGCTTAGCCTGTAGCAACTGAGGCTACCAAAATAGATTATTTGGTTAGATGCCATAATGGATTGGGTGGTTAGATGCCAAAATGTATTGGGTGGTTAGATGCCAAAATGGATAGGGTTGTTAGATGCCAAAATGGATAGGGTGGTTAGATGCCAAAATGGATTGGGTGGTTAGATGCCAAAATGGATTGGGTGGTTAGATGCCAAAATGGATTGGGTGGTTAGGCTGGTGACTTGGATGATTGTGTGTTGGCATACCCTGAAGGCGCAGGTCACTGTTCACAATCTCACACTGGATTGTCTGATGATTTACTCTGTTTTCTTCGTTGCAGCGATACATGGCCCATGTTCGTGGAGTAATTCATGCACGGACCATGCATATAAAGGACATGATGGAAACCTTTAAGGAGACCACTACACAAGCTCTTGAAAATGGTAACTGGAGTGCTCTAGAAATACCAGACCCAGCATATGTTGTGTCAGCTCATTTTGTGTATTTGATGAACTAATTGCTTGAGATTCAGCACATCACTTCATAATGTCAAAACTTAAGAAAATTAAAATGCCGTATTTTGAAAATGTCTCATGTTGATGTTGCCTCAGCTGCACATAGTCCAGATTGATGTTTTAGATGGTACATTTTAAAAATATTTTCTGCAGTTTCTCCCACAAAATCTGGTCCAAATTTACAACCTGGAATGCAATCTAAGACCGAAACAACTGTCTCCTCGTCGACCAAAGAACCCATCTTAGCAGCAAAGGAGCCTCAGTCAACAACAAACAAGCAACAGCCACCAGCCAAACAGACCCAGTCAGCAACAAAACAACAGCCAGCAACAAAACAACCCCAGTCAACTACAAAACAGCCACTGGCAAAACAACCTCAGTCAACAACACGACAGCCCCAGCCAGGATCTACAGCACCCCAGAAAACTACTGCTGCAGCAGGATCCGAGCAACCAGCTTCTGCAGCTGCAAAAAATGACACGGATGATGAGAGCTACTGTGTCACCTGCAATATATCTTTTAAGGATAGAGGGGTATGTACATGTTGAGAGCATGCTGTATGTGCTGGTTGTGAAATGGGGCTTTTATTGACTGTCGTGAAAATATTTCAAATACGTGTGAGAACTGTGATTGTGATTTGAGGAAAGATGTTACCAGTAGTTGCAGGTACTTTTTCATATTTACAATAGTTGTAGGCACGGCTGGGATATTAACAATAGTTGTAGGCACGGCTGTGATATTAACAATAGTTGTAGGCACGGCTGTGATATTAACAATAATAGGCATGGCTGTGATATTTGCAATAGTTGTAGGCATGGCTGTGATATTAACAATAGTAGGCATGGCTGTGATATTTACAATAGTTGTAGGCACGGCTGTGATATTAACAATAGTTGCAGGCATGGCTGTGATATTAACAATAGTTGTAGGCACGGCTGTGATATTAGCAGTAGTTGTAGGCACGGCTGTGATATTAACAATAGTTGTAGGCACGGTTGTGATATTAATAATAGTTGCATGCACTTTTTGATATTAACAATAGTTGTAGGCACGGCTGTGATATTAACATCAGTAGGCACGGCTGTGATATTAACAATAGTAGGCACAGCTGTGATATTAACAATAGTTGTAGGCACGGCTGTGATATTTACAATAGTTGTAGGCACGGCTGTGATATTAATTATAGTTGCATGCACTTTTTGATATTAACAATAGTTGTAGGCACGGCTGTGATATTAACATCAGTAGGCACAGCTGCGATATTAACAATAGTTGCAGGAGGCGCTGTTGTTATGATATTACCAACAGTTTCATGCACTGAAAAGCTGCATGCTGTGGTGATGTTACCAGTAGTTGCATGCACTTTTTGATAATAGCAATAGTTGCAGGCACTGTTGTGATATTAGCAATAGTTGCAGGCACTGTTGTGATATTAGCAATAGTTGCAGGAGGCGCTGTTGTTATGTTACCAATAGTTTCATGCACTGTTTTGATATTAGCAATACTTGTAGGCACTGTTGTGATCTTAAAACAATAGTTGCAGACACTGTTGTAATAATATTGTGACTGTGTCAAGCGTTATTTTGATGATGTTGCAAATCTGCCAACTTTGTTGTACTGGCATAGCTCTATAAATGATGATAATTATGATTCTTTATACTTAATATCATCATGATGACAAGAACAGATAGAGAATTGTCATCATGGCTATCGCATGTCATTCATTGCGAAAGAAAGTATATGAGCATTTACATACCGGTATGTTTTCCTTTCCTAACTTATATAATATTCAAGTCTTTCTGTTAATTATTAAGTCTCAATCTTTCCTCAGCAATATGTGCGCCACACAAAAGGCTTGATGCACACGCAGAAGCAGATCGAGTTTGAAAAAGCCCAGGGAAGCTCCAAGTATGATGACGCTCCAGTTGGAGGTGAGTTGAGGGGAAATCTAGCCAGTATTGTCAGTCTGTTTACGACTTCTTCAAAGCCTGAATAGGACCGGGGTAGCTGAATGGTTAAAGCGTTCACTTGTTATGCTGAAGACCCGGGTTTGATTCCCCACATGTGTACATTGTTTGAAGCCCATGTCTGGTGTGCCCTGCTGTGATATTGCTTGAATATTGCTAAAAGCAACGCAAAACCCAACTCACTCACTCACTTCAAGCTGCTGGAATATGGGTGAAATAGCAGCTAGGAGTATGGCTGGAATGCTTTGAAATTTGATGCTTACCCAAAATTATTTTTTTTTATACGTATTTAAAAACTAGAAGAAAATGAGGACATCAAACTTTATAATGTTTATTGATAACAACTTCTTCATTGTTAGATACAGTTTTATACCAATATTGATTTCCTCTTAATTAGGTTAATGGTAATTCATACAAATGTCCATCAAAGTTGATTTGACATTTATTAGTTGAAAACAATATTAAGGATGTATAAGTCATGAAATCACTGAATTACATTCACAGTTGTAGGATGTATGAGATAAAATGCATATGCCCCACACATTTTTGACTGATGTCAAGTTCCTTTTGTTGTAGACACAAAGCGGGTGTTTACTTACCCCACAGCGAGAAGGCGAGGCTCAGGAGCTGTAGTGGGGGTGTCAGCCAGTTGGGGGCGTGGAGGAGGCAGGGGCAGGGAGGTTCAGGATGAAGGCAGGGGGCCTGGGAACAGGTCAGAGGAAAGAGGGGGGTCAGTGAACCGAGGAGATGCAGAGGACAGAGGAGAGGCTGGGACCAGGAGGGGGGTAGGGAACAGAGGAGTTGGGTCGAGAGGAGTTTAGAGAACAGAGGGGGATAGGGAACAGAGGGGCTGTATGGCATAGTAGACCGTTTGGATATCACAGAGGGGGGTCACATAGTGGAGAAAGATCCGATTTTGAAGAGTCTGTGTATGATGGATGGTCGGATTGTGGAGGAAGGCCGGGGTGTGAGGAGGGGTCGGGGTATGAGGAGGGGTCGGGGTATGAGGAGGGGTCAGGGTATGATGGGGGGTCAGGGTATGAAAGAGGGTCAGGTTATGGTAGAGGGTCCAGCTCCAGAAGAGGGTTCGGAATGAGAGCTGGGTATGAAGGAGATAGAGAATATGGTCATGAATCAGGATTGGGTCGTGGATTAGGGAGTGTTCGAGGGTCAGGATTTCGTCAAGGGTCCAGGTATGAGGGAGGGGCAAGAACTGAAGGCTCTGCTGAAACCCCTGGCTACCAGGAAGTGAATGAGGAAGAGGAACCAATGATCACAGAACATAACAGGTATAGCAGGATTGGATATCCATGGTAACCCATGTTAACAACTTCTATGTTACCATATCCAGTACGAAAGCTAGTTACAATATTTAGTTATCTGTATTATAAACTATTTGAGTTTTGCTTGGACATGAAGTAAATATATTGCTCCACTTCAAGCTGATTTGCCAGGATGTACCTGTAATGTTTAAAGTTACATTCAACCCATCTCACTCACTTCACCATCCCAATGCATACTTGACCTGTATCTTTGTCTGTCCAGACATCAGGAGCAGCAGACTTCGAGGTCAGTGAGGAACCTGAAAGAGGCCGGCATCACAGACAAGATGTTGGAAGAGGCCAATATGACCTTGCCCAAGGTCAACCCTTCAGAGAGGGAGCTTCGCCCCGATGATGTTGGCAAATGTCAGTTTCCATCTGAGTTCACTTGCAAGGTGAGATGCTCTACATATTGGACATTTTTCATTCATTTCTTTATGGATACTACCAAATGGAGCCCAAAAAACAAATGGAGCCCAAAAGACATAATCATAAGATACAAATAGCCTGCTCAAAGTCAGTTTACTATTAGTTGGGTGTCTCAGTTGGTTAATGCTACAAGATTATTGTAAGTCTGCCTGCACATCACTACAAGAGTGAAGGAATATTCAACTCAACATATAATCCCATTTCACCACCACCGCTTTTTGGCCTTTGGGGTAGCTTAGTGGTTACAGCATTCGCTTGTCACGCCAAAGACCCAGGTTTGATTCCCCACATGGTTACAATGTGTGAAGCCCATTTCTGGTGTCAACCGTATTATTGCTGGAATATTGCTAAAAGTGGTGTAAACCTAAACTCACTCACTATTTGCTTGTTATACAGGAGCTTTATGAAACAATCAACATGAACATTACAACGACATTTATTTGTATTTTGTTGCAGCTGTGTGATGCCAGATGCACATCGGCCGTCACGTTCCAGTCCCACCTGGCGGGATCAAAACACAAGAACGTAAGTCTGTTTGTAGATACCTGGACATCAAAGTGCAGCTCTTCTTGTTGGCTGTACAAAGCAGTCTTTTGTATTGTGCAAAGATAGACTGTCGACAAAAGAATCCTTGTATATCAGAGGTTGATTTAAGGACATGAATCTTACTTGCACCCAGTGCAACCTTGTAGTAACCTTGTTGCACCAGACAAAAACATGTTACACCTGCTGTTCAGTTTGAAAACATATTTAAAAATCATTTTATTTTAATTAGTTTTCTTAGCATGAATAGTAACAGTCATTCAATCATGGTCTGTGTTGTCATCAAGGGTCACTGCTCCAAGCCACTTCCTCGTTGTGTTTCTACCTGGCTTCTGTATTGTTTAAACAGCAAAATATTAATATGCCTTGGGTGCAAGTTGGTATAAATATGAGGTTGCATTTTGCAGTTCCAGCTTGTATTTGTTCAAGGTTCATTATGAATATTTTATAAGGATGTTTTACAAGTTGGTGGAAAACAGTACCACAGTAAAGTGCAAGGATATGTTGGTAACAACAGTACCTTAGTATAGTGCAAGGATATGTTGGTAGCAACAGTACCACAGAGGATAGTGCAAGGATATGTTGGTAGCAACAGTACCACACAATAAAGTGCAAGGATATGTTGGTAGCAGCAGTACCACAGTATAGTGAAAGGATATGTTGGTAGCAACAGTACCACAGTATAGTGCAAGGATATGTTGGTAGCAACAGTACCATAGTATAGTGCAAGGATATGTTGGTGGTAACAGTACACAGTATAGTGCAAGGATATGTTGGTGGCCACATTGCCACAGTATAGTGCAAGGATATGTTGGTGGCAACAGTACCACAGTATAGTGCAAGGATATGTTGGTAGCAACAGTACCACACAGTATAGTGCAAGGATATGTTGGTGGCAACAGTACCACAGAGTATTAATGCAAGGATATGTTGGTAGCAACAGTACCACAGTATAGTGCAAGGATATGTTGGGAGCAACAGTACCGCTGAGTATAGTGCAAGGATATGTTGGTAGCAACAGTACCACAGTATAGTGCAAGGATATGTTGGTGGCAACAGTACAACAGTATAGTGCAAGGATATGTTGGTGGCAACAGTACCGCAGTATAGTGCAAGGATATGTTGGTGGCAACAGTACCGCAGTATAGTGCAAGGATATGTTGGTGGCAACAGTACCACAGTATAGTGCAAGGATATGTTGGTAGCGACAGTACCACAGTATAGTGCAAGGATATGTTGGTAGCAACAGTACCACAGTATAGTGCAAGGATATGTTGGTAGCAACAGTACCACAGAGTATAGTGCAAGGATATGTTGGTGTCAACAGTACCACAGTATAGTGCAAGGATATGTTGGTAGCAACAGTACCACAGTATAGTGCAAGGATATGTTGGTAGCAACAGTACCACAGTATAGTGCAAGGATATGTTGGTAGCAAAAGTACCACAGTATAGTGCAAGGATATGTTGGTAGCAACAGTACCACAGTATAGTGCAAGGATATGTTGGTAGCAACAGTACCACAGTATAGTGCAAGGATATGTTCAGGGGTGGAATAACCCATTGCCTGACGTCTGAGTCCTGTTTTTTTTTCTGTCGGGCAAGCAAATTTGTATATCACACTGTACCGGTGTCCAGTTGACTTTCCAATGTTAATAATGTTGTTTATTTAAAAAAGCAACAAGAAAACGGCTGGTATAGTGGAAAAATGATCAGGGCAAGTGACTTTACATGTGCCACTGTACCGGAGTACACTAGCAATTTTAAAGTTATTTCCACCCTTGATGTTGGTAGCAACAGTACCACTGAGTTTTTGAGGGTCCCTAAGACTCATACTCTTAAATTTCAGGGGTCCTGGACAACAAAATGGGGGTCCAGACACTTAGATATTAATATTAATAGTGTCTTGTGTATTATGATCATCACATTATTTGTTACAGTAATTGAATTACAAATCATACCATAACCCAGCTAGTAGAAAACTCTTTGATAACTTATTGTTACTTGATTTGAATTTTTACAAAAAGTATTTGGACCTTTTCTGCGTCCCTGTCGATGCGCTAATAAATTTTGTTGCGTCCATTGTCAATTTTTATGCGTATAGGACCTGTAAATCCCTGCTTGAGTTTTAGTCTGTTGCAAGGAGAGCTGCACTTTGTGGTCCTATTTACATGCTTGTTATATCTCCATAAAGAATCTTTGAAATTTCATTGGTTAGTCCATATCATGTGATGAAACAATAAATTGACCTGACATGTGATCAGTAGTCGTACCCCCATTCCCTATACTACTTACTAGAAAACAGTGCGTCTGCAATTGGCAATATAAGTTCTTGACTGAATTTTATTGCAAAAACCAGCAGACTATGAAGGTGAAATAGTGAAGTGACAAAGCAACAGATTTCTCTTGGTGAGGTCACAAGATAAAAAACCCTGTGTCTATTGTTGGCCTGGCTGAACCTCAGCTGTGACATGATACATACCTGGATTATATGGGCGCGTTACGATTTATATCCTGCTACAATCCTTCTGTTACCTAAGTTCATATATCTCCTTTCTGCTGGTAAATCACAAACCTGGATCACTTATTTTAAATCTGATAGGGAAGGTAGATTATTGGAAGGGAAAAACGTATAAGCTTGGGGGCATTGTGAATTTTCCAGGGCTCCAGATATTTTTTCAACATCAGGAGTATGTACTGCTTATTTTTTTATTACAAGAGTACTTGAAAAACTTAAGAGTACATTTAGAGTACTGAATGGAATTTAATGGGGTATCAGCAATTCATATTTGCACCACAACATTGCTACTCTTGTGTAAACAGGTCAATAAACAATAAAACAATACTTTTTCAGATAAGTACGTCAGTAAATTATTCTAATACCGTACACCATTGCTGTGGTGCGTACCTGCTCCGTTCTCTAAATTATTTCTTACCGTATCGTGCCCATTTTATATTTGTACATACGCTGATACGGCCCTTATCTGGAGCCCTGATTTTCAAACAGAAAATACTAGAGTATTTGAATCAACTGGTTGTCAAACAGTTTCTAATTCTTTTTTGAAATTTTTACATCAATATAAATTGCAGTGTATTGTATTGTATGTATTGCAATACAAGAGTTGTAAATTGATGTATCATGAGCCTCATATCATATTTCAACAGCATATGGACTCAGTGAAGTCCCTCGTTCATGAGTCGGTTGGAGGTCTTCGGCAGGAGTTCCTCGTCCCTTCTGATCGGGGCCGAGTCCGGGATTGGGATCGCCGAAGCTCGCTCCGATCCCTTGGCCTGAGGCGGCTGATCGATCCTTTGCCTTTGGCTTCGTGTCCCAAACGCCTCGCTACCTCCCGAGAGAGGAGGGTTTGCTCCCAGTCCTTCTTCATGTTGGCGCAGGGTCCATTGAGGATTCCTGGGGTTCCGTCCTGCTCCACCCTCGCCCCCATGAGAGCTGAGGAGCCGGGTTCTGTCCGGGCTTCCTCCCTGTCTCGGGACCGGGTTCGAGTGTAGTGTCGGGTTGCCTGGAGCTGAGAGTTCCTTCCAGCTCTTCCCTTCCCCCTGGTGTCTGTGGCTCTCGGCCTCCCACTGGATCGGGTTTGGCTCCTCTTCACGTGGAGATCCGCATTCTGACTCAGGCTTCTATGGAAGTTGGGGAGGTCGAGGAGTCGGAGGGTATTTTCCGTTTTCCGTCAGCTCCCTGAGAGGTTAGGCAACATATTGCCCAGTAAATTCCCCAAGCTGTGGCGCCGACATGTAGCTCGGACTCTACTGAGTTCCGCCTGCCGGGGGGGGCATTTGCTCCTCGGCAGCACTCTCCTCCGCATCTTGCCCTCCCTGGTGCAGGACGTGATGGATCCTCTCCTGGTTGGTTCTTGCCTCAGGTTCGATCTTCCCTACTTACCTAGCTCATATAGTTACACAAGTATCCGTGAGAAGGAAATGTGACAAATCTGATACAAACCTAGTTAACGTTTCTCATTTCAACAACAACAACAACAACAACAACAACACATACAAATACAAATTTAGTGAACTCAAACTCTTCTCCCTCGTTAAGTGTTGAGCATTGCCACATTCCACTGCTTTTCGACTGTCCGGGTGTGTATTCGACAAAACATTCAACAGTCCGGGTGTGAACCAGTATCCTACCCAGTAGGAATTGTCAAAGCATGTTCTTTTTTTGTGTGGACTTAAAAAAGCACAAGAAAAGAATTCACATGTCGTTCTATAACTAAAACAAGCATGTGTGATAACTGTAAGACTTGAATGTGTTCTCCATTAATACTAACTCTGTGTACTAAGTACAGGAAGTTGATGAGTTCATATTTACATACCGGTAGTTTATGAGGGGCGTCGGGGTAGCCTAATGGTTAAAGCGTTCACCCATCATGCCGAAGACCCGGGTTCGATTTCCCACATGGGTACAGTGTGTGAAGCCCATTTCTGACGTTTCCCACCATGATATTGCTGGAATATTGCTAAAAGCGGCTTAAAACTAAACAACCTCACTCACTCACTCCGAACTCTGAATCAACTATGAGGCCAATATTATACCTATCACAAATATTGGGTTATGAATATGAATATTGTGTAATGAAAACAAATATTGGGTAATGGATACAATAACAAGTCAGCAGATGATGTAGGAAGGCGTTTCCTATTCTCGCGGTACTTACGGATATCAGCTGAAAAAATAACACACGTTGTGGAGTGCATGGAAGAGCAATCCTGCCGGAAAGGGCGGGGAAAAGTTATGACATGTCCAAGTTGGTATAAGGGAAGACATTGCAAGATTTTGATCACTCGCAGACTTGGGCCACTTCCTAGTTACCGGTCGGCAAGGTTAACAACCGCTCCGTTTCGTGCATCAGAGATATATCGGCAGAAAACGTGTTTACCGTGAGAATAGGAAACCCGCGAGGATATGAGACGGACCTATATTAACAAAATACATCCTTTGACATGTTTTGACCATGTTGACTGCGTTAGTTTATTATGACAATGACCAGTGACCACATTACAAATCAAATATGTCAAAATGTTGACTATGATCCTGCCTGACTAGAATATATTCCATTTTGCATATCTCGCTTTCATGTAAACATCTAACTTCAAGTGAAAACATTCCTTGAGAATATTTGAATCTAGTGATGGCAAACGATTGATTGAATTTATGGATTGAATTCATGAAGATGGTTCAATTCACTGAAAACACAAGCTCTAGAGAGAACCCCTTGCAGTCTGTTCACACATACACTCGCTTCACAGCACATTTCGGTCGGTGGGGTAGCCTAGTGGCTAAAGCGTTGGCTCATCACGCCGAAGACCCGGCGTGATGAGTCCCCACATGGGTACATTGTGTGAAGCCCATTTCTGGTGTCCCCCGCCTTGATGTTGCTGGAATATTGCTAAAAGCGGTGTAAAACCAAACTCAGTCAGTCAGTCACAGCACGTTTGGTCACTAGCCTCAAGCCCGAGCCCAGTAAAATTTTGCTTGGTCTAGTAAGTCAGTTATTAATAATCCACATAATTGCACTAAAACCCAGTGTTAATACTAATAATAGCCATGTTGGGCTGGTAGACACGAAACATTTTTGAACAGACTGACACAATGATGCACACAATGTTCCCGACATTTTTCAAGTGATTGTTTAAAATGGTTTGTTTATAGTTAAATACCCACAAAACATGGTCTGCCATATCCTCCACTATCCACTGTTCGTAATATCATTTACAGTCCAGTATGTGGAAGCTCTTCTTTTTTTGAAAAAAAAATCCCAACCCATTAAGCATAGTAGATAACATGTGGCTGAATTTTGTACTCGAGTCCATATCAACTTCTTGGAATTCTCGTGAATAGTAGAAAATAGTTTTGACATCCAAGTACCAGATGTCCCAGCGTTATAATTCGGTGAGTGTGTGAGCAGTCTTTCGATACACACTGAAACAGATGATGTTGCGACTTGGACATCTTCTTACCGCCTATTTCCCTAAAGAATGCAAGTTAACTGTTCGTGAGACATCTTGTAAAATCGATTTTGATAAACGTGCCGGAGATATGACAAGTGATAATTTCGGAAATACATTTTGTGATCAGAATTGATCAGTTTGTTGCAAGATCCACCAGCTTTACCTACAACAGATGATGTTGATGCGCCATACAGATTGGTGACCGGATGTTGACCGTAGCACATCTGCACTCATATATTACCCACAGATTATTCATGAGCTCATTGTTATGTCACAAAATTATTTTGTCTCACATTTACTTGATGAGAAAAAATGAATTTGTGTCCGTCTTTTTGTGTGTTGACATGACCATTTTATGCAGAATACACCTAAAATACTCTATTGTAAGGCATCAATGCTATGCCCTGTAAGGTTAGGGGCAGTGGGGTAGCCTTGTAGTTAAAGTGTTCGATTCCCGACATGGGTACAATGTGTGAAGCCCATTTCTGGTGTCCCCCTCTGTAATATTGCTGGAATATTGCTAAAAGCGGCATTAAACCATAGTCACTCACTCACCCCTGTGAGCTGAGCGGGACCCCCATTTACCTCTGCTTGTCATACGACGCAGCTAAGGGACCGTTCATAATTTATGGCTAGGGGGGGTGATGGTGATTTTTATGGAGAAGCATGTACAAGTGAATGACCCCCCCTAAAATTTATGTACAAAGTAAGTGACCCACCCCTGCATGTCATGTACAAAGTCAATGACCAGCCTCCCCCTTTTTCCTATTTTTAAAGCACAATTTTTAATATCTTTATCTACAAAATTGCTGACCTCCCCTTGAAACGTGTACAAAATTGCTGACCCCCTACCTCCCCAGAACAAAATGGGTGCCCCCTTAAAATCATCTCTCACACACACACACACACACACACACACACACACACACACACACACACACACACACACACACACACACACACACACACACACACACACACACACACACACCATAAATTATGTACGGTCCCTAAGTCGTGTACTCTTGCCATCAACCACTGGTTTCGTTTGACCAGATTATTTATTTAATTTATTAAGTTTTGCCTGCCTTATTATAAAGCTGGAATAATGTTGAGTGCAATGAAAAGTAATTAAAAGCAAAAGCCCTCTATTGGCATAGTCACTCAAAAAATGTTTAGGTAGCAAAACATTGAAACCAATTGCCAGTTTCGTGTTTGAGTGACAAATGTAAATACTGTTACTATGGGAATACATGGATGAAGACCTCCATGATTTTTTAGAAGAAAATTGTAAATTTTGTTTGTCATGTACAAATTTTCTTCTGAAAAACATGATATGTGTTTCTTTATCGTTTACTCTATTGAAAACATTTTTAAATGATCAGATGAAAGTTCAATGAAAATTCTTTAATTTTTTTACACTTGAGTAGATTTGGATTTATAAATTTGGTGCCAAAGAGACATGTTTTATTTAAATGCGAAACCAGATGTTCGATAAATGACTTCTACATTTGTTTAGCATAATTAATCAGTATTGTTAATATCATTACTGTTGTTTGTGTAGAGTGATGCAACTGAAAATGATGATATATTTTGTTTGTTGTATGGGATTAATTATTCTGGAAGTGCTCATTTGTTTAAACAATACAGTTTATTTCAGTCGCCGAGAGCTGTTGAGGTAGGTGTTTCGTTTTATGTCCATGAACATGGCCAGTTTTGAGATGATAACCTGATAACTGAACACTGTGATTTATGTTTATTGCAGAATGTTGAAGCTGCTAAAAAAGGAAGTAAGTATGACACTTGATTGATGGGAATTGATTGACAGCTGTCAGTCAAACTCGGCAGAGACAACGCTGCATAATCTGCAGTGGCAACCCGCCAGTCGATCCAGAAAACTACGAAAGAAAAACATTTTTCGTTTTGCGCAAGATGTCTGAAATGCGATCTGATGTTAAATATTGACTGATCTCTTTCGGAAACGGGATGTTCTTTGTAAGAATGTGATAGTAGTTCGACCAGTGTTTGCCTCTCTTTTCTTATTCAAATGTGTCTGTATGGATTGGCATACAGAATTTTGAGAAAGAACTGAAGCAGCTTATTATCAATATATGACATTAAAGAAACTTTTTGCGTTTGATCTGTTAGATCAACTCTTTCGACACTAGTACAGGTGTGAGAACACATGTACAGATGTCTCCAAATATGCTGGTAGCTCTATGTGAAGCATAGTTGAACTAGTCATATCAGTATTTTAAAACACACTTCGATGTACAGTAGACGTTTCACAGTCATCCTTCAGAATTCATGAGCGCCTCCGTGGTGTAGTGGTTGGAGTGTCCGCCCAGAGAGCGGAAGGCCGCGGGTTCGATCCCCAGCCGCATCATACCAAAACACGTTAAAATATGGTACTTGTTGGTCCCTGCCTGGCGCTCGGCAAACATGGGTTCAACATGGACTCGTCGGCTCGGAGTCAGTATAATGTGTCTGAGTGGGGTATTCATGCTTCACTGCGGCATGGTATCTCAGTGAGCTATAAAACTATAAAACCAGCTTAACTCTGGGCTAGTACAAGCAGCCACGCATACACACGCATGCACGTCGTCATATGAGCAAAATATTCTTAAGTGCGATGTTAAACCCCATTTCACCTCACCTAACCTAAGTATTCATGTGCATTAATACATCATATTTTATGTTGTTTTGTTGACAAGCTCTCGCTATGAGTAGTTTCTTAGCTTAGGAGAAGATACACGCAAAAGCCATCTTTACTTAGTCTTCTGTAGAGGGTTAGTGTTAGTCTTAGCAACCCATGCTTGTTGTAAGAAGCACCTAAATGGATTGAGTGGTGAAACTAGCTGACTAGGTTCATGCATGTTGTCGTATCCTAGTTGTGCTCATTATGTCAATCACTAGAGCCTCAGGTCCATACTACATTATTAGCAGACCACCTTCATTGAAACAAACAAACAAACAAACAAACAAACAAACAACCAGAGCCATTTATTCACTTGAGGTAAAGGAGTTTACAACAAATCACATATTAATGCCATCCTCGATAATCTGCAGGGTATACATTCCGATAAATCTCCACTATACCTTGGATGCATCTACAACTCGGCCCGATGATTTTATTACCTCCCTTTGCTGGCTTTTTATCCTATCAGGTGTCTATTCTGGGAAGTTGAGCGTACCAATCACAACTCACTTTCGCTATTTAAATTATCTAACCAATTAAACTTGGCAACACAATACTATATTGGCAGATGTACTCTGAATGAGGTAGAAGGAGTTCTTGCATATATATTTTTAAGATTTCAGACCTGTCAATTTGTCTGTATGTTTTCTCCCAAATCTGAGTGGCACCGCGAACAAACTTTCGTGGCTGCGATCACTATCTTTGTTGACACTGGCAAGCTTGGTTGTAACGGCGGTTATCTGATTGGCTACTGTGAAGATACAGAGCCAGTAAAGGGAGGTAATAAAATTATCGGGCCGAGCCGTAGATGCATCCAGGGTATAGTGGAGATTTATCGGAACGTATAACCTGGAGATTATCGAGGATGATATTAATGCATGTTTAGCTAGAAAGATATTTCCTTTGCATGAAGCCAAGGGAGAAGACCGACATGTTATGGGGCATTGCCAGTTTTATTTGAGATTACTCACAGTTGAGTACCAGCGTATCATCGCTTACTTCATTCATGAAAGAAAACTGTAATTTTCTGGGATAACAATTTCTGTGCCACATCAATGAAAATGGACACTAAACGAAGCTATAGCAGTGAACCGGTCCGTAGTCTTAATGCTTATAGAATGCAGGGTTCGTTTTAACCTTATAAGACATGCAGAAGTTCACAGCGTTTTCAAAAATGCAACAATATTTGTTTCTACATGCACCAAGTGCATGTTAGAGAGGTTCAAATTTATGTCTTCTCTGTGAACATATTCAATACCTCTGACTTATCATACACCATGACTAAACCCTATGTAATGTGTATTTGTCATACATTCTTTGAAATGAGGGTACTTCAAAAGTTTGTATGATACTGTAGTTTCATCTGTCGTTGACAAGGGTGCAACCAGTTTTTGTATGGTGTAACCCGATAGTTATGTCAACATTCACCCAGTTCAAATTAAATATCAAATTTCTTCAATCAAGCCCAGCGTCCCGATCCAAAAAGCGTTTGTAGCGCCACAAGATTTGTAAGCCTGTGATAAACTATCGAGTCATGACGGGTCGTAATGTCCCGAACGCTTTGGGGATAGGGACCCTGGAATGAATATATGATAAGCTGTTCGTTAGAATTCCTAACTGCTTTTAAAACATGCATATCAGTGTTATTTGTGTTGAACAGGCAACATTCATTCCTTACATGTTTCATTTTATGCTGAGACTTCCAAACACGGCACACATTTCTTGGAATCAGAATGACAAGCATTATTTACCTTCACACATCTTTTTCATATGTGTCAATCTGATTCATAAGCCAGGAGAAATTGGAGGAACGGTTTCAGCAAGACGAAAGTAATAATGGCATCTCTGTTGTTTCATCTGTAGGCCGGGCAGAACATGGCCCCTCAGTTTGTTTATTGTTTTACAGCTAAGATCATCCTCAAAAGCAGGAAGAAAACCCGGCCCAGCCTGATATCTTTGGATCGAACATCCAAGATCGAGAAACTGTTTGAATCAGTAACAGACTGTGCTGTACTTGGTGAGTGAACTAAGGTTACGAACTGAAAAAACATGAGTTGACATTGGCCCCCATCACATTGCGCTTGTTGAAAGAGCCATCTTTATAAAATCAAGTTGTTAGACTTGATGTCTTGATTGATGGTATGCCATTATGGCATGCTAAGGATATCGATCACTGGATTGTCTGGTCCAGATGTTTTTGCAGGCCTCTTTCATATGGCAGGAATTTTGTCTGAATGGGTTGTTAAACAACAGACAAACACACTCTCAGAGATTAAAACACATTTCTTGATGTATCTGGACCTGCTGATTTGTCTGGTGTCTCGGTCTTTTTAGCTGATGGTGTTTTGATGACGATAACGATGATGATGATGAGTGTTGTTGCAGGGCTGGAGTACCTGACAGAGTTCCAGAAGCTGGACCCCAAGGCCGTCACCATGTGTGTGTGTAACCTGTGTGAGTCTAAGGTTGACGAGAACATGGTGGTCTCCCACATCATCGGCACCAAGCACAAGCTCAATTACATGGTTAGTAATGCACAGACAGCAGGGCAGGGTGACGCAGGGATGGGACTGCAGGGTAGGGATGCTGGGGAGCTGTTGCAGGACAGGGTGACGCAGGGAAGGGTGATGCAGGGAAGGGTGATACAGGGCATGGCAATGCTGGAGAGCAGTTGCAGGGCAGGATGATGCATGGGAGGTGTTGCAGTGAAGTAATGCAGAGGTTAAGTCAGATTGTTGTGTGAGACTGCAATATCAGTCGGTTGTGTGAGGTTGTGATGTCAGATTGTCCTATCTCCTGCAGAAAGAGAAGCACCCCAACGCTTTTGAGCACTTCAAGAAGTTCTCTGGGAAGAAGTCTCAGCAGTCAGCATTTGCAGAGGAGCTGGCCCGGGGGGCTGGAGGTGGAGGACGGGAGAGGGCAGGTCATCATGAAGGTCGACCTAGAACAGTATGACTTCGAGGATGAAAAATCTGGTAAGAATATCATAGAATCTGGCAAGGTAGAACTTGGTCTTGTGAAAAACATAACAGTTTTTGTAAGGCCATTTTAATGTAATGTTAACATATGGAAAACAAAGGTAATATGTAAAGGTCGAATAAAAACATGTGGATGATCTAATTTTGTCAGTGCCCTCACTCACTCTCTATGGCTTATGGCACTGATGCCTAGATGAATGCAAGGTACTGTTAGTATTTGAGAACCCTGTTGTTCAGGGACTTAGTGGTGTTGATTCAGAGAAATGGCTCTTAACCAAACATTTTTTGTTTTGCTACAGAACCTTCACAATATCCCCCGGAACGTCCATATTTGTCTGAAGGTCATTCAGATCAAGGTCAAGGTTACAACTCATCAAGGTGACTACCACTACTTCATGTATATGGTGTATGACTATATCAGCTTTGTTAAAATAGTTTTCTTCAGATTTTTGTCAGTTAACTGTGAGGTAGACCGTTTGGGTCTACAAGGACCATTGCGTACTGGAACATGTGTTCCTCTTTTCATGGGATGGTGTGGTAGCCATTCCCCACATATGTACAACGTGTGAAGCCCATTTCTGTTATCACTCCCCTCCCTGGGATCTTGCAACCAGCCACTGAAAAAATAATTATGTATTTGGAGAATATATCAGATGTGACAGGGGACACAACAGAATGTTGTGGGTGTTTTCATCTGATAGGGATGCCCTGATACAAATGCTTCCCAACAAGTTCTGCTATGTTCAAGTCATAACTCACTAATTCTTTTTCAGAAGAAGTCCTCCTTGGGGTTCATATAAGCATTAAAATGTCCATTTTAAAATACCATACGACAGTTGTAACAATATTTCAATAAAATATTTTACCAAACAAAACTCGCTTTTAAATATTTTATTGAAATATTGTTACAACTGTCGAGGTATTTTAAAATGGACATTTTAATGCTAATATGTACCCCAAGGAGGACTTTTCTTCAAAGAATTCATAACCCTACAGGTTTGTACAAGTTTTCTGGTTGTCTACAGACAACTGGAACTGATTTAGTCTTTGCCCTGTGATATATGAAACAAGTCATGCACACAGGTTTTCCACATCCTTGTGCAATCAGGCAGTCGGGTGGCCTAGTGGTGAAAGTTGCTATTTGCCACGCCAAAGACCTCAGGTTCGACTCCCCACATGGATACTATGTGTGAAGCCCATTTCTGGTGTCCCCTACGTGATATTGCTGGAATATTGCTAAAAGTTTACATAAAAGTAAACTTACTCATTCACTCACTCTTTGGTCATGTGGACAAGGCATTGATCTCATATCGGTGGGCCTGAGGTTTGATTCCTGGAATATTGCTAAAAGTGGCGTAAAATCATGCTCACTCACTCCTTGTGCAATCACTGTATAGATGAGGTAACCTGACAAACAGCCTGACGTTACCCTGTGATTAGAGTGCTAAGTTGATCGTAACGTTATTATAGGATTATGATCATTGAAGTTTTAGATCGTGTTATGGAATGGGACCCTGTGTTAGAGCCCTACAACTGTAAATCCACATGCTCATGCTTTCAACCACTGGTTTATCCTATCCAGAGCCTATTTAATTCATCCATGGTCATGATGATAAGGAAATCTTATTCTTATCTGAGATAATGATAGTAATTTTATTAACTCAGTTATTTTGCTTATGTGTTTGAATTTCTTCATTCATTCTGTTTTCACAATATCAGAAGGTTTTCTTGCCATTTACGCTTTCATGGGATGTGTTCATCTAATATGCAATATTTTGTCTTCCACAGATCTGGATATCGTGACCCATCAAGACATGGTAGTCATCGCCAACAAGATACAGGTAGGCAAGTGTCTGATCTCGTGTCATAGTCTTTTCCGAAGTTCCAGGGATGAATACATCCCCAGTGCCTGTTATAATAGACAGACAGGATAGAGTTGTCAGACTGGATGACTCAACCGATGTTATTCATTGAGTCACAATTACTCAGGTGCTCATGCTGTCAGCCATTGGATTTTCTTGACCAGACTGGCCCGGAGAGAGGAAGGTCCCGGGTTCGATCCCTGACCGCGTCATACCAAAAAACGTTAAAATATGGTACTTGTTGGTCCCTGTCTGGCGCTCGGCATTAATGGGTACAACAAGGACTGGTCGGCTCGGAGTCAGTTAATGTGTCTGAGTGGGGTATTCATGCTTCATTGCGGCATGGTATCTCAGTGGGCTAGCACTATAAAACCAGCTTAAGTCTGGGCTAGTACAAGCAGCCACACATACACATACACACGCATGCACGTCGTCAGATATTCTAAGGCACGACGTTAAACCCAGTTTCACCTCACCTCTTGACCAGACTGGAATGTTTGGCAGCTTGACTCCTGAGACTTTCTAGGATTCAGTCCTGCCCCACAACGAAACACATGTGGTCTCACCTTAGCCAAGTGAGTTTGTTCAAAATTGCCCCTGTTCACCAGCAGAAAATGACATAACCTTCTAGCACCTAACAGGCAGCTTGGGTTATCCAGGGTAATAATGTTGTGCATGCTTTGAGCATGTCGAGTATTGCGCAGTATAAGTACCCTCATTGTTATTATTATTATTATTGAGTGTGGGTTAAACAGATAAACAAACAAATATAACTCTTCACTTACATGCTGTCAACCCTGGTTTAGTGATATTGTGTGTATTTATGGAATAAATGTTAAAGAACCACTAAACTTTGTTTTTTGTCACTCTTTTAACCATTACATATGAAAGATTTGTGGTTAGTCTTATGCGGAACACCAAATTTATTCTTTAAAAACTTGAGGTTATTTAATACCGAAGCATTAAAGTTGCCAAAGTCGTTCTTGCTTCCCGCCTAAGCCAACGAAAACCACAGACAGGTTACGAATCCTGTCGCCAGAGCACTGCAGTGACGCTATATGAGGAACGCATTTTCAGTTAGTTGTATAGAAAATGTAGCACGCTTTCATCATTTTGATGATTTCTCGACATCAACGACGCATATGCCGAATCGTTGCTTGTTCGCCAATTGCTCCCTTAGGGTCGGGCGATGGTGTCCCTACGCACAGATTTCCACAGGACCCGCGTCCAGTTCGTGCTAAATGGGTTATGTTTTGTGAGCGGCTTAGCTGTAGAAGCCTGAAACGAGCATATCTTACTTGTGTTCAGATCGCTTCCACGGAAGTTAAAGAATCAAAAAACTACTTACTAGTTGTAGTAAAATTGCATATGATTGATGACCATAAAGATCTTTCTATGACAACTTGTAACATAACCATTTTCTTCCTTTAGTGAGGTTGTGGTCAAGCAACAATAATATTGTAAGTAGTATTATATTGACATTCCACCCGCGCCACGAGAGAAATTGTTATGTTATACGCTGTCATCATTCAAAACTCTATTGGTCATCAATCGAAAAATACATATTTTACTACTCAGTAGAAAGTAGTTTTGATTTTGTCCGTGAAAACAAACCTAAATACCATTTATCCTCAGACCGGCTATGATGTTCCCGACAGGTACCGCATATTTTAAAAATAAAAATCTGTTAGAATTCAAGGAGATTATAGTTTGTTTTCACAAGTTAGAAAATCAAGACTACTTTCATCAGAGTCAAATATGTATTGGAATCATAAACCAAACGGATTTTGCATGACACAACTTATAACATAACCATTTCTTCCAGTGCAGCTTGTGGTGGGTAAAAGTCGGTCAATACCGCGCGCGATAAATTTTTTGCCACATTCCCATGGTTAATGTCCACTCACCAGTATGTAGATACCAGTCAATGCCTTTATATTTGGTCTTATAATCCTCTAATTAGTTTATTATCATACTTTGTAGCGCATTTTGAAACTAAATAAAAAGCAGACCATCTGCCGATACTTATAGTGAATTTATAACAGAACTGTAATATCTAGACATTTTATAGTTTGCCAATGTGAATCATAATTGCATTACACACCCTAGTGCATGTTGTCTGTCTCTATTACACTTCACGGTGAAAACAATGATTCTGTTGAATGCTACCACAAATGAATAAAAACAAAATGCAATATTAAAATTAAAACAGATTAAAGTTATAGGAACAATATCAGGCCATTACCTTGTTCGAGGAATGTATCCATCAATATCCACAAACTGTTCCAAATGATGTGTCTTTTAACAGTTTAATATACTTAAAAGTGATAAATCTTTTCAGGTATTGGTGTATAATCTCATTGGTCACCCAAGATAGCACACCTGGCAACTAATTGCATAATGTCCGCCTTTCTTTAAAAACAGTAATTTAGTTAAGCCAATAATGGGCAATCAATCAATGTATTGTCGTTAATCCTTTGAAAGAAGTTGACGCGCTTGTTTTACGCAGGAGACACCTATTGACACAGAGTGGTATTCAGTATAGATTAGTAAATCTACATACATAAACACTACCTTTGACAATTCCGCTGTGTAAGATAAAAGTAATTAATCAATCAGCGTTAAGTTATCGGTTAATCTTTTGATCGATGTTTATAATGTTGAATATTTACTCCAGACACAAGAAATGCCAAATGGAACCTTTGTCGGTAATTTAAGCGTGTTACCACTAATTATACCTGTTATAAATTCATTAACTGACCATCAAGTAAATGATGACAAATAACATGTGTAGGTTTATACCACCTAACATCGGTTACAACAAGGGAGTATTAATTGCTGTATTGCATGTGAAAACTTATGGGCTTGCATTAATTGTTTTGAGAATACAAACAGATTTTACATGACATGATTAAATATCGAGGTAAAAAGCACAGAAATGGGATCAATTTGGATCAGTCATTATACAAATAGGGCCTAACGACACCAATCGATTTTGACAGAATCGCCTATGAAAACAAGTTGTAACCGGGAACTAGGCAAAGCATGAGACAAAAAATTAAATGACAGTAGATTGTGAGAACATATAGCTTTCATTTTCCACAACAATTGTCCCATTTCAGGTTTATACAAGTCCTGTAAACAAGATAATTTAACCCCTAAAATGTAGATGAATTCTGCACAGGCCCTCCAAGCTATTCCTCATATGACGTCACAGAGTCGCGCCGCTCTGATTGGTTGAAATTTCGTTCGCGGGTGAGAATTGTGCACTGTTGTCAAAAAGGTCGATTTAAGCCAATTAAAGGTCGAAATGAGTAGTTTTAATGACGGGGTTTCATTTATAACGATGCGAGTTAGTGATTTATGTATTTTTACCCCCTAGAGTTTATGTGACCTTTAAAGATTTCTTGATTGAATTATAACAATTTTTTAAGCAATAACTTTTTACACTATTCAATCTTATAGTCACTGCCAGGAGATTGGGGGGAGATGTGGATGATGCAGCAAGGAGGACTTTCCCTAGAGGAGCTTCAGGAGAGCACCATGAATGGTACACTGTTTAACCAAATTTCTGGTGCATTTCTGGATGTCAAAATAAATATTGTATTTTGAGGAAGTGTTTCAATATCTCTTGCCAATTATGAGGCTGATCTATTTGTGAACTGTGCAAGTGCATGACTTATTTCAATTTGTGTTCCCACAATCAACCTGCCTTATGAAGGCATGTAAAATGACTTACAGCCTCTGTCATGGCTGTTATGTTACTGTTGATGATGACTAGTGTTCTCACAATTTTTGAAGTCAGGTCAGATGCTATGAAATAGTTGAGACCATAAGAATTTAAATGCTTGATGCCTGTTAAGTTATGTCCAAAATGAATTATTTGTGTTTCAATTATTATTTTTCGAGTTATTGTGTTTTGTTTTCTTTGATTTTGATTTGATCCCCCTCAGTGCGCTTTTTATGGGTATTAAAATGGACTCGATCCGTGGGTCCGTGGCGTCCGTCATCCGTCCGGTCCGTAACATTTGTCTTTACCGGAGCATAACTCTAGAAACCCTTCTAATGTTTCTTCACCAAACTTGGCACATAGATAGATCTGGTGGTGTACTGGTGCCTTTTGGTAGTTTTGGGAATTTGAATAAAATATTTTGGCGCTTTCCATGGCAACAAGTTTGACAGACCTTAGACTGAAATTGGTGGTAGTGCTCTTTTCTCGAGCAGAACTCTAAAACCGTTTCACTATTTCTTCACCAAACTTGGCACATAGATAGATCTGGTGGTGTACTGGTGCCTTTTGGTAGTTTTGGAATTCTGAATAAAATATTTTTGTCATTTCCATGGCAACAAGTTTGACTTAGCCTGAAATTGTGGTAGTGCTCTTTTCCGGAGCTGAACTCTAAAACTGTTCACTATTTCTTCACCAAACTTGGCACATAGATAGATCTGGTGGTGTACTGGTGCCTTTGGTAGTTTTGGAATTCTGAATAAAATATATTTTGGCTTCCATGGCAACAAGTTTGACTTAGACTGAAATTGGTTGGTAGTGCTCTTTTCCTCGAGCAGAACTCTAAAACCATTCAATATGTCTTCACCAAACCTTGGCATAGATAGGTCTGGTGGTGTACTGGTGCCTTTGGTGAAGTTTTTGGAATTTTGAATAAAATATTTTTGTCATTTCCATGGCAACAAGTTTGACTTAGCCTGAAATTGGTGGTAGTGCTCTTTTCCTCGAGCAGAACTCTAAAACTGTTCACTATTTCTTCACCAAACTTGGTACATAGATAGTTCTGGTGGTGTACTGGTGCCTTTTGGTAGTTTTGGAATTCTTAATAAAATATTTTTACGCGTTTCCATGGCAACAAGTTTGATTAGACTGAAATTAGTGGTTGTCCTCTTTTCCTCGAGCAGAACTCTAAAACCGCTCATCGTGTTTCTTCACCAAACTTGGCACATAGATAGATCTGGTGGTGTACTGGTGCCTTTTGGTAGTTTTGGAATTCTTGAATAAAATATTTTTGGCGCTTTCCATGGCAAACAAGTTTGACTTTAGACTGAAATTGGTGGTAGTGCTCTTTTCCTCGAGCTGAACTCTAAAACTGTTCACTATTTCTTCACCAAACTTGGTACATAGATAGATCTGGTGGTGTACTGGTGCCTTTGGTAGTTTTGGAATTCTGAATAAAATATTTTGATGCTTCCATGGCAACAAGTTTGACTTAGCCTGAAATTGTGGTAGTGCTCTTTCCCGGAGCTGAACTCTAAAACTGTTCACTATTTCTTCACCAAACTTGGCACATAGATAGATCTGGTGGTGTACTGGTGCCTTTGGTAGTTTTGGAATTTGAATAAAATATTTTTGGCATTTCCATGGCAACAAGTTTGACTTAGCCTGAAATTGTGGTAGTGCTCTTTTCCGAGCTGAACTCTAAAACTGTTCACTATTTTTCTTCACCAAACTTGGCACATAGATAGATCTGGTGGTGTACTGGTGCCTTTTGGTAGTTTTGGAATTTGAATAAAATATTTTGTCATTTCCATGGCAACAAGTTTGACTTTAGACTGAAATTGGTGGATAGTGCTCCTTTCTGAGCAGAACTTTAAAAAACCTTTTCAATACTCTCCTTCCACTTTTCTATATACTAATAACCTAAATATTTGACATAATCATAACTCTCGAGACATAATCACTGAAGAGTATTTTGCCATTATGGGGATATTGATGACTTTGTCTTCTTTGTAATTATGACCAAATGACAGATGACTTAAAGCTACCAAGTTAACTGATGACTCGTCTCTGTGCCTACGCAGAGACAAATATGGACACTATTCTCGACTGAAGAACATGGGCATCATGCATCTAAGAGGAAGACACCGGCACTATCCGCATGATAGCATGAACATAGGAACTATCCACACACAGAAGAGCTGCAGACACCTGCCACAAGCAGAACAGGAAGCCGTGGCACCATTCACAAGCAGAAGAAAGTAGGTACTATCCGGCAGACAGTAGGAAAGGGGCACCATCCACAAGACAGAGGAAAGGGCACTTCACACAAGACAGAGTATAAACCACTATCCACCGGCAGGGTGAAAGGGGCATCATCCAGCAGACAGAGAAAGGGGGCACCATCCACAGACAGTGGAAAGGGGGCACTTTGCCACAGACAGAGAAAGACAAAGCACCATCCACGGCAGGGGAAAGGGGGCACTTTTGCCACAGACAGAGGAAAGGGGCACTTGCCACAGACAGAGGAAAGGAGGCACCATCCACAGACAGAGTGAAAGGGCACTTGCCACAGACAGAGGAAACCATCCACCGCGTAGCAGGGGAAAGGGGCATCATCCACAGACAGAGGAAAGGGGCACCATCCACAGACCTTGGAAAAGGTACCTGGCTACAGATCACAGAGGAAATGGGGCACCATCCACGGGCAGGGGAAAGGGGCACTCATCCACAGACAGAGGTGAAGGGGCACGCCATCCACAGACAGTGGAAAGGGGGCACTTCTGCCACAGACAGAGGAAATGGGGCACTATCCACTGGCAGGGGAAAGGGGCACTCTGCCACAGACAGAAGGAAGGGGCCACTATCCACGGCAGGTGGAACATGTGGGCACTATTCACAGGAAGAGGAAAGAGGGCACTATCCACTATCCAGTGAAAGGGATGACCATGCGACATATGATTACAATCATGCCAGATCAGAAACAGATCACACCTCGAGAGAAGACGGAGCAGAAGACCAAGTTGGGCGGACCTGCCCAGGTGAGGGTAGTTCTTTCTCTATTTCTGTAGGCCTTCCAGAATTTGAGAGATGAAAATGACAGCAGAATGTTGTCAAGCGACAACCTGGGGTACAGCGAACTCTAACAGACCCGTAGTATAGAATAGCTTAGTTCAGCTTTGCATCTCGATGGTAAATGTTGCATACTGACTTGGAAACATGGCCTTCAACATCAAATTCAAGGTTTTTCAGTGCCTGTGTCAGGTAGAAACACAGCATATAATGTCACCTTCAGTGTTTCAGTTCCATGGCAGTTACTAAAGATTGACCAGTGAAACATTTCTTGACCAGTAATCCCTAAGGCTGTCCGCTCCTAAGTCAGACAGAAATAATACATACAATACAATAACCTTCAGGTCAATGTTTCCTTCCATAGTGTATATTGGCCATTGACAAGTAAAACGTGGTTTTGACCTGCTGACTTTGATTCATCATCGCATCCCAGTTGTGTAGATTATGCTAGTCACTGATTGTGTTCTCCAGTGAGTGAGTGAGTTTCAGTCTTACCGCAGTCAGCAATATTCCAGCTATATGGCGGCAAGCGTCTGTAAACAATCTTGACCAGACAATCCAGTGATCAACAGCATGAGCATCGATTCGCATTGGGAACCATTGACATGCAGTCAACCAAGTCAGTGAGCCCGACGCACCCTATCCCCGTTAAGTCACCCCTAGACAAGCATGCATTTCCAGATTTCTTTCATGATACATCTTTGACGATGAAGCCACCAAGTAATGCCGTTTCTTGGCATGTCAAACAACTGAGGGAAGATGGAGATGAACCAGCTGTCCGCCCGCTGCTGATCGCCACCCGCCAAAGCGGTATGTTAGTGAAACCGTATTAATGTCGTATGGATGTATTTGTCCTCACCGACAAGCACCAGGCCGGGAATAACACGCGTCACCTTGGCGCCTTTTTGGTATGATGCATCCAAGGATCAAACCACCAATCTTCTTTTAAATTCCACCAGCCAAACATCAGTGAAAAAATGCGCGGCATTGAATTTCATCTCAGAAGTTTATTTTTGCAAACCACTCCTATGACACTCAGAGACTTCATACCTGGATTTATCTTCTCTACAATGAGAATCAGTTGGACATTGATTAGATGATATGCAAGGTGAAGGTCACTCAGTATAATGCAGCTGTCCAAAAACTTGTGTAGTTTTATGAATGGCATTTGATAAGACTTGGTATATGTGGTCCTAAAAGATGGCTCTTTGATTGCATCAACTTTGGGGCATTCACCAAAGGAGGGGGATGAGGCTGCTCCAGTTGATGAATTGTAGTACAAACATACTTCAGTTTTTCTCTGAGAGTTTGTTGATCGACAAGATCATAACATATTTGTCCCTGCCACACTCTTCCAATCAGGGAACTTAGCCTAAGGCTGTGTTCATATGTCAGTTACATGGCAGTCTGACGAACCTGGCATGATAATGGTGACTGTTATCTTACTCCGATGGACATAACAACCTCGGTACCTAAAAGGTTGGCCTCTATCATTATTCATTACCAGAGCTTCATGATGAGTTTGTTTGCATTTGCCGTGGTGTTGTTCCAGATGACTGAGGCCGGAGTGGGAGGACAGATTGGAGACATGCTGCAGACTCGGTAGGTGGTAATACACCTATGACTACACCTCAATACATCATGAACAGTCAATACCTAGAATATCGCTGAGCGCTGTGTTAAACAATGTAAACAAACAAACAGGAGTAATGATCATGATGACATCTCAGTGTCATCGGGAATAAGACATGGTGACACTTCATAAAATAAAGATAATGATGATGCATGAGCCGTGATCCGAAAATGCATGATTGCACCACGGCATGCCAGGAATAGACATGACACCTCTGTACAGCTAAGAGTAGGCATGATGATACCTTTAGAAGTGCATCTCAGTACACCACATGGACACAGCATAGTCGTATCATGATAACACCTCAGCAATCTGCATAGGCATGATGACACGGATCAGAGTAGACATGGTGGAAACTCACAGTACACGGAGCAGGCACAACGATCAACCAGGAACAGGGCAACCACACCCACCATTACAACTAAGAGTAGGCATGATGACACCCTCAGTGCATCCGCAGTAGGCATGATGACACCCCAGCGTAATCGGCAGAGCAGGCACCATTTATCAACCCCCAGCACCACCAGGAATAAGGCATGATGACACCTTTAGAACTCCAGGAACAGGCATGGTGACACCTTAATAACCAGTAACAGGCATGATGACAATCTTAGTACAACCAGGTATAGAGCATGATGATCCACCACCCTGAATCACTTCAGAGTAAGCATAATGACAGCTCAGCACATGAACAGGCATGATGGCATCTCTGCACATCAACAACATGTTCTCTACCACCCCAATTTGAAAGGCCTTTACGTACGAAAAGTAACTTGATAATTCTTCTCGATGTTGCATCATTAGCCTGACGAATTGCCTTCAATTTAATTAACCACCTGGTACCAAAATCCTTATTCAGTCATTCCTGGAAATAATTGTAACAATATTCCCTGTTACATAACAGCCTGTAATAGTGTATTTTGTAGTGTGAAGAAAAATGTTCATAGTGATTTAATAGTATTTTCTTCAAAGCGATTAACATTGATAAATGTTGTTTTAGTTTGACTTGGTTGATAATACAAGCTCACAGGTTGATTGTTCTGTGCAAAGTGCAGAACTGATGACGCTAACTCCAAAATAGGAGCTTATATGCTAGAAATGCGTGTCCCGGATATTTAGCATACCGCAATGAGATAGAAGACCTGCATGTGTGAAGATGATCTTCATCCTCATCTCAAGTTATTTTTTCACATGTCTCTTTTTGTGCTTTCTTTGTTTCAGTCCAGCTTCAACGAATCCTCACAGAAGATGAGGCAGTCGCGTGGCCCTCCAGGTGTCACGCCTTAACCTGGGCTCTGTTGTCCTTCCGCCAGAAGTAAATACAGCGATGTCAGTGATATGATGCAGACTGTCCAGAATTTAACCCCAGGGATAGATGCAAGACGGTTCACCAGGATCAGCAATATCTTCAAACACAGTTCCGCCAGTGTAGGTGTCGCCAGTAGCAGTGTCAAATGTAATGTAATTCTTTACAAATCAGTGACTCGCTAACTCAGGGATTGCAGACTACAATTGTCAGTATGAGAAGATGTGGCACAAATATGTCTTGAGATTTTGCATACCACAACTGACACTGGTAATAGGCTACTAATATTTTCGTCTACGCCAAGAGCAATTTACTATATTGTAAATCATGAAAATATATGAGTTCTTCTGAGGTGTAGGATCCAGGGGAGAATATGTTGTTGGAGTGGTTGTTGTTATTATCCCTCAACGCCGCTTTTCTTGGTATTAAAATGGACTCACGCCAGCAGTCTGCGGAACATTTTGAGTTTTTCCGGAGCAGAACTTTAAACTGTTCTTTTCTCTTCACCAAACTCTGGCACATGGATAGATCTGGTGGTGTACTGGTGCTTTCGTAGTTTTGATATTCTGAATTAAATATCTTTGATGCTTCCATATAAACAAGTTTGACTAGACTGAAATTGATGGTTGTGCTCTTTCCTCGTAGCAGAACTCCAAAATCGTTAGGTCAAAACTCGGCACATACAATTAATATCTGTGGTAAACTGGTGCCTTTGTGGTAGTTTGGGAATTTTAATAAAAATATTTTTATTGTCGTTCCATGGCCCAACAAGTTTGATCTGGACTGAATTGGTGGCAGTGCTCTTTTCCCGAACAGAACTCTAAAACCGTTTCACTATTTCTTTTCTAAACTTCAAGGCACACAGACTGGCTTGGCGGTACCTGGTGCCCTTACGGCAGTTTCGCGACTTCGAACAAAATAATTCCCGGTATCTACGCCAACGAAGCTTGGACTTAGACGGGAAACTAGTTTCTGCCTTCCCGAACTATTAAAAACTTTCAAACTCTCCTTCAAACATCCACCCTTCATACACCAAAACATTCATTTGACATAATCAAAACCAGTAGACATATTCATGAAGAGTATTTTGCCATTGCAGGATAATTGATGACACTGTTCCTCTTGTTAAATTACTAATTCTGGTGTATTTCTGGTTTATAGGTGACAATTGGCAGGTTGTTAAACTTCCCAAAACTAGCAATCAGCAAGCCGTCGTGATAACTCACCACACATTGACCCTGCAGGTCTCTCACCTCCAACCAGAACATGTTTCAAGGTGTTTCTTCCTCCAGACCAGAACATGTTTCAAGATTGTTTTAACCTCCAGACCAGAACTTCATTTCTAAGGTGTTCCACCTCCAGACCGACCAGAAACATGTTTCTGCAGGTGTTCCGCCACCAAACCAGAACTTGTTCAAAGGTGTTTCGCCTCCCAACCGAATCAACTTCGTTTCTGCAAGATTATTACCACCTCCAGATCAGAACAATGTTTCAAAAGGTGTTCCACCTCCAGAACCAGAACATGTTTCGGGTGTTCTACCTCCAGACCAGAATGGGAACATGTTTGAGGTGTTCTCTTTCCTCCAGATCAGAACATCCTTCAAGGTGTTCAACCACCAAACCAGAAGCGTGATCCCAATATGGGACTACGCAGAAGCATTCCCTCAGGAATGTTCTAGTATGACTTCGGGCAAGCACCCTCACGAAGATTCCACAGTTCCTTTATGGATTATAGTTCCAGTTCTCACCCACGGGCCAGTGTTGACAAAATTCCACAGGTAGTAATCTTCACTCTGGCCTTGCCCTCAAGGCTCTTGTTCAGCTTTGATTACACCTCTACAAGTTATCATGCGCTATTATCAACCCCACTTCCTAGTTATGAAGCTCCTAAACCACCACCGCCACCTCCTGTATGAGATGTGTGACTTCGATCTTGTAGGTGTGAGGTCGGAATTCATCAAGGTGATAGATCTTTAGCACAGCATATCATGGAGAAAGCAATGAAGATGTCTCGATAACTTTAAGTCCCATTAGGTTTGCTTTTATGATTTTGTTTATGGATGTCAACCCCAAATAGAGGAAATGGAGATCTATGTTTTGCTGCATTTTTCTTACACATTTAAGAATTAAGTGCAAACAGATAGCCTGATTGGCATGTGTTCATTTCAAAAAGGTGCTTGGGGAGGTGGGTAGCCCAGTGGTTAAGCGTTAAGCCGTCAATACACTTAAAGACCCGGCTTAGATTCCTTGAAATAGGTAACGCAGGAAGCCCATTTTGGGGTTCCTTACCATAATATCTGCTGGAATATTGCCTAAAAGCTAAAACCCAACCAACTCATCATGACATTCAAATGCAAACGCAAATGTTTCTAAACAGGAGTTCTAAGTAACCGAAAGTATATATAGTTCATTGGTTTAAACTAAGGCTTTGTACTACCATGGTATCTGTGACACAAGGGGATTTTCTTAGCTGAAGTGCAATTCAACAAAACAATCTTGTTACCTCGGACTGATTGGTCTTTCTATCAAGAGTTCTAAAACTGATTTCTGAAAATTCTACTTGCACTCCGAATGTCAAAAATCAGTTATAAATTAGATCTAACATGGAAGACTGTAGTTGGTTTTGAAAATTATGTTTGTGTAAAACTTCGACATTTTATGTGAGATGGTACAGAATGATTACATTGTATATATAGTGTATATAAACAATAAAATGATTAAACATCCTACATGCTTTCTTGTTTGTTTGTGTAGAGACGAATACCCGCATATTTTACCATATGTCTGCGCGTGGTCTTCAACATTGCATAGTCTCTACTGATTACAGGTGAAAGCGGTGCACTCTTACTTCAACAACCGTGCACGCGATTATAGCGGTACAAGGCCTTCGGTTCAGTCCATTTCAGTTCCGGCATATGAGAACTTACTTACAGGGAAGATGCGGGGTCTAGCAGAGACCTGCATAGATTTTGACAAAATGACATCAGATTTCTAGACCTTTGAAAGCATTTTAAAAGGTCATTAAATGACAGATGGAAAACCAAAATTTCTGAACGCTATCACGGCAACCGCAAAGGCAAAAATAATTACCATCACCACGTCGCATACCGCTTTCACCCCTAATACTCAATACGTGATAAGTAATTGCAGTATACTTGGCTTATGATAGATTAACATTAAACGTAATGTAACTTTTAAATCTTTCTTTCAACTTACAGATGCCGAGGGAGTACTTTTCTACTTTCTATCTCCTTCAAAGGAAACATACTCTTTTGACATATGCAGTTTGAAGAATCAAGTGTTACAGAAACTACAAGCAATAATCTGAGTGTGGGCCATATGCCCATAATTAACATGGTGAATACATAAAGGGGTTTACGGGCCCCCTTAGAGTTTAGGACTACCACAAACATTGCCTGGGAACTTTCATCACATGGAATTATTCATTAGAGGAAAATGGCTTCATTAATGCATGTGATTTTAAGATTACTGCTATTATATAACGGCATGCTGCCAACCGCATGTTAACTGGGATAATTTAATTCCGCAGCTCCATCCTAAACCAGGGTCTTATGGGTATCCACATTAAATGTAACACCGAGAACAATAGGGTTGGTTTCTATGGTAGTCTAAGTTAACGCTCGTCACGTACCGCACATGCATTTGTTTCACTGTTCCAACTACTACGCTTACCCCCTTGTAACGCAAACCAATAATATCGATTCGAATCTATGATCGTTTGTTACCCAACTGTTATCTTAAGTTGAATAAAATTCTGAGATTTAAATGTTCAATTGGCAAGGTAAAATTATATGGATTCGCAATCTAAATTTCACTCTATTTGATTTACTTATTTATTTAAAGTGAAATTCATCGGTACGTGTACACTGCAAACAGCCTATAAGTGCACAAGACCTATGATCGATCTTGATGAATGTCACTTAAAATCCTTTACCATGAATGATAAATCATACCGTACCCGGGTCCGTCATTGAGTCAATATTTAACGCCGGAATCACTTTGACTATTGTGTGAATCAGTCTATTGAGCCAATTCATTTCATTGTGCAAAATGTACTGATATACTAATATCAACCTATTCATATTAAGTAAACATTCTCCCGAAGTATCATTTCTTGCGTATTTTTCTTTGTACAACAAAGAGTTTTATGGATATACATGTACAACTTCTTTTATTATTAATGAGTGACATTTCGCGTAGCTACTAACAATCGGATCAAGCAAGTGATGCTACTCAGAAGTACTTCTTCTAGTATTGAACTTTTCACTCTTGCCCCTGGAAGCCAGGTACCGGGCAAAACACTGAACCCGCCACCCAGCATGACAACATTGGCATTGAAAGTGGTTTGTATCAAGTATACACTACAGCACTCTGCTTTCACTTTCGCAATATTTGTCCATGCCATGCGGGAAATAAAAATATCATCGCTGGCAGAAGTGAGTGAGTTTAGTTTTCGCCCGGCTTTAGCAACATTCCAGCAATATCTCGGCAGGCGACAATGTAAGAAATGGGCTTCAATATCAACTGCACCCAACATGGGGAATAAGAGGGTCTTTGGTGTGACGAGCCAAACACCTTAACCAACTCCGCTACCTACCCAGCCGGCCACCAGTATTATTTAGGCATGTAATAAATATAATCTCTCATACAATGTGCCTGGAGATGCACTTCAGTTAACAAAATTTCATTTTTTCTGATTTTTAGTTTAGAACTGGCTTAGCTAATAATCATTGTAAGTGCGTATCCAATCCCACAGTGTTGTGGTTTTGCACCTCAGGGGTGTAAATAACTTTAAAATTGCTAGTGTACTCCGTACAGTGGCACATGTAAAATCACTTGGGTTCTGATAATTTTCCACTATACCAGCTGTTTTCTTGTTGATTTTTTAAATAAACAACATAATTAACATTGGAAAGTCAACTGACACCGTACAGTGTGATATATACAAATTTGCTTGCTGCCCGACAGAAAAACACTGGACTCGATGGCCGGGCAATGGGTTATTTCCACCCTTTGACTGTTACTAGAGAGAACTCTGGAAAGTAGTTTTAGTGACAGTGTTTGCAAGAACTCCGTGGTGCACTTTTTGATGGGTTCAATGCTGCCTATCCCTATTCATGCAGTAGGCAGCACCTCAATCTGACAAGGTCTTGCAAAGCGCTACCGTCATCTCTGCATGAACACTGTTGAAAACAACCTAAATCATTTTAAAAGCGCTGATCCAGTTTAATAGTGTTTCTTTTTGCAACAAACATTCGCTACCCGTTTCCTCTATATCTGGCACTTGCCAATAAGTTAAAATCAAGACATCAGTTAAAATTTAAGTATGACAGCTAATGAAAACCAATGCTCTAAAGTCCACAAATTGGGGCACAGCCTCCTTTGAGTGGTAAAATGATGGAGATAAGATGTGTTCTAACAGTTCATCCTTGAGGACACACTAGTTGCAAATTGATACAAGACTGTACAGTTTATAATTTCCTGGATTGACATTATCACTTTGTAAGACTCCTCCAGGTAATGCTAATAAAGGTCGTCACCTGCGCTCCTGCACTTTCGTTGAAGATCCAGCTTAAAATCATTTTTGTTCACAGGGATGTATTTCTTGGGATTTTCTAAGTATTCGAACAGAGTAGTCTTGGACCAGGTGATACCTGTACAACAAAAATGAAAATATTTTAGTGACACTTACATGTTGACACAAACATGATATACAAACACTATACATAATGTATGATATACAAATTGCCATGGCAAAGGCATAAATTACAAGGAAAAAGCATGTAACATAACGTTCCATCTTTGACCACTTTCTAAAATGTACAGCATTGTGTATTTCCAAGGAAAAAGCATGTTTAGATATTTGCAATTCAATGCGAAAGCAGAAGAAACTAAAGGTGGAAACTAAGGTCACTATTTAGGGGATGGTAACAGGAAAAATTCAGCTGAAAACTTAGTATTAAGGGCCATCGAATGGTGGGTTCAGATGATTCACAGAATTGATCAATTTGAACAAAATCTAATGGATCGAGGGAAAATTGCCATCCCTGCTATTCCTCAAAACTTGTGGCTTGTCCTGGACAGACAAACACTGTAGATTACATTGTCACCTGGCTGCAGTGATTAGACGCACTTGAGAACTTAAGGTGATAGCCCCTCAAAAGACCTACAATCATTGAATTCTACTTGTCCTCAATATATCTGTAGTGCTAGGTGGGTGGGTAAAGTGTGAAAGGCCTTCGCTATTTGTTCACAATCTGTTGTACTTTTTAGCTGTGGTGACTATTTGGATAACATGAAGTTGTGGCTTGAACAGTAGCATCTGCCAACCTGCAATCAATAATAAAACAACAAAGTCGAATATCACCAAGCAAATTTACTATATTACTTATAGCCAAGTAACTTAAAGGTTGGGGTTAATAAAATCTAAATTACTGTCAAACTGAGCTTGATCAATGTTCACTAAATAACACGTAAAAACGTGGAAAGAGGCAGTTGCCGTTACCTTTGTTCTTGTTAGCATCTGTGTAGGAGAACCTTGGTGCTTGGTCCAGCCTTTAGGCCCAATAAGCCCATTCAAACAGAAAATCAGCCGGAAGCTTTCTACCCTTCTTCACAACACGGCTAATGGGCACACCTCTGAATCGAAGCTTATTCCTCTCAGGATTCTCCGGTGTATGCCGGCCATTTCAAACCACCGAAAATTAATAAACAAACTGTTTCGTCGGCACAAATCATGATAACGGTGTTCAACACCGCCATAAGCCCAGGTCATTATGATAATCTTTGCTGTTATACAACAAGTTGCTTTTGCCTACAGCATTTGAATTCAGAGACACCTAAATATTCAACATCTAACAAAAGAGCCCTGGACCTTGCTAAGATGCTGGCAGCAACACATTGACATTGTTTGATTAACTCATTTCATTTCTACCAGCTTCCTTTTATTATTCCCACTCTGCTAACCATATGTGGTTGATGTTTAAATAAGTAACACACAAAGTGTTGCTATTGGAAACAATTAAGGATAAACTCCGAGTTTAAACAAGTAGAAACAATCAATTTTGTTTAATGTCCGTATGTTTTTAATGATTAAACACAAAAGTAATATCAAAAACAAATCAAAATATTGTATTACAATGCTTCGACCTACCACAACAACGACGGGGAAACACTCTGACAACTTAGCTAAAATGATCACCAAAGAGGCACCTCACAACTTAGCGTAAACAATGCTTTACATTTGTTTTGCGTAAACAAGGAACTTAAAAGTATCCTGTTACTCCTAATGGATAGATCTTGTTAGCAAACTTTGTTTCTGTAAAGCATCAGTGGCTTTTTGAACATGTTGAGGTACCTTCTACCTCACTTCTGTGAACGTGTTGACCCATACCTATGTGCATAATACACTTATCTTCCGGGTAGGACTGCTCCACAGGGTAGGTATTGTTGAATTAAAATCGATCTGATTTTAATCCAACAACATTCCTGCCTTCCACAATGACTGAACTTTGGGTTGTATCCATCCCTTGGCGGTTAAGTAATGCCACATGTTTGACAGCTAAAATACCTCATTTTACGCAAACATTCACACGTGGTTCATTCATGACCTTGTGAACAATCACGTGACCTTCTCTCAAAGCTCACACGCACATATTCATCAACGTTTCAAACAACATCCTGATATGACAGAATTTCTTTCTTCAAAACTTTTACATTTACAAGAAAGTATCCATACGAATAGTTCTTAGGAAATTTCCCAAAAATAGTCGGTCTGTCAGTTTTGTCATTGAACTGTCCACAACAGGCGGCGTTCGACAGAATTTCAAAGAAACGTCTGTTTTACTCTCACATAGGTCTTAAATCAATGTCAAAACATGACTACCCTTCATATCCATCAACTTCTCTGACCTGAACTAATGGAAATAGGCCGATTTTACCAAAAACTCACATGTTTGTCCTCGAACGTTCCTGGTGAGATACCGGTAAACCAGCTACAGCTATGGCTGCCTTTATGAAAGGACTGTGACGTCACTTTGAGGTCATGGGATGATTTCATTTTGGATGGAAGGGGGTTTTGATATTACTCTACGTATCATTTCTTAATATTCGATTAACACGATATATCGCCTTTTGCGATATATGTTAAATATATTCAACATTTGTTGTTTGGCTATGTTCATAACATGTGTAAATTCAATGAATTTAGACAGTAACTTGGGATAAATTCTAAATATCCCTCAAATAAGTAGACTAATCCTGATCTGGTTCCGGATTCTGGCTGATGTCATCAAACCCGTTTCTTTTCGAAACCCTCCATCGACGCAATTTTACACACCAAAACCGTCTCTTTTGAAACAGTAATCGATTCAAATTAAAATTCTCAACTTATGTATTTCAGATAGGTAAGAACAAAGACAAACACATTCTCAGTACATGATGCAACAGCTTGCTATTGATTTTGCCATAGTTATTGTTTTCTGTTCAATGTAATGAAAAACTACACGTAGTCATTCGTGGAAATGCTATCACTAAGTACTGTATGTATATTAACATCAAGTTATATTTGTGGACAAACGCTAATGTTGAGACAGTAACATATAAGAAAAAATGCCATCACCAGTATCGTCAATAAAGCATACCACTCACACACAAACACAACGTACTACACACTCTGACCTCGTCTTTTGTTTATAAATATGAAATTAACCCAAACAAAGTTAAGGCTTAGATAGGCCTACGCACGCACAAAGACGTAAATGTGACGTAAATAATGTGTCTATCATTAAGTTCTCGAACGGCCAGGTAGTAGAAACATTTATGTTATATATATACTTCTAAAAAGTTAAAGTACACCAAATTCCGTCATATTACTGCAGCTGACGTACACATACCGGTGCACGACATACAAACACACGTTTTAACAATTTAAATTCGTCCGACAAGGACTGATGTTTCTGTACGTTAATTTCCATTGCTTGTTTACATGTTTAATCAGAATATTATATTGTTTTTATATAATTTCAGTACCCTGGTTTGATTTTGTTCATTTATGTTCTCCAGCTTTATTTTTTCAGTAAATGTGACAAAGTTGTTTTACACTTCCACGAGAAACCAGTCAGCATTGAGAGCACCGGGTAAGGACAATTAAACTAATTAAAACCCGCTTTACAACGAGCAATTCTGGCTATTGTCCAGATGTTTGAGCGATTACGTCACCCGTAAACATGTCAACTTTTGATCTTCGGGGGTCTTATCAAAACATTTTAATGTTAAAACCCACAGTATCCAAGTTGTTTGTGACGTTTAGCATGTTTCGTCACGAATGACTTTGTTGTTAAAAAATATACATGTATTTATAGTTCTCTTTTTTTACACTGAACAAAGTCCATACGCCGATATATATATATGGCCTATCATGGGCGGATCCAGGAATTTTGAAAGGAGGGTTCAGGGGTTCGACCCCCTGGCTCCGCCAACGCAAAAAAGATCTTAAATGAGATCTTAAGTCATTTTCAAAAGGGGGGTCCAACACCTGAACACCAACCCCCAACCCCAACCCCTCTGCGCGCCTATGCATTGAAGAATTGTTCAAGTTTGTTCATGTTCATTGAAGCCATTATTTTCACACCCTTCCATTTGAAGCAAAAGGAACCTGATCTTTGATACGGCCCCTGCTGGTTGTAATATGACCTTCAGCTAATTGCCTCGGGGTACCCTAACCTACATTACGTAACTTCGAGTTTACGGCGTAATGACTTACGTAGGTGTAATGACTTTTACATCATACAAGACATGTTCCTATGGTGACGGAATAAAGGACATACATAGTTTTACCAACCTTTTAATTGCACAAGACACGGGGAAGGTATGTTTCTATGATGAGTGAGTGTGTTTAGTTTTACGCCGCAGTATTACATTATTAGTATCAGCAGTACTACAACAGTATCATGACGGGGGACGCCGGGGATGGGGCTCACACACTGTACCCATGTGGGGAATCGAACCCGGATCATCAACGTACGTGACGACTAAGCTACGCCACCGCCCCGTTTCTATAATGAAACAGGGCATCGTTAACGTTAGATCGTCCAAGATCTTATAGCAACATGAGGACCGCCCCGTGGTGTAGTGGTTAGAGCGTCCGCCCGGAGAGTGGAAGGTCGCGGGTTCGATCCCCGACCGCGTCATACCAAAAGACGTTAAAATATGGTACTTGTTGGTCTCTGCCTGGCGCTTAAATTGGCATTAATTGTTACAACAAGGACTCGTCGGCTCGGAGTCAGTATAATGTGTCTGAGTGGGGTATTCATGCTTCACTGCGGCATGGTATCTCAGTGGGCTAGCACTATAAAACCAGCTTAAGTCTGGGCTAGTACAAGCAGCCGCACATACACATACACACGCATGCACGTTTGTTTGTTTGATGCTGCGCTCAGCAATATTCTTGTCATATGGCGGCGGTTTGTAAATATTCGAGTCTGGACAAGACAACCCAATGGCGACGTGCACGTGCGAGCGTGTGTGCGTGTGCGCGCGTGTGGTTGCATGTAATAGTCTAGTGCACATTGACATACATGTTCCACTTGTGTAAGTCGAGTGAGTCACATACAAGCGTAATACATAATCAGTCAAATTCCAATTAATTGGATTTGGGTAGCTTAATGGTTAAAACGTTCCCACGTCACTTCCGGGTTCGATTCCCCACGTGTTGACAATGTGTGAAGCCCATTTCTGGTGTCCACTGCCGTGACGTTTCTGGAATATTGCTTAAAGCGGCGTAAAACCAAACTCAGTCAGTCAGTCAGTTAGTTACATGGCTCTCTGCTCATGATAGCCTTCTTATCATCATGCATCTGGGTCAGGCGGTGACCTAGATATGTAGTAAGACCTCGTGACCTGACCTACTAAATCTGTACGACCTTTGTTAGGCCAGCTCTGAAACTACTAACCCACACTGTTGCACTAGGTGAATTCACATTGCACGAACCAGGTATAGTGGCTGGTGGTTGTATCTAACGTGAAGCTATGACAAGTTCAGGATTTGGCTCGCATGCAAAAACTCCTATGCCATGTTAGAACACGCCTGTTAAAAATGGAGCTTCGATTGTGATCTGTTGTACGGGGTTAAAGGTCTGTCATATACTTATCTACATGTTGGTGACGGTGACGGTGATAGTGTATTGTATGTATATATCAACTGATCGGTGTTATACAAGACATGCATTTTATAAGGTTGTGTCCGGGCAACTTAATATTTTTTATATTCAAAACACTTGAGTTTGGTTTACGATCGTAGTCCGTGAAGTGTGTGAACACGGGTGGATTTGGCATTAAATGCATCGATACTTTCACTTTCCACCTGATAACGCTTAGCAGAACTTGACTGCACGTCTTGAGTTACAGGTAGATCTGGACCTAATTCAAACAGCTCTGGAGGAACGGAAGGCCCTGTCACATTTGAGGCACTGCAGGGGTCAGAAACATACACTCGTGGGGGTCAATCACTATCTTTATGTAACCAAAACACAAAAACTTGTCTGGGCCCCATTTCACAAAGCTATCGGACCGCCTCCGTGGTGTAGTGGTTAGAGCGTCCGTCCGGAGAGCGGAAGGTCGCGGGTTCGATCCCCGGCCGCGTCATACCATAAGACGTTAAAATATGGTACTTGTTGGTCCCTGCCTGGCGT